TTTGAAACTATGTTCCGCTTACCCCCGTACTGCTGTAGGGTATTGCCAAGGCGGACGCCTTCTGTTTGAATCAATTGAACATCGCGAAAAAGGCCAGGCTTACTGGAAAGGAACGTCCGATGAAGCGTGCAACGAGAACTCTTGCCGTAGCGGTGCGGGCGCAGATTGAGGTAAGGCTAAGACCAAGGGTGGCCTTGTCCAATCAAGGGGTGCTGCCGCTGAGCCCTCTCACATCACAATTTCGAAACAAAACAATGTCTGATCTTAGGAATACATTTTGGAGCGGTATCGTAAGTTTTGGAAAATGATGCGGCTGCTCTCCCGCCTATGCTCGATTTAGTCACGGGGCGAGCGTACGGACTGAGTGTGGTACTTCTCAGTGGCCGCGATGTGCGCTACTTCTATGTTCGGCGGCGGGGCCGGTGTCTCTTGGCTTACAGCCGTCGTGGACAGAGGTGGCAATGCTACTACACGTGCGATGTTGGGGGACACGACCACATGCGACTTCTCTACCAGAATCGTAGATACGTTGCTCGCGGTTTGGCTTTGTCGAAGGGCTGCGGAGACAAGTTGTGACCTGCCTGCGGCCCCGTCTTACACAGTGTTCGTACTTAGCGTTGTCATAATTCCAGTCGTCAGCTCCTAACACCAAGCAACACCCCCCACCTCTGACCTGATTACCCGCGTGGCCGCAACTGTTCAGGATGAGACGGAGGGAAGGGAGCTCCTGAAGCTCAACCCAAGCGACAAGGAACGATTGTGGGAGGAAATAGGGCTGCTTCTAAAGTGATAAATAGCTCCTTGCTGCTTCTCGGCAACTACGTCGACACTCAGCTCGGCTTCGGGTTCGTCCGCGCTTTTAGTGGGGGAACACAGGGCCGAGGATAGTCGCGAGAGGCACGAAAGGAACTTGTAGAAATTGTAGAAAATAGCCATATTTCTGCTAGGGCTGCTACAACGCAAACTGACGCGGGGAGATCCTGTGCATCCTTGTACCTAAAAATACACCGTTTAAAGCACCAAAATAACCGTGAAGGGTCGACTACCTGGCGCTCCCTTTCCTTCCCACATGGGTCCACATCATCTCTGCCGACCTGACAGACCTCGTGGTTGGCGTTTAAATGGCAAGGGCCACAAAGCGTTATATTCTGGGAATGATATCGCTTGTCGTGCTTGGCCGAAGCCGCCGTTGCGTGGGTCATGAACCACAAAATCTAGAGTAGAGGCAGCACCAGAACGCTTGGCAAACAGCTTCCCTCGAAGGGAAACCCGTCCGTCCGCCACAGCGGTAGCTGTAGCTCACGACACAAGGTTATTGTGCGTTTTTTTGTTTGTTTTGTTTTCCCGGTGTGGTACCACAAACGCAAGACAAACGTTGGCGGCAGAGTGAACTGCATGACCAACGTTGGAAATGAATAGGGTAAAAAGTGCTGCCTCGAGACAGACCCCCTCCAGCGCCCTAAGCCGCAGGTTTGTTTGGCCAGAACGCCACACGGTCTCTTTACGATCGTCGAGAGAGCGGTGCTTGATACACAAAGGAAACTCACAACAATGGGTATTGCGCACGTACCCGCAAGAAGCAGCACCCAGCGCTCACTTCGCCAAGAACATGCCCCACGTACGTGTGTGTGTCCAACTTTTATCGAGATGCCACGGTTCGACGTGGGGCCGCAACTGCCAAGAAAGGTGTGTGTGCAGGCGTGTAGCGCCCCCGGCTCAGGGCGAGCACCAAATCACGCGCTTGAAATGCTAAAAAATTGACACTTTGCTACAAGCAGACGGTTACATCGGCTTTTATTTGTCCTGAAGCACGACAAACGAAAGGCTCTTTCCCGGCACACACATATCTGCTGTGCGCCACCTCTCCACACCTGTGTGTGCCCGTCAACAATTTCTGTACCATTACGCGCAGCTCTGACCAACAAGTACCACGACACAAACACACAAGAGCGCCGCTACCGTACACGAGAGGCGGCCTAACCTACATGCGAGAGGTGGGAAAACATACCCGCACCGCCGCCGACACAACGTCCAGCGCTGCATCCTCTACAGAGCTTTCCTCCTGCTGCCACCGACACAAGGAGCGGGCAAGGACTCGTCTCCTTATCTGCGTCTAGCCTTCGGGCGACGCCGCCGAGCAGACGGTGTTATCTTGTATCTCACCCCAAAATGGTGAGAAACTTGCCTCCAACAGCACCTCCGACTATCAAGTTCAATGTCCCCATGGCGATCATGGCCGGTCGGTAGAATCGTCGCGGGAGCGGCGACGTGTCCGCGTTGACGGCGGCCAACAACTTCTTCCAGCTTCTTGGACTGATCCGCCAAGAAAACACAACACACACACCAAGAGCGAAACACGCGCATGTGGTGGATGGGTGAAAAGACAGCGACAGAGACAGACATCATAGCGCCAACCCTGCTTGGAGCATTTTCTAGTGAGGGGAGGCGGGGTCGGGTAGCCGGGCGGCCTCACGATCGCGGGCCATCTCCTCTTTCGCAGAACGGCCACACGGAGCGACGCCTGATAAGACTGTTCAGCACCAGACACAAATTCAAACCCTCTTCGTCCAGCGCTCTAACGAGCGATATACACAAGAGACGCGGCGAGAATAGAAGACCGTCGCCCTTCGCGATACATCTCCCGGCCGGCCACTGCCCGAAGCTAAGGGGCCAAATGGCGGAAAACGCCCCCCCGATAAAGGAGTACAGCAGTGCATGGAGTGAACGACAAGACGAGAGCCCCGAGGGCTACCATAGGCTACAGTCAGTCCAAAGCAAAAATGAGCAAGACTACCCCAATGTCTCGTCCCAGGAAGTGAACGAAACAGCACCGTGGGAGTGCGTGCCTTCAAACATCACGCATCAGCCCTCCAGCGGAGGGTGGCGCAGCTACTCGCTAACCCCTTTCATCTCACCCTTCCCTTTTCTTGTCCTTCCCCCAGGAGCAGGAAAGCGTAGATTTGGCCCCTCTCTTGTGCGCCATAGCCGCCACCAGGAGGTTGGCCACGTCTTGCCGACCAATCTTGTACATCGGCTGAGACTTCCACATGCTCGTAGGCTTTCCGTCGCACTCGAGCATCTGAGCAACGGAAAACCAGGGCGACCGTCGTCGTGGGTGCCAAGAATGCGAAGACAAGCGTGGTGTGGCCGTGCCACGCTTGCCCATGACGGGGCACGGGGGGGCTCCGTTGACTACAAAAAGGCGATTCCTGCATCAGCCTTTAACCACCATGGGGTGCTCGGAGAGCGGCGCCAAAGGGCGGCTGCCTTATGAGCATTGCACAACCAACTTTCAGCAAATTGCGTGTTTTTTTTTACCATCGACATGGTTTGCTTCGGGAGGGGACGGGGCGTCGGAGGGGGGAAATACCTTACAACAGTTCGACAAGGTCGCAAGTTTCCAATCGCAACGGTTATGAGCTTGGTGGATCCATCGATGCGCAATATTTCTGGCACTCTCCAGATTCAGGCGGCACACGCCGCAGGATGATGGTTTGTACAGATGGATGGAGGCTTGGCCGCCGGTCCAGGCGAAGGATATCTGTTTGACCCAGCCTCCCTGCATCCACCCAACAAAGAAGCACCCCCGACATACATCAATAACCTACTACTCCGTGGTCGTCGGCTCCTCTCCTCGGCCCAAGCTGCCGGCATACGCGAACCTACTCACCAGGCACGCGTCCTTCGGTCGCTTCTCGTGGGTAAGAGCCCCTGGCCGTACCACGGTGTAGTCTAGCCCCGACCTCTCTGCCGCCTCACGGATGGCCCGTTCGCTCATGTACTGCCACCTGCAACCCGTCGGGGTGTTCGGGTGTGTAAACGGCCGGCCGCGGAGGAAGACCGTGAAAAAACGCCAGAGGTGGCCGAGAGAGCGATCAAGAACAGAGAAAGCGGAGCAATGGCGCCACCACGTCAGCGTGCTCTGGTGGCCCCAAATATGTGGGCCCGCTGACCGTCATTCTTTTCTCCAATTGAAGCAACGGGAGAGCACGGTACAGTATTTGGTGGATTCTCGAAACTTTCGTTTGCTGCAAACAAGAGACTCCGCGCTCTGGACCGGGGTAAGATGCAGCGCAATGCGCCTTCTCCAAAGGAGACCACCATCAACATCATCGATCGCATCTCACACACAAAAGACTCGCTTTACGGGGGCGAACCCTTCACAATCCCGTCCTCCAACCTAGAAAAACAATCGCTACAGTAGTAGTCACGAATAAAAATATCGGCAAGACTCGCGGCGCTTGCCTCCCCCCGGGGGCAACAAGGCTTTCTCACTTGATGGACATGGAGATCATCAAGTTGAGGAGGTAGGTGAACGGGTTGAAGGCCGAGAGGCCGACGGAGAGGCCCGTGAGGCGCACGAATCTCTTCACCCCCGCCCTTTGCGCCGCGTCCAGCATGTTCATCGTCCCGATGTAGTTCACGTTGTACGGGTGTCCCTTCTCGGCGTTTTTCAGTCTTGTCCACCAGTCCGACAGCGCAGAGGCGCGCGAAGCTCCACTGCTCGACGGCAGGGACCAAGAAAAGAAAGGACGAAGTATTGGGTACGTGTCGCGGGAGAGTCGCGCCAGGGGGGCGGCAGGCTTGCCTACGCTTTGCACTCCGCGTTGATTGAATTGCGAGAGGTCAATGTTGCTGCGCGCCGGGTGGAGTTGACCCTCAATTTAACGTGTGTCGTCAAGGTTCGGGGAATATCGATGGGTCCAACACGGGTGACCCTAGCCCACTGGTGTATGAAACTATGTATGCAGACGGCGCGACCCCACCAACCCGGACGAAGTGCGACACAGGGCGGAAACGACGTTCGGCCCAGAACAGAGTGGCGACGGCTGCATAGGAAGCAGGGCGTATCGACACGCGAAGCGAGCCTTGGTACATTCGTCAACTCACTGGCAAGCAATGCATGACGAGCAGCCCGCCATGTGAGCCTCCAAGCTCGCCTTTGCCCGAACCAGAGACGAAACAGAACAGTGGACGGAATGGCAAAAAAGGGTCTTGGACGAACGAACGTGGCAAAGATCGAACAACGTCGATTCAAGGCAAACATGGGCCCCGTTCCGGGAACTACAGGCTGCAATATGAATTGTCGGTCTAACGGCGCCGCTCGCTCGCTCGCACAAGCAGACTTCTCCACCGCTGCTTGATGACAGAGGGGGGGCGGGGGGGGAGTACGCATAGGGAGACTAGGGACAAGGCCCAACAGAGCCCTGATTGGAAGTAACATAAGAGGGGGGGGCGTAGCCTACTGATCGTCTGGAAGGGTGCCACCACGGAGCACCTCCCGGCTTCAACAAGACTACCAGTATCGCACGTTCCCTACATGCGCAAGCGACCCACGCGTGCGTGCTTTTAGGTCTTGACTCGATAACCCTGAGGCGGCAACTCGTGGAAGATCCGTAAAAACACCATGCATGCACAGCAGTTCCATGCGTATTCATGTGGTTGCATTTACTAGCCTGGTCTGCGGCTGAGTCCCCGCCTGTGCTTCGAGATTCAAATCTCGTTGCCTACACTGCCGACATCTATGATGCCCAAAACGAAAACAAACAAAAATAAGCATCAGTGCATAGGGCGGGCTGAGGGCGGGTCGCGTTTGGCTCGCACCTTGTCCAACACATCCCCAAGCACCACCTCGATCGGTCCATTGCCCATCTCCTCCTTTCGAGGGTAAAACCCATCGAGTTCCCGCACCATCGCCCGAACCTGCCGGACGTCGAGCCGGATGGGACGTAATTTCCCATGGATCGGACAACGACGCGCGGGCGGGGTTGGGCGACTGGAAAATAGAAAATAGCTACTGCCGCATACCAGCACACAACAAACCGAGCCCTTTGAGCCGGTCGACACAATCGTCCATACACGGTCATCAGGGACGACTGACTATGCAGAGGCAAAGAGTTGGGAGCAACAGATGCCTCAAGTGCTTCTGGTCGGAAAGCGAAGTTTCCTTGGGCCGTATTTTATTGAAGGCGTTTCGGTGGCGGTTGTGACTACGATTTACTCAGTATGAAACCGTCGCTGGATGAAACGAATTGAACGCAGCGCTGTTCCACGAACACTGATTGGTCTGGTGTGTGTGTGCGGTCTGGTTGCGTTGTTGCAACAAAAACCTGACCAGCAGTCCCCACGTGTAGATCATCGTTTGCACCAAAACCGGCGGTAAGAGGTGTGTTAGAACATGTGTTTGGACTGCAAGAAAACACTGCCAACATGCCAACGGCATACCACGGCGGTGTCAATTAGTCCAATCTTTACCTTGTACCCTTGCTTCGACAGCCTTAGACACACCTAGAGCGACAAAGGGGAGAGAGAGAGAAAGACGGGGCGCAGGGAAGGCAAGACCATGAATCGAGTGAGGGGTAATGGGATAAAAACACAATTCAAACATGGGTGTTTACACGCTTTCTGCACACGGTGTTTTATGTATGTACTAATCGGTATTACGCGGTGGCTGGCTCTCTCTCTGGTGTGGCACATCAACATGAACGACCAGGGTCATACAGCAGTACATGCACGCCAACAATGCTTCCGGAATACGCTTTCTCTCCCGCAAGTTGCACCGGTACATCATCGACACCAACAATGCGGCGACCGCAACCAAAGGGAAGCCTGGCAAACCCGACACACACTGCACCTCACCAGCTGGCCAACATTTCCCGCGGCGCCAGTAACCAGGACTTGCTGGTCCTTGAGAGGGGGGAGCTGGGGCGGCTTCGGGTTCATCTTGAATCCTTTGCCTAAATGCACTACGCCCAGGATCGACAGCAGCGCCAAGAGATACCGGTACTTGCTCATCGTGAGCTAAAGTGGATGCTTCAGCGTCAACCCAAAAATTTCCCACACGCCTGGCAGCCAGACTACCACTGTCGAGCAAAGCGAGAGAGAGAGAGAGAGCACAGGAGCGTCTTAGTTTGAGTGCAGCCCTACCTTGCTGGCGATTTGGCGGGGGGCCTGCAGACCGCTTGCATCAGGGTAGGTACATGCCGGGGGAACGACTTCGAGTACTCCTGCTGTGCCGCTCCTCTGTCCTGCGTCGAGGCATTGATTCCAGCCAAGGATCGAGTCGCTTGCCAATCCACTATCTGGGACCTGGGGGCCATACCTCTCTTCTCGCTCACCCGCTCTCAGTCCGCTTTGTCTTTGGCCGCGCTTGGCGAAAATATTATATCGGTTAAAACGAAGAGTACCGCTGCAGCATTGGCCCTCTTGCTCTGCATGAAAGTAACATGTAGGATACACCCAAGCACCTCATTTTCCCTCCTTTTCCCCCACTCATTGCAAAGACTTTCGACACACCCCCTTGGACTGGGTGGTGCTATCTCGAAGAGGTGATCTTTCAGTGATTGCATGCCGTATTAACGTTCTACGATACACGCATCTTTTGGCTTCAATCTCCCATCCATCCCCATACTGAGGACTTCTTTCTTTGTTGGATGATGGAAACTTGATCGATCGTGTTATTTTCTTCCACTTGCACCCGGACACGTCAATGCGAGCATGCACAGCAGTTATCCCTTTCGTCGTCAACGACTTATCATCCATCGCTCGCAGTCGTGCGGCCTTGCGTCTCTAACCGAAGAGCCGTGTTGTCAACGGGCGCTAACTTCCGGTAGTTAGACAACTGGGCTTGCCTGAGGTGCGACCCTTGACCGGAGCTCTTCTTCACCAAGAGAGGCAATAAACTACTTTGCGGAAGCTCAAGTCATGATTCACGGGAAACGGAAACATAGCATTTGAATTATCTTCCGTGTTCATTGTGTAAACGGAAAACCTTCGTGCAGACTATGCATGCATATGCATACATATATATGCATACAAGATGCACAGACTACAAACAAACGAGATAGAAGGCGACGGGTTTGAACAACAGATGTGGCTTCGTCCCAGCCATCACCCCCTCATCTTGTCGCCGAGAGAAGGGGGGGGCAGTCATGACCCATACACTCCTGACGGAACACGCCATCATCGTATGGAACGAACCAACGAATCTGGTTGAAAACAAAAACTTGAGATAAATAGAATCACTTTTCTTGCCTTTCAACGATCGTGCTGAGAAAACAAAAATTACAGATGGAACAGACAAAAATCAAGTCAACAACATACAATCGAGACACACGAGAGACAGCAAAACGGTAATTACCATCTTCGAAAAAGAAAAAGAGAAAAACAGAGAGAAAATCATCATCATGCGAGACAAACCAAAAATGCAGCAAATCGGAAGCATACAAAATTCCCAAGGGAATATCCTACAAGCTCAAAACAGGTCAAAGATTCAAAATTTCTGAAAATTCCGATGAAGTATGATGTTGTCGACAAAAGTTTTCAGCAAAAAACAGAAAGCAGTCTTTTCACCTAAACCACACTTGACCGAGAAATGGAGAACCCCGCGACTCTCTCCTGTCTCAAAAGGCCAAACACCACAAACTGTCCATGACGAACCGACTGTGCGGGAAAAGTGATGCAGACGGGGGAAAGAGGCAGCACCGCAGCTGGGCGCGGTGTCACGCCCGTTTTGACGTCATGCAACACCAAGAGTCAAGAGTCGGGCCCACCAACCTCCACTATTCACACAACGTCCCCCGACCCCTCCATCGACAGCGCAACGGAGCTGCACTTAAGTTTGACCGTCGCCACCACGAGTGGCGGCGCTAAAGGTTTATCTTCTCCTACATGTAAACCCCGAAACAGCCATGGAACAACAGTCAACCCTACGACCACGTGTTGGACCAGTTCGGCTGCCGCCTCGGGGGACACATGAAAGAAAAAAAGAAAAGTCCTGGACACACTACATGCCCTTAGCACTGAAAAACGTAGTGATACACCTCACGACTTGGTAACAGTCACCAAAAGACGAACCCACACCTCCTCTATAACAACGAGTTCGACGGCACCGCCGAACTGCACTGCGGTAATTTACAAACACGCCTGGGAAAATTTATTTTCAGCGCTGCATACGCTGCTGCGATGATTTAACATGTCTCGCTCAAACCGGGGGAAACACGCGCACCGTCAGGACCCCGCCCCCAGCACCGAGTCACACCACAATATCAGCAACAATATGTTGACCCGGCTGGTCGCGACGGACGGGCACCATCGGCATAACAGACGCACCCGAAGAAAAGGCAAAGAAAAAGGCACCCCGCACGGTACGCGTCAGGGGGGCCTACACTGGGACTGGGAAATAAGCATCACAGGTCGCCACCACACACCGTGCACAACACATCTATCGTAACTATCGTAGACGGTGGGAAATCATGCACAATTACATCCGCAACGCCACTTTGTTGATAACAGCCTTGAGGTCAAACTTGCGAAGTAGAAAACATATCGGGCCGATCGACCCAATACATTTGGTGAGATCAGAAAAAACACATGCCCCTCTGCCCCTCTGCCCCCCCCCCTCCCCGCCTCTTCAAGAAACGTTTCGGGGGAGGGTAATTTTCTTGGTCTGGCTAGAATCTTTTCTCACTTTTTCCTTCGCACAGTCACTATGGTCGACGACAGGCCCTTCTGCTGCTTGTGCTGCTGCTTGCCACCGGACCTAAGCTCCGATTTGCTCGTGACCCGCTTGAAGAAATGCTTGGCGCGGACCTCGTACCCCTCCGCGGGGCGGCGCACGATCTGGGTCAACACCATCTGGTCCCCCCCTTCGTGCAGAGATCGGATCGCGATGACCTCTTCGCCCGCCTGGTGGCAGATGCTGGTCAGCGCTAGCTCGTCTTCGCGACCGTGCCCGGAAAGATGCGCCCAGTTCATCGAGACCTCGTAGCTCTGCTTGCCGATTATATCCTGCCAGGCGGGGGACAGGGAAGGGTTGGGCGAAAGGGGCCGTGTAAGGAACGAGGTCGACAACGCGAGGCAGGCAGCACAAGTTTGCCTCTGTGTGCATGGTTCTTTTGTTTGTAGCATACACCGCGACATAAGGCTCGCCAATATAAAGGCCTCGTCTTTTTCGTCTTGTAGCCGAACAAGCGCACTAGCACGTTTTCTAATCCGCCGTACCCCTCCCCCCCGCGCGTGCAGGAGCACGCCTTACAGGAGATCGGATGGGTTCTGTATGGGCGGGGTGGTACGAATTTGAAGGGATAGACGACTATACATTCATGTTTTCGATGCTTCTCGTGGGTCGAGGTACGAACGACGAGTGCCGGGTCGATCCACAAACATCCAAACATCGGAAAGAGGCGCATCCACGTTCAACTACAAGTGCATAGCGTGGCACACAGCAGTGAGGGAACAAACTATTGCCGTCAGATGCATGTGGTCTGGGAGCAGCAAACATGAAGGCAGAAGAACAGCACGCTGTCAACCAGCGGCTGACGTCACATTTCGTAGGATGTAAGCTGGAAGAAAAACAAACCATGGCCAAACGGAATAAACAGTACCATGTGCGCGACGTCGGATTGAAGGACAATAGATGAAGGGGCAGGCGGTCAGTATGCGCTTCCTGAGTCCTTACTGCTGAAATAATGTAGTGGTTGGAATTGGCACAAGCGTTGCGAAAAAGCACGCACACAAATGACGGGAACAAACAAGAGAGCAATCGCCCTCGGCAGAAGATGTTGTACATATGCATAGAAGTATACTGTTAAGTAGTAGTCAACGAAACAGCTGGACATTGGAGGGAGGCACCGCATCAAAACATGATCAAACAGCAGTGTCGCTTTCGCCAGTACACCACCACAGAGCAAACCCGTGAATGCTTCTAAACGCGTGCGTGTGGGGGTGTGGGGTTTTTGAAACAAGGACACTCTCGATAGTTCGCTTGTTTCGTGAAGATGAGTTTTCGCGTCTCGCGTATCGTGTTTTGACAAGAACAAAAACAGGCCTGAACTCTTATGTAGTCTTTAGGTACGCATTTGTATGCCTGTAGAGAGAAAATGAATTTGTGTGCCCTACTGCTGATACGCCAGGTAATACGCCGAAAGGTCTGTAAACCGGAGTCAGAATAGATGGGACGAACACACACTGCTGCCGAATGCAACGCAAACATGGGCGACGGTTGCATGTGGCATACGGATTTCATACAGTTCTCCGGGTGCTTGCTAGAAAGCTAGAAAAGGAAACTACACGTAAGCACCTGCAAGTAGGGGCTCACGCCAGAAAACAAGGTGTAGTCTACAGGGACATCGTGTCCAAATCTGTGGTATATACGTAATGAAAGCCCACAAACGGGGGCGTCGAGCATTTGAGCGACGAGCAACACCAGGGATGGGGGATGGGTTGTTGATGGAAAAACGCTTGGCTCGGTACCCAACGGCGCTGCCGGATTTGGGTGTCTATAGGTTGCTGCACGCGGGAGGATTTACTGGATACGTAGATATCATCACCAGAATGCTCTTGCGGCTATGCTACAGCACGTACCTATCCGCCTCTACTCGTCCCGTATGCATACCTACCGCTCCCCAACCCCACGCGTTTGGTTTTCTTCGAGAGAACCATTGCTTACTTGATTCAGCCAAACGGGATCCGTACGCCATTTAAAGAGGTAATGTTCCGAGAAAAGAGACAACAGGAGCAGCTTGGCGACAAAATGGCGGCAAATTCAGCGACATATGGTCTCAGGGGTTGTCGGTGACAGGCTTCTAAGGGACATCTTTCGCAAATAAAGTCCTGCTGTCAATCTCAATACCTGGTAGTATAGTGCGAGCAGGGCGCACGACGATGGGGACCGACACGTTTAGGGAAGTACTGCTGTAGAGCACGTGGAGAAAAAGATGAGAAAGTCTAACTGGATCGAGGATGCGAATACGATCTCGGCACATCTTCATATACTGCAACAGCAACAAAAGGCGCACTGGAGAATAGAAGAAGAAGGCCGGTTGCCAACTACTTGTACCCCCATTGACACCATTGTTCTTTGCGTTTCTGATCTGGCAATGCAGCAGCAATCTACACCCGCCGGCTTTTTCTCCCGTTGCCTCGGAATCTACTCAGATAAATATATGTACATAGCACTCTTTGCATCATGTGTATCTACCTGCTTCGGCTCGTCTCCGATGAAAAAAGTGTTGTCCACTTTGGATAGCCCGTTCTTGACGATCAATCTGAAGTAGCTCCCGTCGTGATCGATGATATGCACCGGGTGCTTCTTCATGGCCATCGCCACAGCCCGCTTCGGGACGCCCGAGCTCAGAAGGAGCTCCTCGTACCCTTCCGAGCTCGTCCGCTTCCAGACGCCATAGAAGGCCGGGCTGCCCGCTTCCGAGTTGCTCCCGCGCCTGAGCTGTTGCTGCTCGACCACGCAGGGCGGAGCCTCCTCCGTCCCGGAGCCGACGCTGCAGCAGTCATCGGCATCCGAGTGCCAATCTGTCTCCGTGTCGTCCGTCTCGAGATCGGTGTGCCCCTCCGAGCTCTCGCTGGACTCGGACTCCCACAGCTTGGCGAGCCTGTCGCCGCCCGGGCGGCGGCGCTCGGCGGAAGGCGGGGATGGTGACGCATCGGAGTCCGCAGCAGCATCGGATGAGCCCACAGGGGACCTTCCAGGGGGAGCCGGAAAAGGAGCAGGGCAAGCAGCGGCGGCGGCGCGTAACCGGGGAGGAGAGAGCGCTGGAGGGCCGGGCGGGGGGAGCGGCGCCGAGGGATCGACCGAGGTCCTGGCCTGCTTCATCATGACCGCGTCCCTCCGGAAGAGGGCGAACGGCGTCTTGCTGAGGTCGACGACGATGCTCCTCCTGTTGTAGTCAAGGACGGAGTCCGCTACCCAGATGGCCGAGATCGGTTGATGCGGGAAACGAACCGTTCGGCGAGGACTCGCGTCGAGCTCCTGCTTGCTATCCCCCTTGCAAGGCATACCTGCGGCCGCCGAGGGCTTGGTGTCCTCCGCGTCTACGCCCGCTGACGGTGGTTGCTGAGCCTCGGGGATCGCGACCGCGTCTGACGCCGAAGGCAACCGAAAGGCCGGCGCCGCCTGCTGTTGGTGCTGCTGCGGGCTCAGGCCTTCCTTCTTGTCCCAGACAGCCATGGCTTTCGAAGAGGGGGTTTCGATTGCATGCAGTGCTTCTCGCGTGATACTTGACGTGGGACACAAACGGCAGAAGAAGGCACGAGATATACGCGCGGTGAAGTTCTCGGGGCGCGTGGTGTACAGAATGGGGTTGGGTAGGTGGAGCCTGATGTGATGGGTGATCTGCTGGCGCAAGCAAAAAGCGGGGAAACTTGTTTTTTTTTTTTTTTCTGTGCCTTCTATGATCGGGTGAACATGGTGAACACGTTGAAATCGGATGGACACGTCATCTCTCTTTTTTTTTTTTCAGCTGTTCGGATCCTGTTTGAAGTGTAGTGCCTACGTGAGCATTCTATGCATACGATAGACTAATCCGCATTCCGTTTCTCATTGCACAGCAGTTGTCGTCTGCTCTCCCACCCTTTCTGTGTATCTTCTCTCTACCCCGAAACCAAGAGAAATTCCCATCTCTTTGTGAGAACCCGCACATCGATTTCTCTGAGCCACTCCCTCCTCTACCCAACATTTGAGAGCACATGGCATTATGCTACGTAGACGATGTCTCGAAAGCAAGGCTTCATTCAAGTTAGATTCGACTTGATTGAGAGGGGTAAGTTCAACCGCCCTGTTTGTCCGGCCAATAGAACAAAAAAACTTAAGCCTTGAGCATTACACATGCTGAGGATCGCGCTGTACGGCACTGCTGGACATTCTGTCAAGAAGAAGAGCCGGCGTCCTCGGCTGTCGGCGGAAATATTGCCACATGTGTCGGCGAGGATAAGGTACCACACATTTTTTTATTGCCGCGCCCCCCGCGGGTGCCTCCAACTTGGTGCCTCGCGGGCTGCGGGTGCGCGGGGCATGAAACCGCCGATAGAAAATTACGAGAAAAATAGAATGTGGCGGTTTGTCTGAACCAGTACTGCTGTAGCAAGTACCTTTTTTGCGAGCTCTTCGTCGTCGGCCGTACGTGCGGCTTGCCCTATGATAGGTTGTACTGCTGTAGAGACGCGGGTTTGTACGCATCCCCCCGTTCACGGCCGGTGATGATACATCAATGTTGTGTCCTCTCGACGCCAGCACCGACGACGAGCCGGGCATACCGGGAGAGTTTGACGAAGACAATAAGCCGTATTTCTTCCCCGCACGCCAGCAGAGAGATGCAGATAATGCCGACCAACGTGATGGCTTCGTTTGCCGGTGGGAGTATCGAGGGCATAGTGCCTGCATCAAGGGGGTCCGGGTCACTGGGGAGGACTCGTTCGGCAGGATGCGAATTGTATCGACGGACGGGAGGAGCATTGACAGCTGGCTGGAGCTCGGCAATGGTGACTCGGTGAAGACCGCCAGAGTGGAGCACAACGTTATCAACGCCATTGCGTACATTCCTCCCCTAAATGTTGTGGTTGCCGCCTCGGTGAGTTCTGGTCTTGCTCGACCGATGCTCGATTACCTCTCTTTCCGCTTAGATACACACATGGGCTGGCTGCCTCATCAACCAGTTCTACACCGGACGGATGTGTGTTTCTTTCAATCATCGATGGTGCCCCGTGCCCCAAAAAACAAGCATATAGTAGTTGACTTGTGCCAGGATGTTTTGGGCTCAAGATGCCGTGCATGAGACAATGCACGCGCTCGTGACTTATCCGTCCGTGGTGTGCATTCATTTGCCTGGCCGTTCTTTTTCTCAGGGCGACAGTCTGGTCGTCTTTGATGGCAGAACGATGAGATGTCTCGCTACCCTGTCCACATCGAAAAAGGTGCTGTTGCAGCTGCAATATAACCTTGCTCGCGACGAGATCATCTCGGGTGGCTCAGACGGCTGCTTTGTTTGGAGGCTCACAGCAGCCCCCTTCAAGCCGTACGCACAAGGTACGTAGCATCGCGTATCGGATGGCCAACGTTTACTCAATTTTGTTCGACATGCATGTATGTGCGTGGGTGTAGCCTATGCTAGCCTGATTCTTCGTGAAAAAAATGCTTGCCGGCCTTTGAGTAACCCTCCCAATGTTGTACCGTGGACGTGAAACTCAGAGGTGGTGCCTTACGAGCTGACGTTGTTGCACGGATTCAAGGGATGCTCGCATTGGGCGGGGAGAATGTTCTTCGACGAGCGTTCCCAAGTCATCATCACGATCGACGGCATGAAGGTACAGAAATACGATGCTGGTGCAGCGACGACCAACTTATACATCATCAAGAGAGCGCACGAGTCTCCGGTAACGGTCGTCTTGTGGGTGGGTGAAAGCGAGAACATCGTCACCGGTTGCATGGGTGGTCTGCTGAAGATATGGGCGTGCCAGCACACTGACGCAAACGGAGTTAAGCGAAGCCGGCGCGGCCGGTGGCGGCAACACAAGAGACTTCGGTGCGCACGCTCCCACCGAAAAGGTTGTGGACGTTCACCGGCCCTAGTTAAATCGTTTGAAGGGCACTCTGGAGGCATCACTGGCCTTGTCCGACACTGCTTGAACAGCTCATACATCGTCAGTTCCGGTGCGGACGGCACCCTGCGCGTTTGGGACGTCGATCGACTCGCCGCGGTCACAGCCGTGCGAGTGCCATGGGCAGTGTCGTCCCTTTGGGCATTTAGTGGATCGGGTGGCCAGGCTCGACTGTTGTGCGCGGGTCCTGACGGGGATATCAAGACTATGGTGGTCCGTCAAGTTTGCCATCCTTTGAGCTTTGACACGGACGTGGCGCGCAATATCCGCTATTTCCCTCCTGTTGGGCAGAGCGTCGAGGAAATTTCGAGCGTTTCCGCGAACGGTAAAAGGTGATGAGTCCTTCGAGCAAAACGGCTGGACGATAAGCTCATAGTTCTGCTGCTAGAGCTCTGCCCAAATTCTTTAGCAAATTTCTACGCCATCCCTTCGCAATTTTCGGCCAAGAACATTCTCGGGAGCGCACTCACTGTTGCTTGCCTTGGTCAACTGACCACCTACCACTCATCCCAATTTGAGAGAGAGAGCAACGCTCTTGGTTCCCGTGTACAGAGAGCCTCCCTCAAAGGGAGGTCAGAACATGGCTCTGCCCGACATGATCCATCGGGGTACTCAATAATGTTCTTCACCTCAGCAGCAGGCACGGTGTTTTCAATAGAATGCCACTTACTCGTCTGATAACCCCCTTCGCTGTTCTGCTCACATTGCAGGAGTCGCGAGTCGGATGTTGGTCTCGTTTTAGTACAGATGAAACAGGGGCTCTGGGGCTTGATGTCCGAGTCGCTGCTATTGCCCACTGGTACACAGCCGGCGACGAACACCAAGACCTCGGTTTCATCCACAGCAACGACGTGCGTCTCCCAGGCCGGTCTGATCCCACCAGGAACAGACGAATCCCAGCATTCGTTTGAGCGCACGGAGGGCAAAATATCCAACCTAGAGTTTGGCGACGGAGATGCCATAGCCCTCGATGAGGGCAACACGACGTCGTCCCTGTTCCACTCGTGGCCGTCGCTATCGTGTGTAGTAGAACGGTATTCGCACCACGTGCTGTCTCGTAGGAGGCGGAGGGTTATCTGTCTCGCCGGTTCCGGCGTTCTTGACACCTACGCGTACGACCCTGAAAGGGGAGAGGCCCGGAAGATCTCCTCCCGTGACGTCGATCTTCACGCCAACGGAGCGACCGCCACGAGCATGTGCCTTCTGCCGGGAACTCCGGACTATGTCGTGGCTTCGCTGGAGCGTTTGCTTCCGTCGCAAACGTCCATGGACGCTCCTTTGTCTGACCGGCCCATCTGTGGTGGTGCCATCGGCGAGGGAGGCAACGACGACAACTACCGAGATAGACCCTGCGGTCGAACGGGACGTCGGAAACAAGAAAGCCAGGTTGCACGAGAGAAAGTTGACCAGGTGGTCGCGATTGGGACTTCGCATGGAGGTGTAGTCTTGGTCGAAACGGTTGCCAATGGAACGGTGAGTCGAGATAAAGTGCACGTCGGCAAGGACAGTTTTGCGTATAGGCAGGGTTTGCACTGCAGCTCATAAACGAATGGAGTGACAATTTTTCCAGTTCGCTCAACACCTACTTTCTATGCAAGCTGTGTATACTAGTGCAGACGACCCTGGAAAAAGCTTCGTTTAAATTAAAAACGGTTGAGTTGATGGCTCGGTTTTACTCTGTGCCAACCCTTCGTTCTGAGTTAGGGTTTTTACTTCGACACAGGGTCTTGGTTGTGTTGCAAACAGCTGGCGAGTCTTGAACACACTCGCACGCCATACAATAGCAGTACGGCATATGTTGCGTTCGACACTTCGTCGGAAGCCATCAAAGTCTAATCGCCTTGGAGCATAAATACGTCTCTTGCACGCTCACACCATGAACAGACGCTTGATTTCCTGGAGGGGGTTTTTGCCTCTAAGGTCGTGCACATGGCATTCTCCTACGCTTCTAGCGACGGTGCCATACTCCCCAGCGAATCCGATCTCGGCAACGAGCTTTCTACAACCTGCGCTCAGGACGGGCGTTTGATCTGTGTGGGCCACGACACGAACGGTGCGGTAGCGCTGAAAGGCCTCGCGGTTTCTTCCCTTACGGAGCAGTTCTCCCTCCGGTTGATCGAAGCCCCAACCTGCGTGCGAGTTGCGAGCGAGCGCCCCGTTCTAGCGGTTGGTTACGCCGACGGAACTGTGAACGCGATCAACTTCGGGCAAGACAGGTGCGACGGTAGGTAGGTGTTGCGGTCGGCATGAACCAAGCAATTTCGTGCGCTTGCGGACAGACGTGACGTGTGATTTGGGTAGGCCTACATTCTGTTTCCCGAAATCCGATTGCTTGGGAAGTGGAATGCGAGACCCGGCGAACACCACCCACATATTTTATCTTCGTTTTTTCCCTTGTTGACTCGCGTGACATATTGGTTTGGTGTCAATACCCTGGCGGTTGCCGTCCGTGGTATTGATCATGCAATCTAAGGAGCGAGGTTCCCAGGTTGATAAGCGTGGTTATTCTCGGGATTTTCGCTAAATTCGGTCCCTGCCGCGATTCTTTGCCCTCTGACTCCCTTAATAGGGTTACCGAAGTTGAGAGTGGCCAGCTGATCGGCACGCACACGGCCGAGATAAGTACGATTGCCTTCAGCACGCGGTACCACTGCATGGCCACAGGCAGCGCGGACGGGCTCATAATGGTCTGGGATCTGAACGGGCAACAACTACATGGCATACATCTTCAGGTTATTAAACTTGCTGCGTCTCGCTGTTCTTGTTTTTACGCGCATGTTGCTCGCAGTGGCGCCGTTCCACGACCAGCAAATACTTACAAGGATAAATTTCAGTATACCAATTCACGTATTGACTGAAACGCAATTCTGTCCGTGTAGGTGTACCGCGCTAGCATGTTTTCGACTCCCGTCGTCGAAATCTGCGCCCAGACATATCTAAACGACGTACACCGTCTTCGACAAACATTGAACACCAATCAACCACGGTCATCGCTTACAAACGTGTTTCCAGCGTGCATGGTGCCCCACAAAAACAACCGAGCGCCAACGCCTTGGCACCCCCCCCCCCTGCCACACCCCCTGTCCTCTGGCGATCGAATTCTGTCTTTCCGTCCACACATGCCCCGATCTCACTAAAGAGTCCCGCTCTGGCGGTAGAGTTTATGGAGATTTCTGGTGAACTTCTCGTCTCCTCTTCGTCGGGATTGTCTCGTATCGATCCACGTGGGTGGTGCCCGCTGAGGTTGCTGATTGCGAACGAACGGGCGGACCGACGAGCAGCAGCAGGGCCTAGCAGCAACAACAAAGGCAGTAGATGCGGGAGGGAGGGGGTACTCGCGTCCGTGACGGTTAGAGGCGACGAAGCGCATGTGCGTGAGGACGAGTCCAGCATAGTGTCTCGTGGAGATTCGTTCTTCAGTGGGCGACGGCGGCCTGCCGATCACGGAGTGCGAAACAACGCTACCGGACGTCGATTCACCTCAAGGGTAGGATTTCAGATTTTGAACCAAGATGCTGCGGGTTCAAGTGAGACAAAGGAGGGCGTTGTTAAACAAACAAAACTACAAGGGGATACAAATGGGAATCCGGACAAGCCACCGGAAGAAATCGTTGAGCGGGAGTGGACCCCGCCGGAAGATGCTGGTATGCCCGCACCATCGCGGTTGGTTTACCGCCCAACACCGAGGGGTGGCGGCGGCAACGGGACTGGAGCTTCCGCGTCAACCAATCGTGTTGACCAGAACGTACACACTATCTTGGGTTGTATGAGCGCAAAAATTTCGAGCACACCAACATCCCCGCCACCACCACTCGTGCGCACAGCGAAGGTTAGGTGAAGGTTATCATCTAGGTTGCCGTGGTGTTGGTCGAGCGAATTGGCGCCATTTGATGGTTTGTCGTGTAGCGATGCCCTTGCAACGAGGCACATTATGCACAATCGCCGTCGAAAGTCGAATGCGAAGACCGACAGGCATATGAATGACCTTGTGTGTAAGATGGCCAAGCCGTAGGAACTGTTGCCCATGCCACGTTCGGAGTCTTCCGTTGCAGACTCAGCCTTCTGAGTTCCTTCTTACGTTATCAGACTCCTACCGTAGAGGCTTGAGACAAACCAAATCTTACGTGTCACTCGACTCAACGAGCTCTCGCCATTTCTCGTTGTGTCACCCCTTGCACGTGGTTTCGGCATGTTCAACGCAAAGTTTTCCACGAAAGTGCTCGACAGCACTCTGGCAACATCCTCTCCTTCGAGCGTGACGAGTCGCGGGGGCAAGAAGACGGCGGGAGGGGCTTCAGCCGGAGACAATGACGCTCGCCCAGACGAACGACCTGAAGAAACATCAATGCTGGCACCTGTTGCTCTTCCGATCCGTGGAGCACACCCTCAGGCTGGCGGCTCCATTTCGTTTACGAATAACTTACGTATCGAAAGAGGCGGTACAGACGATAAATCCACCGAAGGAGGGGCTGGAGATGAAACATTTATCGGCTTGGAAGAGGGATCTCAAACGCAGTCGATTGTGGACAGTGGTTTCAAGGCTTTGCCGGCGGTGAAGAAAACGCTTGGAACACCACCCTGCGACGTATCGACGGAAACATCGAGGTTTGCTCCAGCTCTATCGTCAAGGACGTCGCTTACTCCGCTGTCGGACAGTTTTCTTGACGGAATTGTACCTTCGATCCCCCAAGTGCCAGTCATGCCGCTGCGTTCTGCTCGTTGCCGAAAGCGTAAACCTTCTCTTGGAAAGGCTCTACGGGTTGCGCAAGCGGTGGCGGACAAGGTTATCAGCAACATCGATGCATCTGTCGAAGAGCGACATCGGCGTCCTAGTGTCAAGAAAAGCACACCCACCCACCGCCTCAAAAGAGACGCTACGTCTAACGCATCCCAACTGAAAATATTTTCTGTTGGGTTCGCTCCTAGCCCTGCTGCCTCCACGAGCCAGGTCATGAGTGGACTTGCTGTGCGTAAGATTGAGCCATCTGATTCATTTCAAGGGATGGGAACGTCAGCAAAAGATCTTAACGGAGTAAGAAAAGGGGCGTCCATCACGGGAACGGTCACCGAGGACCAACCTCGCTCTGTTCGTAGCGCCCCCGGAATCCGCCAGGCTAGTCACGTACCAGCAACCCCGCCCTGTGACCCGCCGGCGCCGGAGACGGCGTCCCCTGCGATTACCATTCGTTGGTACCGATCCCCTGGGAGAGGGGAACAGCGACCGCGTCTAACCCCCCCGTTTGTTCTGCCGGGTGCTGGCATCGGTACGGGGACGGCGGCCGCCGCTGCTGCCAAGGATTCCCACAGCTATAGGACTCCGATCTCGACACCGCAGACGATCATGAAGCCTTTCCTTGAGGAGGACGTCACGTCGTTGATGTCGGGGTCGACGCTGTCCCCCTCACCGCCGGTGGTCAGAACCAGCAACTGTAGAGCGTTCGGCGTCATCTCGCCGCGCTCTTGGAGTGCGGACGGCGGTGGCGATCGCCAGGCGTCGTCGCCGATACGTGCCCATACAAGAGAGGGGGCCCTATGCGGGCATCGGCATACCACAAAAAACAACGGTAGCCATGCTTCCTTTTTCCCTGCAAGATTCCGTGTCGGTCATCGAATTCTGGTGACTTCAAGAGGTCGGGAGCAGGCGGCCTCTCAGAGCCGATGATGCACGCAGGAGGGCTACATTGTAATAGGTGCAATGGAGGCGTGGAGTTCTTTCGCCCAGCGGTAGAGAGCGTCACAGACGAGGTCCTACCCGTTCCGATGCGCGGGATCATTTAGAGTCGAGATAGCCGCAAATATCGCCGAGGAAGAGGATCATGCGGCGTTCACCAAGAAAGGGACTGAGGTATTTCTGGTTTAAATACGTGGATTGTCGAGATGACCTCGGGAGCCCGTTGAACTTGCTGCTGTGCTTGCAGGTTGTGAATCAGGGTGGATACGTTGAATTTCAGCTGCAAAGCCTAACGATCCTACGCCTTGCCCTTTCAGTCCATCTTCGAAAGCGAACTTCAACAGCACAGTGCTAGCGCTAGTAAGAAAGAACCCAAACATACGCCAACAGGCGCGCCTAATGACAGAACGAAGAAGAACGCCAGTGAAATACCGGCAGCCAGTAGATATTCTTGTCTACGACGGGCAACCGGGACGGAAAATTTTACTGTATCCTGGTCTATCATCGGGCAATGGATCGATCTTGACAACCAACGCCTTCGAGGGTGGAAGTGTTCAACCCGAAAAATAACGTCCTTGGAAAAATTGGGCATTCCCTGCCGCAACTCGAATTGTAGTCCGCATCTACTCCAGTTCCCACAAGTGAAAAACGGTTGTTTTGGGGGTGCGACATCAGAACAAGTTCTCACACGCGAATATGGATGCCATTCCAAATTGATTGATCGTCACGTGCCGCCATTTGGCTGGTCCCGGCAAACACCATGGTGCGGAAAAAAGCGCGCGAAAACTATGGTATATACTCGTGCATACACCTCCCGTGGCGCGCTAAAACTATTACTCGTACACACACCTCCCGTGACCCTACAGTCCCAAAAGGTAGGCCAAAGGAGCAAGGAAGGAAATCGGGACTGTAAGGAGAGGACTCTCTTCCCCATGCGCCACGCACGTGGCAGCTTACAACATTACCCTGGTAGTAGCAGTAACGAGTGCCGGCAAGCCAAAAGCCAAGAAAGAAAACCAACCATGGCTTGTCTGAACGGGAGACACAAAACACAGACACCGCCCGCAGAGAGAGTCTTCTTCGCCTGGCGGCTACTTCACAAACCCAACGACACACAACACGGTCCACCTGTCGGGGGAGCCCGCGGAATAGAAAGCCAGCTCTCGATCGCTGTCCCGCTGCAAGGCTGACGTCTTTTTATTGGTCGGCCGGTTGGCGCGGGTCGAAAGACAAGCAACACATCCACACACACCAACGCCAGGCGGGGGGAAACCCTCAAAAGGCGGTGCTGAGGCCCGGCCACTTTCTAGAATTCAAGACGCTGCTTCGTCCCCCGCTGGTGCTGGCCCCCCTCCGCCGACGCCCCCCTCCGCAGCCGCCCCGGCACCACCTACCACGCCGGTGCCCGCCGCCTCCATGTGGTCCAAGGCGTTCGTCAAAACACGGTCGGTTTTGACGGCGCTCTCTAGGCGCTTCTTGGGCGAGCAGGGCTCAGAGTTTCCCGGTGGAGCGTCGCCGCTTGTTTCCTCTGCCAACCTCGGCGATGGCTTCTGCTCGACACGGGATTAGCGGAGGAGGCGGGGGTTTTCAATATAGTGCGTTTTGCGAGACCAGCGGGTAGAATGAAGCAGGGTCAAGAAAGGAAGTTATGTGGAGGGGTAGGTGTAGGCACTTTTGGCCAACGAAACACCGGCGACAGCCGGATAGAGAAGGGGGGGGACAAGGGGCGCAAAACCCCGGTCTTCACGCGTCGACCTTACATGTACCCCATCTTGAATAAATATGAAGATGAAATCAACAACATATCTTCTCGAGAACGACGAACAATGGGAAACAGAACTTGCCCTGAGCGTCGCCAGCTCCTTGTTCAGGCGACACACTTCTGCCTCTAACTCTTCCACTCGGCGGCGTTCCGTGTCCAGCGCAACGCGGAGACCATGGAGATACTCCTGGCTCACGGATATCTTTTCGGGGTCGTCCTGGACAGACAAGGCGGAGGAACCAAAGCAAAACATATTGTGAAACAGAAGGAAAGGGTGCGCTGAACGAGCCCGAAGGACGAAGGGTGTACGTGAGGTAGCTTGAGAACAATATGCCGCTTCCTCCTGCGGAGCCTCGCGGCAAAGCTATGCGCATGTCACTTTATGAAGAACCAGCGGCGACGAGGATGAAGAGGGTCCTGCTTGAGGAACAACCACCGACCAGCGGGGGATGTAAAGGGTCCAACATGCTTCGAAGCCAGCATTCATGTTAGTACAATTGCGTGAACACAACATATATTAGCCTGCGCGGCGTTGTAAGCCTAGGCGGCGCTCGTACCGGCCCGGACCCGTCCGTGGGGAATGCTCCCCCTGCTCCCCCTTGTTGCTGGGCAAAATAGCCTTGATCCACGACAGTTCCCGATCTGTGAATATTTGCCCCTGGTTGTTGGGCACCGAAAAAATCAACACAAGTTTTGTCGGTCTCGAAAAATGTCAGACATGCGTCGGTTGTTGCCCTCAAAACAGCACAGAGGGTAGAGTGAACGAAGGCTTCAATGCACTCCTTCAAGAATATTGGTGTGGCAACAGCAGCAGGTGCACTACAACGCAAAACAATGCAACTCGTGCCGCATACGCATTCGCATGACTCGTTGAGAACATGGTGTCATCAACAACCTCGAGTAACATCGGACACCCTGCGTTCTCTACACCATACGAGTAGTTATCATTTTCAAGCCTACTCAGCACTGCTAGTTTCATTCTGCACGAGTTCCAAGCCATTTGCACCCCGCAGCAGTCATTTCAAGGTAAATGCAGAGCCGTCCCTCCAGCAGCGAACCCGGACGCTAAGAGACCTGAAAAACTCTACACTCAAGCACCCATTTGGAGAATGGCACATATAATTTGCATTCCTTATCACGAAGTGAATGTACAATTTTTCGGGCTGAACCTCGGGAAAAGCGCAAAAATATCGCCGGCATCGCAACCACACAAATTCGGTAGTTGGGGTGTATGGGACGATATGCAATTCTTCCCCCCACGGAAACTTCTTGGGGTTGAATGTGCGCCGTTAAAGTTAATTCTTGCGTACAACCTCTTCGCCGGTTGTCCACTTAAATGTATGCCTTACGGGAGAACACTGGGATTGGGGACAGGTGGGTGCCTCGGCGTTTGCGGGACGAAGGGAATATTGTGCAGCTGTTCAGCACACCAACAACGGCCCTATCATTTGACCAGTATCTTTCGATTGTCGCTGGGTCTCTTGATTGTTGAGCTAATTGTTTGGCTTGTAGTATTCCGGTGTTTACTACCAAATCGATCCAGATCTTTTCCTGTCTTTTCTATTGTAGTTTCTCACCTTCAGCGCAGGCGTTCGGGTTGAGCACTCGTGAGTTGTCTGTGGACACGAGGTTCTTGGGGTTGATCACGTACGGCGAGACCCACAGCCGGAACTGCATTGGCTTTTTCAAGCTCGCGATTAACTGCGCAAAAGTTGTTTTAGGTGCAGCAGTGTGTGTTCGAGCGGGATCGGGTTGGCAACGAGGCGAGGGCACGTTGGTGCATACAATACTCAGGATCAAACAAGAAGTGCACAGCCGTGTACAGTAGCCCAGGACGAGTGGGAGGATTGCCACAGAGTGTGACAAACTAATAACAGTACATGTCGGAATCTAACGAGGAGTTCAGTAGAAGCTAAAACACGGGGGGAAATACAGGACATAACGCTACAGGACATAAGAGAGCCAAGGCACAAACACGTACAACCTCTCTTGGCCTGCTGTGACGGCTATTGCGACGAATGTCATGATGTCCGTCAGTTTGCTGGTGTCAACAACCACTCTACACAGAGTTCCAACGAGCCCACGTCTCGAAGTTGGTCGAATATTGAAACGCGGTCGATGCGGTTGCACTCTCGCTGCTTTCACGGACAGATGCGCTTGGCACGTTTGAACAAGTCAGCCCTTCTCCACGGCCTATGCCGGAAGAAGAACGGAAAGGCACTAGACACCCGTACACAGACGACGCAAGCACACCCACCTCCGGAGTCACCCTCTCCACGTGGTGCAAGAAGGAGTACTCCAGCAACGGATTGTGCGTGTCCTGCTCCACCGTCTCCGTGGTAAACAGGTTCCCTCCGAGCTCGTACTGCACGAACGCGTGGGACACCATGAGCGGAAGTCCAGTGGCACCCTTGAGGTCGACGCTGAGACACAAAAAAAATCCGAAGCAAGGGGTAACGCACACCACATGCAGCGGGACGTTCATGAGTCACGGTCACGTGACCTTTTATCGATCGGTCATGACGAATAGCCGTTGCGTTGCCTCAAGGAACGCTGCTGTCTGGTGCTTGAACGTCGTCCTTGTGGCTTGTGGATGTTTCCGGTGTTTCCCTCTTTCCACACCTGCTCACCGCCACCACGTCTGTCGCCCCCCCTACCTCCCTCACCGGTAAGTCCAAGGCTTTCCGACCAGATCTTCCTCCGTCTCTACGTCCATCATATCCTTGCCCGCGTCCTCCTCCTCAGGCCCGGGGAGAGGAGTCCACACCATCTCGAACGCCCCCACATTGTTGTAGGGCGCCGAAACGTTCTGTGTGTTCATGCGATTTTAGGGGCCGCCCGTTGCGCGCGTTAGTGTGTGCGCTTGGGAGGAAGGAGAGTGGTAGGTAAGCACAACCACGATAGGAGCACCTAGAAGAGACTACACGATGTTGTGATTTCAACAGCATCCACGATCATATTCTACTTGTCCGGGAAGACAAGAGACGTTTGGACAAAACAACGTGGCTTCGGCGGGACTTGGACTTAATTAAGTTTTTTTTGCTTCGACTTCCTGCATTTTCACCACGAAGGCCTAACCGACATGAATAAAACACGTTCTTACGCCACCAAACAGGCACAGGACGCAGGAGCAAAGCACCATCAAAACCTTGTGGTGGCCACAGGGTGCACGTCGGCAATGGGAGGGACAGTCAAAGTTGCCAAGAAAAACATTCTGAACGAATCTGAGAAAAGAGCGCTGATATGCTCGCGGGGCTATGGTTGCGCGAGCGAGCTGTGTTGAAGGCTGCGTTCGGAGCCGTTCGGTAGGGCAGGAAGACATGACTATACTCCTTTTTGTTTTAGACCTCGGCTTTGGGCTTCCTGTGTCAGACAGCACGCAATCCCACGCCAAAAAAAGAAATGCAACAGTCACACTGTCGGAGTTAGAACACTTTGTTGCCGAACTTTTGCAGAACAAAGGATATTGTTCGATGTCTCCAGAAGTTTAAGTCTCAAGAAAGGAATCGTTTTCTGCAAACGGGGAACATACAAAAGGATGTTCGCACACCGTCCACTCGGACTACGTGAACTGCTGCCGTGGAGGAGGCGTCAATCCGTGACTCCCGTTTTGCGTGCGTGGACATATTCGGGAAGGGAGGGAGAACCAGACGCAACAACAGTTTCCAAGTGAAGCCACAAATTCTGTAGCACATGCATCTTGAGACACGAAAGGGGGTCCACGATGACAATAGCTGCAGGTCGACTCCTTTCTACACCTACGGTATCCCAGCAACACGCAGCACAACACGTTATACAATTAGACGGTGCTCACCTTGATATCTACAACGCGTTCGTCGCTCTCCATCTCCAGATTGTAAAGCATGAACTCCGGGAACATCACCCCCGTGCCCAGGTGGAACGTGTTGTCGAACAAAAGCTGCAACAAAGAAAAAGTCAAGAGAGCTAAACATTAACATTCCCGCTGCTGCCGAACGCGCGAATGAGAAAACTATCAAATGTGCGATCGATCCGAACTTCTTCCTTCGTCATGTTCCTCCTTTCCTCCTGTTTACGTGGTTGTGTTTCGTTTGTCTTGAGACGGAATTAAAGGCTTGTATCATACACGATACACAAATGCAACAACGACTTGCGGGAATTGACCGTGGTGAAAACAGTGATCTACCAGTTTGAAAGATTGTAGCACTAGAGGACAACCTCGAAGGAACTTGCGCGGTTTTCGTTGGCACTGCCAGCGTAACCCAGCCAAAAATCATAAAAAAAAACCACCACACCACAAAAACAAAATCGGCTCGAGTCTCTGCACTAACGCTAGGCATTTAACGTACGGTGAGGACAAAGCAAGCAACACTTGCACGATTGAGAAAGGAGCGATAAATACGTAACACAGAACTGACATATTTCTCGTTGTCAACAACCGAACAAGATGACTGATAGTACTTCTCAGCGAAAACTTCGCAAGAGTATCGCAGTACACTTCTTCGTGCGCGGGCACGTCAGCACCATCGTATTGGACTACAAGGACGAGACTGTCGTGTGCGCGTGTTGGTACAGCGGGCACGTGTGTCAATCCCAGAAATACCCCCTACCTGGATGGGGTCGTGATGTGTATCGACGACGTAGGTGCGGCCGTTCTCCTTGGCGTTTCGCAAATGAACCTGCCAGCCAGCAACAACACCGAACCCAAGGAAAAAATCAACGAACTCATAGTTGCCCAGAAGATCAACTGAGGTAACGTCACTGCAACTACGCTTACATGGAAGCAGTGGGTGGTGTTGACGGTAGTGGGTATTGAGCAGAAGCGCTCGCAGGACCCATGTAAGATACTGCTTGCTTTCTTCTCTGGCAATAGTTTGGAAGCCTTTCCCGGCCCGAGCCACGCCTCAATGACGCTGCAATCCGTAGACAAGGCTGGGAGTATGAGCGCGCCAAAACAGCTCGTAGTGGAGCAAACTGGCGCGCATAAAGCTTGCCTGACCAATAAATTCTGGTCCTATCTGACTGTCGTCAACATGGAAGAAAAAACCCACGTAAACCCGGAAGCACCCCTGTAGACAGCGACACAGATGCATCTGCACGTTGAACGACTGCGTGCCTCGCCAACGCACCCTTGGGGGACAATCCCGACCCTATCCCTATCCCTAACCCCAGCCTCACCAGCTCGTCCTTGAGCACGCTGAAACCCCGAAGGAAGTCGATTGGGTCAAGCAGGATGCTGTTCGCCTCCCCGGCGATAGCGCTATTCTCCACCCGCACCTTCACCTTCGGAACGCCAACCTGTACAAGACGTGCGCGTGGTTGTGCTGGTCACAAGCTGTCGGATCTAATCACGCTCACTACTTGATCGGGCAGCTTGTAAAACGATGAAAAAATGAAACACGATCTTCTGCCGGCGGGTTGTCGTCTCGTGGCCGAGCCTGGCCCGCATGCCACTATTTGTGGTATGCAACCTTCAGAAAGAAGCTTCGGAAGTCGGCAAGAGTGCCTTCCCCTCATCCTACCCTTAGCCACTGGCCCTGAACGAAACAATCGACAAAAAACGCACAAACCTGCCCTTCACAGTCGTAAGCGAGCCAAAGTCATCAACCTATTAATGCCTTCCTGGCGAGCATCACCGAAGGTTAGTAAGAAAGTACCTCTTGAATCAAGCCTCGAACTCCGCCCTACATAGAGCCGCGCCCAAAATGCCAAGCCACGATCTCTTCGATTGTCAAGCGTGTCCAACTCTAAATCAAGCTCCCAACCTCCTTAACCGTGAACGAGTCCGCTCACTAACCTCGTCTTCTGTCCTTTGCAGGGCGACATCGAAGGTGAGCGTGTCCCTGTCCATGAGGCCGACGATATTCTTGGCCTCCTTGATCTTCGGCAGCACGTCCAGGATCTCCTTGTCTACACTCTGCGGGCAGAGAAGGCACAACAAACGCAGACAGATAGCATGAGTTGCAGGGTAGCAAGTTAAAGTCTGTAGCCAATATTTTTTGGCGATGTTGTTGTCCTCTTTTGTCCTGTGGCGAAGGACGACACGACGCAGATTGTGTGGCAAAACCACCAAAGTAGATGCGCGGAGAAAGGAAAACAGCTGGTGGTGGCTTGCGCTGTCGTGGTTGTCATGGTGTTGATTTGAATTGCTGTACATTTACATATTTTCTTGTTCTATATTTGCTGACGGCGTGGCCGCTCTTTAGGTTCTTGTGCATAACGTTTAGATGGTGCTACCTAGATTTGCGTCTGTTGTCATTGTACTGTGTTAATCTCCCATCTATTCTCTACGGCATTCTTCATTTCATTCAGGCACTCTGGTAGCGCTGGGGTTACGTGGAAGGCCCATCCCCTGAACCCTGTGGTGTATGACGTGTGATCGCGGCGAATGTTCAACAACCCTCTCATGACCTTCCCTAAGTCGATTTGCGAGTACGTACGAACGAGCTTTTCAATCCCAAGCGCATGCTGCTACCACCTACTGTTCTGCGTGCATGAAATAACGACTGTATCGCGGCGCTAGCGTCTGATCAACTAATAAATCGCCGTAAGCCAATGGGTGGGTTTATCGATAAAAGGGACGCGAAGGGTAAGGTAATAACCAACCGCTTTTCTGCCACACTTCTACCCAAACTTGAAGCAGAGCGTCCCTTCATACCGTGCGCTTCCTGCCCTGCCACGCTCTCTACTTCTAACAACTCGTGGAATAATAGGCCTCGTTGTCGTCTACAAGTTAAACAAGAGCGAAGAAATGGCAGGCGCATACTCCCTTGGTTCCGCTTGCCTACCTGCCACGCTCGCTCCCTCTCCTCGTCCATGGTGGGCTCCTCGTCGTCGAAGGTCTTCCCTGCCTTAGCGGCGGCCTCCCTCTGCTGCTCCCACTTCACCTTTTCCTCCTCGAACTGCTTCATTCGCTCGTCCAGCATCTGTCACAAACAAGGAGTCAACCGTCAACCCTTGACTGGTGGTGTTTTTATAGCATGTGCAACGACGAGGGAGCTTGTATGGGGTTAAGAGCGCTTCGCGCCGCTTCGCGGGATCGGCGGCGGGGGGGGGGGGGGTGGGGGGGTTGCAACGTTCTGCTGCCGCCGCCGTTCCTTGATTCCCTCCCCCTGCAAAAGCTTTCGTCAAAACAATATCCTTCAACCGCAATGTGGAAAAGTTGGGGACACCGGAAAGTTGGTCGTCCTTTCCGTTTCGGTCGGTACGGAACAGGCGATCCTGGAGAATCGCGTTCAGGGCGGTTGTTCCGTCGTGTGCGAAGACAACAAACACAACACAACTTTGCTAGACAGCTGTCGTGCCCCACCTCCTGCGCCTTCTTCCCCTTGCTCCGCAACGCCGCCTGGAGTTCCTCCACCGCGAACTCTGCTGTCGGGGGTACCGCGGCAGCTTCTGCCCCGTCCCCTCCCTCGGTCGGTACGCCTGGTGGTCTCGCGCCGGGGTGGTCGAAGAGCAGAAGCTCTCCTCCGATGGCAACGCGGTCGTAGCAGGAAATGGCTATTCTCTCGGACTTGGACATGAGGCTGTCGTTGACAGGGACATAGTACGGGGTAAGTGCCACGGTGGAGGGTAGGTCTGCTTTTTTTTTGGGGGGGGGGGGGGGGTCTTCTGCCTTTCAATAAACTTCTGGAGAAAACAACACTCACACATGTGCATGTAAGCGGTGCCATTGTATCGTTGCCCAGTTGCCTAAGCATTTTGACAAGCATCGCCCGAGATAGTTGCGTTTGTCGGAGGTGGTTAAGCTGACTGACTCCTGGGGGGGGGTACTCAAGTGGTGCTTGCCTTGATCATTCGATCGTTGACCTCACATCTCCCTGTTCCTACTCGTAGTAGAGACACCTTCGACAGTCGGGTGCTCTGCTTGTCTTTCACGCTTCGAGTACAGACTATGCGGACCTTGCCCACTCCTTCGTACGTCTCATTCCCCTCCAGGTTCGGCTGCCTGCTATCGCGAGAAAACAGTTTGCACTATGGTGCTCTCCTGTAGCAACAACACATGAGACATCGACCACACGACAAATTGTCCCGCCTTTCACACCTTTCAACCACGAGGATTCCTCCTACCTCACCCCTTCTTCGCTTCCCTCGTTCCTCACCGGCCATTGATAAAGGTTTCTCCGTCACCACACTCCAGGACGTACGTAGCCGGGGATGCGTGGCTAGCGTCCCCTTCCTGCCCCTCAGGCGCCGGTTGCGGTGCCGCCACATCCTCCTTCAGGACAACGCAGTGGTCCTTGGCGACGGTCAACGACAGAGGCTTGATGTCTCCGCCCGAACCGAACGTTGTGCGCGGCTGAAAGAGGGCGGAACGGACAGTTTGACAGAAAAAAAACGGCATGACGTAAAAACAATGGCCCAATCAGGTAGAGTGCAACACGGGCGAGGGACCCGCCATTCTTTCACATGCCGTATAGAACTGCATGCCAAAAATACAACCACAACAAATGCCGTACGCTTAGCCAGGAGACGTCATGACAGCAGCCCAGGCCAGAGAAGCGGAAGCGTTGGCCGGGGCGCGATCGGCCGGGCAACGCGACCGGAATTGATAGCCTGACGGGTCGAGCTGGGCTGGGCTACACCCGGTCGGGTTTGAAATATCCGAGTGATTTTTATGAGCAAGTGCTTCATTCCCGGTCAAAAAAAAAACTATCAATGAAGATCCCTCTCTCTCTAGAAACAAAAAGTGGATGGCCTCAACGCTCTTCCAACCTGTTTGTGGAAAACTCTTCACCAAAACGAACCCTTCCCCCTGAGCTGACCTTGTCCAAGAGGTACATGAAGCGGTGGGACCGGAAGGGATCCTCGTCAAGGTTAATAAAGTGGGGGATCGACGTCCCCTTCTCGAAGTAGGTGAGGTGGATGCCCCTCCGGCCGTACTCCTCCCGCTGTTGCTGCATCATACGCTCCTCGGTGTTGTCCGGAGACCCTCCGGACCCCCCTCCACCCTCTCCTCCTTCCTGCCCCTCTCGAGACGCGAGCACGTTCTGACGATCGTGGGGGGAGTTGGGGCGGGTTTTGGCGTCATAGGTGTGCATGCCCCAGTCGCGACCAGAGGTCTCACATTCCTACGAAGCTACAGAGGCGGGACGGACTTGTAGCGCCGATTATTGAAGCACCACAACCGCACGGCATCGAGCACGGTGCACCGCGAGATGTTCGACGACTTTCTGGGCAGTGAACCGCATTAAAAGCCCTTACCAATTGTATATCTATGACCATTGCAATAACCCATTCCTTCTTCAGCCAGAATATCAACACATTTCTCTCTGGAGCTTCCTACACTATCGCCAGCCTGTGCCCTTGAGGTTTGTCTGTAAATAATGGCGTTCCTCCAACCAGACGTTAGACAAACGGGTTTCCTCCCTTCCCCAAGAGAAGCGTCCCAGAAAGGCAATCCAAACCAGTATTTCTCGTTTCTCTCCCGAGCAAAAACCGATGGTTCTACTTCGAAAGGCGTGAGAACTGGAGCAATGCATCTGCGGAGAAGAAAAAATACCATCAGTTCCGCCTGCTTCGCAGCGAGCATCTCCTGCAGCTTCGAGTCTCCTTCTCCGCCCCCGCCCGCCGCCGCGAGTTTCTCGTTCTCCGCTTTCATGGCATCCATCATCATCTGCAGATCGAGTTTCCACATGATTCGTTGGTGGGTACAATTTCATGGATGCACAGCGAAAAACAAAACAAAAAAAAAACAGCGAGGATGGTCAAATGCTCACCTACGGAAAGAAAGCGTCAATGGATGGTGTCTTACAAGGGACGGCCCACTGTTGTGAAAGACTAACGGCGGGTAGTGGAAGGAAGCCGTTGCAAAGACAAGCAGATATCCGATTTTCATGCTATTCTAAAATTCCCTCTGCCGACCGACCATGCAATGTACAGCGAACCCGTTATTTGGCATCAAATTCCGTCAGCACGCTTCAGCCAAATAAGAACTGTGAAGTTTTTTCTCCTCTTCTCGTGACCGACGACGGTCGTGTTCTCCCCCGGATTCTTCGGTTATTGGCAGCCGCAGCGGCAGCAGCAGCCGTAACATTGTCGTTATCGTGCCCTCGCGAACCCTAGGTTTTGTCGTGGAACACTCCATTTAGTGCACCTTCATCGCGCTGCAGCAAAGACACCCCAACGAAATCTTGAAACGAAAGTTCTAAACGCTTCGACACTTCGCCTACATCTCATCGAGCTCCAAAACAACGCGTACAGCACCGCGTTGCCCTAGAACCCCCAATCGAATCTGCCTGAAAATTGCCTTCTTTTTCGTCACCTAGAGTTCTTCCGTCACCTTCGGCTTCGCGCCCACCTGGTTAGACACACTGACGCCCCCTAACAAAATCGAACAAATCTACCAACGCCACCTACCTTCATCTGCTCGAGTTCCTCCATAAGCTTACGCTCCGCCGGAGAGCTGGCGGCCACGGCCTTTTTGGGCTGCAGCTTCACCACGGAGGCATTCTTGGCGAAGTTGCACGTCGAGAAGGTGTAGGAATGATACTTCACCTCCGGTCGGATTGCGCAGAAAAGGTACGTCCTGTGGGTAATTGTTTTGGACAAGATGTGGGAATCGCGGTCGGAGACGGGCTGTCAAGATTGTTGCAGCCGTCGTCGGTGTCTGAAGAAATTGATGATGGGTCATGTGCCGTGTTGAACGCGCACCGTTCGAGTACCTTGAGAGGAGCGAAATAAGGTGAGTGGGTGCGTTGGGAGGGCGGTCGCTACGCAGAAACCACACAAAAGAGAAACGACTACGTCATCACCAGCACACAGGAACGCGGCAACTACAACTACAACGACAAGGACATTAACATGTAGCCACGGCCGAGCACGTAACATGACTACCATTGCTGTTGTTGCAGATGAGAGCACACGACTTGGACAGCGGGGCCACCAACCTGGCCTGGAGCATCGTGTCCTTGAGGAACTTGCACAGGAAGTATGAGTTGCACCCCGGGATAGACGCCCCCGGCTTAAGCTTCTTCTTCTTGACCGCCTCGGCCATCTTCATGAAGAACTGAGACATCTCCGTCAAAGACAGGTTGATTTTCATGCCTTGATTCTGGCATGGTGAACGACACGACAAAAAGGAGCAAGAACAGCACCAACAGCAGTGGGGGATGGGACGCGTGGCTTGTGTGTACGTGCATCGTGTGAAGGCGTTCGACTCGCGTTGACCGCATTTTGCTGCATACTCCACGCGATGATCCGTTGTTCGGGATAATCTGACCATCCACTAGCAAAGCAAAAACAAAATCCGTCACCGCCTCGCGTGCTAGTCCAGATAGTTTTGGACGCCCGGTGTTATAACTGGCTAAGGGGCAACAATTGACGACGTATTCCAGATGTTCCTGGCAGGCTAAATCAATATGGAGCGCTCGCTATTTGTCAAACAGAAACGTCACGAGTCCCTCCCCTAGAAAAAGGTGAGACACTCTCTGCGAAGCTTGTACGCGTTCGACAGCGTGCAAGCTCTCGCGTGCTTTTGCTGCAATCGCGCGCACATTCTACATCACACTGTCTCCCAGCATTGTTCAATTCTAGCCATCCAAGCCTCAAACAAGTACCTACAGCCCACGCTTATCAACATTGCGAACCCACATTCCACTGTAGACAACTGCTTTCTGTTATATTTGCGTCTTAAAAGAGTACCAGACCCAGTTATATCCCGCCCAACACACAGCCTCTACATCGAAATAAAAGTAAATGCAAAACACGCACGGCCAAACCTGCAACTCCTTCGTCTTCCGGTCGTCCTCATGCGCCCCGATGAACTTGTGCTCGATGTCACCGTTGGGGAAAACTTTCTTGTCGTACTTGGCGAACACAATGTCCCCGGCCGGCTCCGTCCCCGCCAGATCGCACACGTAGACCCTCCCCTTCTGCTTCATGCCGGCCATGTCCGGGTGAGGCCTCTCGACTTCGAGCGTCATGATGCAGTGGCCTCTGGTGCTTTGGTGGTTGAACTGTTCGTGTGTTGCGGGTGGAGCAACAGGGGTGTGTGTGTGTGTGTACTCATAGTCGTGCATGCCGTAGTCGTTAGACCATTCACCTCGCATCCCTACAAAGCCGGGAAGGAGCACGCCGGGTTCTCACCGGAGCAAAGGGGGGGGGGGGGGGTAGAAAGGTTGCTTCTTTGTTGTATCGTACACTGGCTTTTCAATACCTCCGCGGAATGGAAAAATTATATAAAACTCTCGACCTTGCACTTTCCCAACCGCACTGCTGTATCGATTTGTGTGTGGGCACGTGTCTCGCTTCTTGCTCTGGTCACGTGTCAGAGCAAATGACACGCTCTTCTCTCGCTCTGACAAACGACAAAATGGCAAGACCGCGGGAGGATACAACGACACTCTAGCAGAAATGATCCAAGGGAGAAGGCAAGCGAGTATGCACGTCCCCGCCTTGTAACGAAACGTTTCGAGAGCGCACGGCACATGACTTGTCCGACACTGACAGATATCGCACCCCATTCACCGACAGAAACATGTCGATAGACGTATTGACACAGCACAGACACATATATCGAACGACACGCAGACGGACAGACCAGGCAACTGAAAATCAACCGCCGTCAACCCGACCAAACCTCACACCAACCTGCGTGGGAGCGATGGCTTTCTTAGCGTTCGCTTGCATGAACACAGACCGTAGCTCGTCCCAGTCGTTCAAGACCTTGCTGCAGCACCAGTCGATGTCCATGAAACCGTTCTCATCCTTCTTCATGCCGTTCTTGTAGTGTTGCTCAGAAATCACGGGAGACATGAGGTCTCTATACCCCAAGGGTCCCCAAAACCGAGCGCGAAAGGAGAACCATTTGAGGGATGCACGAGACAGAGAGGGCCGGAGGAAGAAGCGTGTGAGACTCTTGGATGTGATCGGATCATGAATGTTCGGATTCACGTAGACTTGGTTGAGCAAACGAATGAGCAGCCTCGAGACCAGAACGAATCCACGCATGGTTGGCAAACAGTGCGTATCGTTTAGCTCGCCACCGGAGAGTCATGTCCCCTCCTACCTGACTGTGTCGACGACGTTCTGGAAGTACTTCATGGTGATTTTCCAGCCGTCGGTTTTGTCTTTGAACATCTCGTACGCCAGCCGAGGGAAGATGCCCCACAAGGGGTGAGGTTCTGCGTGCTTGAACCACGCCTGAAAGCAAGGTGCATGGGTATTTGTCAAGCAGCGGCAGGCAGGTGTGAAATGTCACATGCCAATCTGGGTATCGATTGGATAGAAGGAGACTGCATTGAGTGCTTGCCGACACGAAAAACGGTCGTTCGCTTTCGCCGCAGTCATTACGTTACTAGAAAACATCACGAGAACGTTTCTTTTCTCGAAATGCTCATGTTGATGCGTCCAACAAAATATCGCACTGTTGCAGCACCAGGACATGGAAAGGGAAAATCAACGGGGCAACATATAGCGGGATACACACGACCAAGCACAAACTGAAGGTGAACTCAATCCCGCCTACCCGAAACCCTGCTTGTACTATCCGAGTAAGTTGACTCTCCTGATAACATCCCGCAGCGACCCTTATTACCACGCGAAGCCCTACCTCCTGACACACTAGCCTCAAAACTTCCCCTATGCCAGTACTGCATGCCATGCTATTCGTTTACACAATCCTCAAACCATCGTCCGCGAAACGGGGGACCAAACGAACCTCTGGAATGTCAACCGCGTCGGGACCGAAAACGGTGAACGTTTTTCCCGAGCCGGACAATCCGTAGGCAAAGAGCACGACCGCGTTGCCGTCGTACAGATCGTCCTTGATTTTCGTTCCGACGGAGCTGTACACCATCTCCTGATTCATGAGAGTCATCGCCTCCGCTTCATCCTGCCGTAACGTGTCAGTGGCACGGCGCGGCACGTTGAGACTGCACCGATTGTAGCTTCCTCTTACCAACACTAGGTTGGTACCGCGTTGCAATATCAACAACAGAATCAGCAGCACAACAACAACCACAGCTAAAGCAGGTGCTGCATAGTTCCGCTTGGCTCGGCTCGGATCGGCTCGTCCCCTTAATTGGACTGCGTGGTGGCGGTGAACTCGTTCATTTCTCCACCACGAAGGGACACGCACAGGGCGGTTCCTCCCCCACTGCTCAGTGCCGTTCGCCTTTTCTCGCTTTGTCACCTGGTTGGATTGAATGTGGCGGTCGAACCCGTAGGCTGACCACCAGGCGTAGGTGAAGGCGAAGCGGTTGGTTGTGTAGTCGGAGTTAAGGAGGTTGACCTCCCCCTCCTCTTCGCCGTTCTGCAGCAGCTGGACGCCAAGTTTGTCGTCGATGGAGAACGGTCGACACCGCATCGCCACCTGGTTGAACGGGTTGTGATGCAAAAAGGTGTCCATCCAAGCGCGCACAGCACCCACCCCGCCGGAGAAAAAACATGGGCGTTACAGAGGTGCAGGGCGGCCATGGAGTTGGTTTGGAGGCTGAACTTTTTCCTGCTGCCGTAAGCCAGGCTTGGACAATCGTATAGCATTGTTGTGTTACAAAATCTTGCCTGAAATGGCGACTTGCCAACGTGCCTCCGAACAAAGCAGTCGACATACAGAATTGATGCTGATAATTTCGTGCTGAAATTTCCATGCTAAAAACCAGACCATCCCGGTGTTTCCTCGATACATCTGTTACAGAAATGCTGCGCCCCCTCAAGTGCGCCGTCGAAATCAAAATTTGAGGTGCCGTGTTCACTCAGTGTTTGGGGAACCTACATCAGCACAGAGCCGGAAAAAATGCACATGTCAGACCTGTGCAGCTGTAGATTGACGGCTGCTGTACGTGTAAATCAATTGCAAGGGCGTGTCTTGGACGCAAGCACGCACACACACACCTTGATGCTGACGCTCATGGTTGCGCTGTGTTATTAGAATCAGCTCGATATCTAGCCAGCGGATCTGGATGGCGATGTACGGAATGCCTCAGTGGTCTCTACGCCGATCGATGCTCTCCTTTTCCTGCGGTCGTGTGGGCACCAGCAGCAAACAAACATGGAACAGAACAAGACGGGTGCATAAGAACAAATGTTGAATTACCAATTTGTCGCTTTTTCGTTCGTGCTGCTGCCGCGGTTGCTGGTACATTGCTGCTTTCACATTTCAGCAGTAAAGATGTACCGCGCCGTGAGGTGTTGTAGACAGGAGGCTAAAAAGCTCTGGCCTCGGCACAAGGCGTTCTCTCTCCCAGAACATTGAATGCGGCGCGATTTTTGTTCTTGCCGGGGTGCTCCCGCAAATTTTTCAAAATGTGATTGTACTGCCCGCGGGCGTGTCTGGCGGGCAGCACAGAGTGGACAGATGGCCAGGAATATCCTACCTAGCAAAGGAGACCATTGGGCCGCCCGGGTTCATCTGCTATGAGGGCCGGGTGCACCGCTTGGCAAGGGAGAGACACGAACAAGAGCAACCTTGCACTTACAGCAGTAGCAGCGGCGTGGTAGATGCAGCGAACGACGCTCTCCAGCAGCGAATGTGAACTCACCTTGTGACCATGGAGGCTCCGACAAACGCGAAGAGAAGCACAGGTGGACTCTTGGGCTCACGAAGTAGCTAATGCATCACAAGCATCAAGGGCTGCGTGCGAGGTTGTGTAAAACTTCACACTACACACACACATCACACATCCGTGAGAACCTAGGCCGCGCGGCGTCGCGGCGTGGAAGCTTTATTCCGCCGCGTTTTCGACCGTTACAGCAGTAGTTTACGTGTTCTGCTCAATTAGTTCTGCTCGTTGCCTCCGACCTGAAGTCGACCCTCGAACTCACACGCAGGCGTCCAGAGTCCGGGGGTACATTCTGCTTGATACTGCACTCTCTCTCCGTGAAGGCATGTAATCTTGGAAAACCACTTTGAACGGTTATTGGCAGGACGAAGAGGTTTGTAGACTTCACCCTGCTGATGCCTGTGCCTGTAACGGGGTCTTATCTAACGTATGATATGCTGTCGGTAAGCGGTTACCTCGTGTGTGGCGGAGGGCTCCCCGTTACACGGAGGTCAGACCTTGAACAAAAATCTCTGCAACCGCTCTGCCTGTCTATTCTGTCTACTCTGATGAGTCAACTAGAGCAGCACCAGAGAAGCACTACATACCGTAGTTTTACCTGTGAAGAGATGGATTTGTCGTGTTTTTCGTGCAAAAAAATGAGATGGATTTGTCGTGCTTTTGGAACGTAAATTGAGTGTGCAGCAGTACGTAGTGTATTTGTACGCGAAAAGTGCGAACGGGAAGGTTTAAGATTGATGCCGCACTTCACGAAGGCTATTCCTAGAAACATACCAGCGAAGAGAATGGTTTTCCCGATGCTTCCCCGCCCCAGAACCTTAAACCTCGGGTTTCAAGCCTCACTACGAGTCATAAAAAAACCTCGGGTCAACTCCGGGCCGCTACAATAAGGGCGGGCCGCTTGGACAGGGTGTAGGGCACGCATGAGAGGGGCTTGGAAAAGGGGCAACTTCTATGAATAACTCCCGTCAATTTGCTTCCGTAGATTCCAGTATGCCATGACTCTCGTGGAACGCGGAATGAATTGGACTCCGAATCAAGGTCTCGCATCACTGGCGCTAAATACATTGAAGTGGGATGTCACCCAGCCGCTGTGGAGCACAGAAATATTCGGGGACAATGTAACCATGGTCAGGTGTATCCAGAAGCATCCACAATCAAAACATCAACGAACAAGAGTCGGTGGTGCTGCATCCTCAGACGGATCAGCTAGCCGTAGTCTACACAACGTAAAACGTAAAAAGGTTTGACTCACTACATATCTACAGGCTACACCCGGGCATGCTCAACCATACAGTATTGTCTGTTGATGTTTCTATTTTCCTTTGCCGCTGAAACCGAACGGGTCTGGCAGCGGCTCTCGGAACAACCCCCGTGTCCGTGCCGGCTGTTGTGGCCGCTGCAGGCGTGCTACACACTCAGTCGTGTTGGATCCTGTCGAGTGCAACAAGCTCTGATGCCGGGCTTTACTTGAAGCGCTCGCTTCCCGCCCTAAACTCGTAGTGCCGGTTGGGGCGGAAGCAATTGTGCCGCCAGTGATTGCTGTTGGGGCCGCCCTGAAAAAATGCGGTTGCAACGTAGAAGGTGAGCTCTGGCATAGCACTGGGGTACAGCTAGCGCCCGCAGTTAAGAACCTGGGAGAAAAGAAGTTCAGGCTCAAAAATGGGCTCAGTAAAGAAGCCCTAGACTAGCACCTATAGGCTGTAGTCGCTGTGAGGGTACCCCATAGACTACAGATTACCAAGAGATGCGCCTTGGCCAATAACTAGGGTTCTAAGTACGGGCGCTGGCTGTGTTGATTGCAACTGTACGTCCAAGCTATTTGTTCAATACGTCAACATCATCGTTCAGCAATACGAAAATCAATGTTCTGACCTTCGTTGGATGGCTCTACGTAAGGTGCTCAGCCGGTAGAAGGCAGCCTCGCCGTACCTGAACAAATGTCATGCGAACAGGAAGCACGATGGCATAGATCAAACGGCCAGCCAGACACAAGATTTGTCACTTCGTTTCAAGCCGGGCACCATTTACCACGCACAGTTACCGGAGCCTACAGAACAGAAGGATCAAGGCACTAAAGGCTACCGTATCCACCTTAGCTACTACTTTAGCAAGACGGCAATGGAACTGCGCCGTATTGCGCATGGGCAGTTGTACTCTGCGGTCGTCTATTGACCGTACCGACAGCAGTAGCACTGAAGCGCCCTTTGTTGTTGTTGTAGTCTACCCTTGTTTGAGGCACGGGAATGATACTTCCATATTCAACACGACCAAGGTCGGCTAAGGTTAGCTGACTGTTAGCTGCACGAACGAAGGAGATATGCACCTTACAATACCACACTGCCTACAGCACACATAGCACGTACATTTCGTGAAGATAGCACGTACATTTCGTGAAGAAGCGCCTTGTCTTGAGGCAAGTCACCGGTTCTTAAGAACTGTAGAACGTAGCGAAATATCCACCTGGTTCCACAAATCCATGTGCGTGTTGAATCAAGCGTGGCTCAAATGGACATGCATGTACAAGTGACCACAGGGTTCATGAGAGCACAACGTTATCAAGGGGTGATGCAAGATGACACAAACACACTGCCGGCGCGCCCACATCTAGCTAGCTGCCAGTGCCAGTTGGTTGAGACGTATGCCAAGCTCCAACAACGCACACAGCTGACGTGTTTTGACCCGAACAGCCCCGCGCACCTCCACGAACAATAACATAAAGTTACAAACCCGTATACAGTTTTACAAAGGGCCACCGTCAGACCGTAAACAGGGTTTACGGTTAGCCTCCAACGGAAGTCGGATTTCACAAATGGTGCCCCATCGAGGTTGTGTGGGTGATACACAAGGGTTGGCAATGGCCACCAAATATTGATCGTCACACCCGTAAATAGTCTATGTATGAGAATCGATGTGGAAATCGCGACAATGGGAGCTTGGGGTGGTCCTGGCGCTAGCACCAGTTCTACATTGGATTTCAATAACTTCGTAAGAGGAGCGGACGGTATGTTTTGAGGTGATCTACGAAACACTGTCGACCTTGCATCCATCGGTGTTTGTTTAACCTAGTCCAGCGCTCACAGCAATAGTAGTCCCTGATGGGGCATGTCTCTTGCACGAATAGGTCCATCCGCAGATTGGTTGTATTGCACACATGTAGCGATCGAATAGTAGCTAATGGAGTACGAACAGGTCAGGACCATATATCATTGTGTGGGTACTGTATATCCCCGACATCGACGTTATATTTCTCACCAATCTCGTTCGAAAAAGAAAGATCCGTCTTCGCCCTTAGCAATCGGTGGGGTGACCTTGCAGATGCAAGCTAGCAAGGAGAACCGATCGCGACAGAGTACGCCAGCCGTTGTCTGGAACTTCTGTCCTCCAATGTTTAGAACGATTGGCTCCTCGCCACTGACAAAGTCGAAAGCTGCCTCCTTTTCAAATCTAGTGTAAAGTAGACCCGCCAGTATATTGCCCAGAACAGTTTTACGACGACAAGGGATTGTGGACAAGTGAGTGTACGCGTTGCGTTGCAGTGTTGTCGTGGTCACCAGCCAAAAGTCCAAACTTCACAGCACATTTATCATCTACAACCGACGCTTCTACTGTCGGAGACTACCCCCGTATCAGCTGATTTCGTAGACCACGGGGATTTTGTGATCAGCATATTGGTGTCATCAGCATCATGCAGACACCAGGAAGTCTCTTGAGATATGATCATGACAGAGGACATGTAGCTCGTGATGTTGTTGCAGGCGCTGCTGGCTGGCCGCCTCCACCTCGGGCTATGGGCCAGCTTAGCGGTGCAAGAGGGTCAGATCTATTTCAATTTTTCGCCGTCTGCCCTCTGTCCTCTGGAGTTGTGGGCCACTATGCATATGTGTATATTGTACAATTCCCTTATCCTCAGGATGGACGTAGGCAACCTTCAGTCTAAACCCAAACTTCAACTACAGACGTTTGCTGCGCAGAAGAAGGCCTTTGACTGGAGATGTCCCGCGCTCATGAGCATACTACCAAGAGGTGTTGTTTGACTCCTTTTACATGTACTCTGCTGTACAAGAGAACCTACGTAACTCGCTCCACGGACTCTCTCCAGCTTAAACACGATTTGGTTCCTGAGTGACATAATACCACTCACGCTTCTCTCGCCTCCGCATTTTTCTTGTGCATCGTAGAAATTTGCTTCCAGATATCCTGCAGTCGTCGACGTTCCATCAATATGGCATGTTCCTCGTCCTCGAGCTGGTCCCAAAGGCGCTGCACGCCCGGATCCACTTGACGAAAACCCATGTTTCACGTTTCACGGACGCGCCGCCGCTTCGCAACCTGTAAGTCGCTTCGCAACCTGTAAGTCTTCGTAACCTGTAAGTCGCGTGCGGTTTGTTGGCGGTGATGGATATACCCGATGGCGTGCTCTCTGCAATTCTCCTCCACCTGCGCGACAGGTCAGTTTTGGTTACGACCTGTCAACACAGTGAAGCCAGTAGGGACGGTGGCTCGGATTACGCGTGCTGTCAGAGGTATCGTACCCAGCAGCGCTTGGTCGAGCGCCGACGTCCACAGGCCGACGTGACCACCCATCCAGAGAGCACGAGAGGCAGAAAAACACAACACCAGAGAGAAAGAAAGGGATTTCAAGAAAGGCGCCGAACAACCGCCGAGTGGGAATAATTCTCACGGCGGTTTCGCGGAGTTCGATTGTTTTAGTCGCGTGTTCGTAATTCTACCATTCGCGGAGCCCCCCCGCTGTCTGTTGGGTGTCTGCTGTTTGCTGTGCTGTGTGGGTTGCTCTTATGCTGCGCCGACAGTTGTCCAGCCAAGTGAGCGACAGGCTACTGGTTGTGGGCATGGAATGAAGAAGCCAACACAGTTGTCGGTTGACGCGTCATCCTCTCCCTAGTTGGTCGGACTGGGCTCCCAACCTCGTTTTGAAAGGGAGCAGCAGTCCTCGCTCTCGGCTCAACGACAGCAGTTTCCTTTGACAGCAGTGCGTTGATCCCCATGTTCGGCACTGGCAAAGGGAGTGGGGGAGGCAAAGGAAACGGCAGCAGGGATATCAATCAAGGTGGTGGGCTGTTCGGTAGCGGCAACAAGAAGTCTGCTTCCCCAACACCAAATGCACAAGCATCGCCAAGCTCTTCGGGAGGGACGTTTGGTGTCGGCAACCAAGGCACGCGGCCCATTACCTTTGGAGTGCTCGGAGGAGCGTCGCGAGAGCAGCAGCCGTCATTCGGCTCGTCAGCCCAGCCCGTTACCAGCACAGGTTCTTCAGTGTTTGGATCAGGTGCTGGTTTTGGCGGTGTGAAAAAGAAGAAGCCATCGGGTGTTGCGGCGGGTTTTGGTGGTGCCGCTGCTCCTGCTGCTGCGTCCGGGTCCGGCACCGGAGCAGGCTTTGGTACTGGAGCAGGCTTCGGCGGCACTGAAGCAGGCTTCGGCAGCTTCGCTTCCGCAACTTTTGGGGGGGGGGGGACTACTGGGGGGGGATTCGGCGTCACATCCAAAACAAAGAGCGCTTCTAGTACACCGAGCTGGGCGACGGTAGCAGCGACAACGACACCTTCGGCCAGCGGTATTGGTAGCGCCGGGGGTTTTGGAAGCGGAGGAGGCTTCCAAGGTAGCGCAAAGACCACCGGCGGGGCCAAGTCTACTACTGCAGGGGCATCATCTGGTAGTTTTGGCGATGGATGGCAACCGATGAGTGCCACCCCCAAAACCGGGTTTGGGGGGCTAAAGAAGCCTGCCGTTGCGGCGGGAATATTTGGCGGTTCTGGTGGAGGAGGAAAACTGAAGGTTTCAGCCACCGGTACCAGTTTTGGCGCTGATACCACTGCTGGTGGCAAGAGCTCGTTTGCCGCCGCAGCGAAACGGGGAGCTTTGTCGAGCGCCTGGATCAGCAGTGGTTCGACGGTTCCTTCGGCAGCGGGAGTGGCTGGTAAGACCGCGGAAGGACAACGACCGAGGTCGGGTGGGTTTGGCGGAGATCAGGCAGCGGCATCCTCTACAGACCAACGCACGCCTAGCTCCGGCTCATGGACAGGGGGGTTCTTGACAGCGAGCGGGAGGGCGAAAGCTCGGAAACGAGCAGCGGCAACTGGCGATGATGGGGGTGGGGGGAGCAAAGGCAATGACGACTCTGGCGCAGCTCCGTCCAAGGGTGGTGCTGGCAACAAGAGGGACAAGAATCGCGCTCCGGCCGCGGGCGCCGCTGATCCAACCACAAGTGTCGGGTCGGGCGGCAGCAAAATCATGGGTGCGTTCGGGTCCCCACCACCAGTTATGGCTTCTTCCGATGCCCCAACGTTCGTGGGAGGAAGGAGGACAGCGGGCGCAGCCGGTGGGTCCAACATGTCAAAGAAAGCGTCGGCCACGGGGAGTAGAATCATGGGCGGCTTCGGTGCACCACCCCCTGGGGCGTCGTCTTCCCCACCTGCGTTTGTCGGAGGGGGCGAAAGCGGAGTTGGTGCAGCGGGTGTATCCAAGGGAAAGAGAGCGCCTACTACGGGGAGTATTCTCCTTGGCGGCTTAGGAGGCGGAAGCGGATTTGGTGCAGGGGGTGTATCCAAATCAAAGAAGGCGTTCGCCGCCGGGCGAAGTAGAATTATGGGCGGCTTCGGTGACCCGCCCCCTGAGGCATCTTGTTCCCCACCTGCGTTCGTTGCAGGAGGTGGAAGCGGAGGTGGTGCAGGAGGTGCGTCCAAATCGAAGAAGGCGACTACCACCGGGCGAAGCACAATTATGGGCAGTTTCGGTGACCCACCTCCTGAGGCATCTTCTTCCCCACCTGCGTTTGCCGGAGGAGGCGGAAGCAGTCTTGCTTCGGGCCTGGACGCTGTTGATGCTGCTGCCAAGGCTCGTAGAGCCCAAAGATTTGCCGGTGCAGGCGGCGGTGGCGGCGGCAGCGGCAGGAGTGGCGGCGGCGGGGGTGGTAGTACCAAAGGTGGTGGCGTCAACAGCAGTAGCGTGGCTGGGAACAGCGGCGGTGGAGGATCTGCCGAAGACGTCCAGAGAGGGAGCCACCTGGATGATGCAAAGATTAAGCAGGGGACAGTGGAGGCGATGTGTCCGCCCGAGGAGATGTCGCGCCGCGTGCCCGGGGACCTTCACATTCTTGAAAAGGAGCACCCGGATTTCTTCATGCCCGACCTGGGGGACGGCGGGCCGCCAAGGCTCTGGTTGCACGACGACCTCGTGGTGAAGAGGCACCAGCGCGCGGCGGCGGGGATGGACATCAGCAAGCCGGAGCTGCTGCGCACGCCGCTCTGGCTGGCGCGCACGGTGGACCACCTCGTCATGATTTGCATGGACAAGGGGCCTCACGGCGGAGGAGACCCGGCGTTGGTGTGGGACGACCCCCGAATCCAGGAGTACATGGCCAAGTTTCGGGCGAACAACCCGTCGCGGGCAGACTCTGCGGAGGAAGAGACGGAACACGATGTGCGTAGGTGGTTCACGAGGGTGCTTTGTGCTGGTAGGGGTGGTTGAGCCTAAGGGGGTCAAGAAGGTCATGAGTGCTTTTGTGTTGAGAGTGCCATCCAGTATCCGATGATTGTCTCGGCGGGGTTGCTGCATGTCCGTGCGTGCCGTTGTGTTGCCTTATGCTCTTGCCAAGAGTGGCATCCGTCATACGTCGCTGCCAGTTTACAGTTCTGCTCTGCCATGTTACCTGAAATTTCAAACTTCACCCTATCCATGTGATGGTGGATGGCAGCCTTACCAAGTGAAAATGCTAAGTGGAGACATTCACCTTGCCGGTGTCAAAATCACGCTCTACTCATGTGGTATTGGATGGCGATCCCCGCCCAACTCAACATCCTTTGCTTGTCTCCCTCCACGTGCCCTCTTGTTCTGCTGGGCCCTGTCCGTTCAGCTGTACAATTTCGTGTGGGACCGGTTCCGGATGGTCAGATCTGACTACAACATGCAGGGCTATAACCCTGTGGTTGGACTCGTGTCCGAGGCTAGCATCGTGGCACATGAGCGTATGGCAAGGTGCGCAAAAGGTTGGCCTTCTTGACCTTCAACCACCTTGCTTCTCGTGGTGGCTTATTTTGCGGTGTTTCAACTTCCTTCTCGTAATTTTAGTATTGACTCAATTCGCGGTTCTTTGGTTTTGTCTCTTTCATACGCCGCGTGCGATGCAGAGCCGTATACACCTTCTCAACACGGTGTGCGTGTTTGTATGAGCATGGTTGTTTTTTGCCTGTGTGTGAGTTTGTCGCCAACGCCACGCTTGTCTTTTGGTGTTTTTTTTTATCATCTTGGTGTCTCGCCGTATTCCTGAAGCATGGCTACCCCGAACAAGACCAATACGCACATGTGTTGGCTTGTAATCTTGGTCCTCTCCGGAGTCTATTGTTTCGCGAGGAGGAGTGCATCGAAACCCGGGTTACCGCGAGCTGCCATCGGTGGGCCATTCTGACCCTTTCATTGCCCACGGGCCTTTTTGGCTTTGCTGTTGTTTTCGCGCAACAGATGGTACGTTCTGATGGCCAATCGCATGGAGAAGAACAGCATGCAGACCCACCGCTTCAACCTCAAGTCCATCGTCGAGACCCTGAAGAAACTTGTGAGCTAGCCCTGCGTGTGCATTAGGGATATCAAGTTTGCTTGATATTGCGAGTTTGCTGCACCGTACGTGCGGTATGCTCATGCATCATCCCTCGGGAGCACGCGCGCTTGGGAAAAGCACCTCCGCGTTTGTATCGGGTACTTCGGAAGGTGCCTCGCGGAAGCCACGCCTTAGGATGAACGATTTCCGTATTGACACGAGTAATTAGCTCATTGGTCGTGAGGCAGATAAATAACAGTGTGGGGGAGCAAAGGCATGGCCACCTCACGCTTTGAGCTTCGTTTTTGTTGTTCTTGAATACTCAAATGTTCACATGTTCATGCTTTCACCTCCACCTGCTTCTGATGAAATTACAGTAGGGGGCCCGATATAAGGCGGCTGAAATTGGCGCACACAACCCAGACCCGATATAAGGCGGCACCGCTTTATATAGGCAATCTCCCTGAATAAGGCGGTAACTACCCAAGTAAAATCCGATATAAGGCGGTGATCATCTTCGCATCACTACGCCCGTCTCTGAAACACCTGTACCTTTGTGGCCCAAGACACCTGAAGGAGTGGTCAACACAACGCCCTGGCTTAACGGAATACAACCCTACTGTAGGCGCGCACACACTTTTTGTGTTCGACCGCACGAAACCGTATTTTTTTACGCGGAGGAATTCGATGCGAACGAGCGCGGACACATCACTCTTTGCACACACGCCGTCGGCCCGGAGCATGCACTGAGCCAACTCTCCCAACACTTCGGCTCTATAGAACCCGAAATCAAACCATTAGACTAGTCAGCGCTGACTAGTCTAATGGTTTGATTTCGGCTTCTATAAAAGTTAGTCGTGGGGTTCGTGAGCCCCGTCACTTTCACTTCCGAGGCGGGTGACTCCCCTTGCCAGTGCTACTATCCGTCCAATCTTTATTTCGCTTCATATCACTCGCCACCCACATCCTGCTGACTAGTCTAATGGTTTGATTTCGGCTTCTATAGCTCTCTGGAAAGGGCCGCGGGGGAGTCCGGCAATAGCGAAGCCGTTTTCCACCTTCAGAAGGCCAAAATGGCGATGATCAAAGCTCACGCGTCTAAACCCGTGCGGCAGTCGGACATGAGAGAGTTCTTGTAGGCGGATAGACGGATTCTCTCAGCTGTTGTCTTTCATAGAGCAGGGTGTGCTGCAAAGAGTGGTCGCATTTTCAGAGGTACAAGCGCCGGGGCAAGTAGTGCTTAACCCGGCCAAGCGTCATGGACGCAGCGAATACAAATGTTTTTCGGTGCCACGATTGCTTTCCAACTATTGCGTGCGTCCATGTTGGCTAGCTTAAGTTTTGTTCTTCACGAAGGAAAAATATTCGGTGTCCCTCGCATCAGACCGAAGAGAAGTGTTGGTTTGGACACGTTATTCGTCTACTCTACCAGAGCCTTGTGCGGCGGTATTGTTGGATGCAGATGTACATTCTGCTGTACACTCCCAGCGGGGTCGTACGGCATCAGATGTACACGTACATACCGCTGTAATCAACACTCAAACAATTGCAAGCAATCTTGCTCGTTCTACACGCGTGAATGCATGACGCGTGACCATTTCTTCCACTCAGCGACGCGCCGTGAGGTGATGCCCAATACGCTGAAACCTCCTTTCTTCATTTGTCTTAAATAAGGCGGTCACCGCCCTATTGGGCCAATCTCAGACCGTGTATAAGGCGGTTCTTATACACGTATAAGGCGGCTGCCCGATATAAGGCGGTTTCCTTCACCATGCACTACACCGCCTTATATCGGGCCCCCTACTGTATGCATAATTCCATTATTTTTTGGTGAGGACAGCAACAACGGCAACTTATCCCATCAGAACACAACTATCACAAAGTGTTCTGACTCACAACGTTTGCCGTTGCGCTCACCCATCCCTATCCTTCCGCCTCTCCAATATTTTTTCGTTCACTTGCAGTACGAGTTCTACACCATTCGCGTCTCTCGCGGAGAGGTCAGCGGAGGTCTCGCCAGCCCCAACGAGCCAGAGGTGAGCTATGCAACCAGATCAGCTGTTTTTTTTTGTGAAGTAGTGTTCAACGTTCGAAACGTGTCCATAGGCGATGGGCGGGAATGGACCGTGATGACTGGATAGTTCTCGTAAAAGCACAGCAGGTTTTTCTGGTTTCGGCTCTCAGCAGTACCCTTTTGTTTTCGCCGAGTGGGCTCAGATCTATTTGGCGGAGAAGCTCCGCTGACACGCCTGATCGGAGATCTTCATCTGAGAACTTCATCTATGCGGTGGTGATTCGGTTTTGTCCTTGTTATGGGAGTTACAGGCTGATGGACTCGAACGTGACGTTTGACGCCGCTCGACTCGAAATGAGCTTGTCTATTTAGTGGTTGATTATGCACGCTCACGGCGTTTCGGCAAAGGAGCAATATTTACTAAGGGTGTCGAGCAAGTGGTGTTAATGTGTTATGCGGAGAGCCTCCAAAAACGTCTGCGCCCGCCTTCCCGCTCAAGCTTTGTCGTTTCCAACGAGCTTGAGTCTCCACGTCTCCATGCCCCACCGCCCACAGCTCATCGATTTCCTGCCGATGTTCCGCTCCAACCACAGATCATGGCGTACTACCTGCTGACGGTGCTCGAGCAAGACGGTGGTATTGAGGTGCAGCGGTTGGTCAAGGACCTGGTCAGGAGCCGGGTGAGCTGGTTTCGAGATCGGCCGCGTTGATTTGGTTCTGCAATTTTCTTATGAGCGAATGTGAAGTTCGTCACGATCTCCGTACGGACGGTAGCAAACGACCGAGGCCACCAAACCACGCAGCAATGGCAGCCTTGGCTGTGATTCCACGCCGTTATGCACGAGACCTGAGTATTACACGCTTGTATTGCTTCGGATTTTGGTGGACCTATGCCGAATAGGCGGAACACGCCAGTTTTTTGCGAGAGGTGCGTAGTTTTGATGACGTAATCTGCATTTGGCAAACTGGCCGATTGTAACCAACCTCCACACAGTTTCGTTGGTTACTTCGTCGGCTACGATGCCACACCATTTCGATGCCAGTAGACCACGGTTGACAGTTTGTTTTCTCGTTTCCGCCGCTTCGGTTTCCACTACTGCTCCCCACTCCTCTCCCGCCCCCCACCAGCGCGAGGAGGTGCTCGATTCTCCGGAGATCAGAGGGGCCCTGAAGGTCGTGCGAGCGTGGCATGCCGGGGACTACGTCACGTTCTTCCGGGCGTTTCGGCAGCAGGGGGTGATGCACCGGTGCCTCATGTCCCAGTATGTCAAGCCTATGCGCGACTCGGCGATCAAAGTGCGTCCCTCTCTTGTGCTGTCAGTTGTGCTGTGCGTACGCGTGCGGGGGGAGGGTGGAATGGGGCGCACAGATTGGAAAAAGCCGAACGGGCTTCACGTTCGCATCTATTTTGGCTACCTCGATGTTTTACATGTGTGCATGAGTAGTTCAGCAGTCTGTTTGTGTGTGGGTTGTTCCTGGGTCTAGGAAACTAGAAGAATCTTCGATGCACCTCGAGTTCTTCATCTGCAGGCCTTGGAACCACGATGTTGTGAGATGCCGAGTTGTGTGCGTTTGTTTCCCGGACTGGCGAGACTATGTAGTGGTATGGTTCCCTCTTTATATTCGGCTTCTTAGTCAACATTGATCACACTTGATTCAAGGGGGGCACTGTTTCTGTCTGCCAACAAAGTCGACCGTCTCCCAAGCAGCACTCTGATCGGCGAGTACGACGCTGACCCGACGTGCTTTCTCGACCTTGAGCTCATTTTTTGAGCTCTCTTGTGGCGCCTGAGGTCCCTTGGTCCCACCCGTCACTGTTCGCCATGCCTGAAGCACCTTCTTTCCACAGCTTACGAGCCTGCTGCTGCAGCAGCAGCAATAATAGCCTAGGTGCTCGTGGCAGGCATGATGATCGGAACAACGCCTCGCTGCGAGCAAAGTGTGTCTTCTCGAGTGAATGGGACGTGTCGCGCTTGGTCAACCCCCTCCGCCAGCCTAGCACCGGCTGTGATAACCAATAATACCACCGGTTATATTGTGGATTAGAATCGTTCAAGTGGTCGACTTCGTGCGTTTGTTGATCCTTGATTTCTCCCCTGCTCGGCACGTTTTCACAGGTGATTGCCCAGTCGTTCGCCGACTTCTCCACTTCGGAGCTGATGCGACTGCTGTGCTTTGAGAGCGAAGACCAGGCCGTCGACTTTCTGATGGTGTACAGCTTGAAGGTGTCACGTGCTGGTCAGGTGAGAATCGAGCCTTGTGGAGTTATATGTGTATTCGAGGTGCCAACCGACATCAAGAGCGTTCCTTTTGTTTCGCCTAGGGATTCATGTACCTAGGGAGCCATTATGATTGACTCCGGGCGTTTTTCAGCAGGTGTAGTAGCAAGTTTACCTCTCTGGATATAGATCAATTGTCCTTGCGTTGTTCGTGTTTTGGTTGCCAGCCTCTAGTTTTCTCTCAGTCCTCGCGATGCCTCCGCCACTACTGTTGCCCTTTCCACCGACGGAGTATTGGTCGAGGCGCTGGCTCCCGCGCGTCCACGCCCCCACTGCGCTGACGCCCGCACCCTCACACCTCTCTGTGGCAGAACATAACTTCCTACGAATGGCGACCCTTTTAATAGCGCGTTACACCAGCAGATACCAGCCGATGTTTCCCTACGCAACGTTCCCGCAGATTCCCCTTCCCGTACATGCTCTCTCTCACTCAGTCGACCTTCGCCTCGCGAAAACTGTCGATATTTCCCGGGGTTGCCATCAGGTGCACCTTAGGACGAGGGACCAAAATGGCAGGTGGACGATGGCTTTCAAGCACCCGGCGGCTATGCCAGAACCTCCGCCGTTGCAAGACCTCGTGGAGCCCAAGCCCTGGCGCCTTGCGTCCGAGTGGGTGTGCAAGGATGACTACGAGCCCTCAGCGGACAAATCTCACGACGTCACCTCTGCTCCCCGCCAGCAGCAGCAGCAGCAGCAGCAGCAGCAGCAGCAGCAGCAGCAGCAGCAGCAGTCGGATGGCGCGAAAGGAGCAGCCGCCTTGAGAAGGGCCACGTCATCCTCGTCCACTGGGTCTGCCAGCGGACGAGGAGGAGGAAGCCTGAGATCGATGGGTGCTGGGAGAGTGGCGGTGCCGCGGCGCCCGTCGATCTCTCAAGCCAGTCCTTCGCTAGCACACCCTTCTTCAAGCGGCAACACGGGAGTGCTTTCTGGGGGTGGCGCCAGGGATGCTCCCAGCACTGGCTCAGGTACCGGAAAGGCTGCAGGGAGCACTTTTCCGCCGTTTGGGGCGCCCGGTACGAAGGTCACAGAAGCTTCTTCGAACAAGCCCTTGCCGGGCCAGCCAGCCACCACGACGCAGCAGGGCGCTTCTGTCTCTTCACTGGCAACGTCCTCTCCCGCGACACCGCTCGCCGCGGTTGGTGGTTTCGTGTTCGCGCCGCATAGTCCCGCGCCGTCCTCGAAGTCTAACGCACAGGATGCTCCGGCAGGTAAAGGTCCGAATTCGGGTGCGCCGACGCCGCCATTGGCATTCCCACCGCTTGATAGTACCATCGGTGCAAAGCTTGGCAGTGTGGCTGGAGACTCATCGACGGTGGCTACGGGAAAAGACGCCCTTCTCCCATCTGATTCGGCGGGGGGCACGCAGGGTGGTCAGGGCCCGGGCGCGGGCGTTGCGACGGGAGGGTCGGTTGCGGCGTCCATCGCGTCCGCTTCCACCTTCGCCCCTACCCCCGCTCCAACCCCTCCGCAGACCGGTGGCTCAACACCCGCGGCCGTAGCTGCAGCGGCGCCTGGCAAACGTAGAAAGTCGCCTGTCTCGCCTCCGAGCGGGTTGGTCGGAAACGCCCCGCCCACGGGGGACGGGCTTAACGTCCCGCACCCGGCATCTCGTGACCAGGCGAAGAGAGATCGGAAGACGCCCACAACCACTATACCGGCTGGCGCCTCACCAGCGGAGGGCGCAGCGGCAAATGCCGCTTTGGCGGCTGCCCAGCAGGCGGCGCGGGAGGACGCAAAGCGGGCGATGGATGATCGGCAGCGGCGAGAGAAAGCGGAGGCGGAGGAAGCGAGACGAAAGGAACTGGCCGCTGCGAGACAAAGGGCGGCGCAAGCGGCAGCGGCGGCAGCGGAGGAAGCGAAGCGGGTGCGTGATGCCGAAAGCCGCGCGGAGCGTGCGCTGGCGGCGGGGAGACTTGTTCCGTCGGATGTGGTCGATAAGGTGAGAGCTTTTCGACGGTTTCACGGAGGCGCGAGGAAATAAATCTGCTGTGTTCACACTCCATAGATAGAACGGGTACTAGGTCAGGGCTGCAGGTTTGATGCGTATGTAGCGTGTGGTGTGAAGAAGTGCTGCCTATAGCTGCTTGCTGCACAAGATCACCGTTCTTCTCTATTTTGTCTATAGTGCCGAAGCAATCTCTTGGCATGCGACTGAGCATACTGCGTGCCGTTCGTTTCCTTGGCCAGTATTGTTCGCGATCTTTTGCTTGTCGCGATCACGTGCATGGGTGTGGTTGCTGTTTTGACCATCTGAAGAGGCGAGTCTGCCCGAGGAGTTGGCCGTCCAAGCTATGTTGTTGCACATCAACGCCGTCGGAAGAACGTAGTCGCTCAACGCAGCGACATCAATCGCACTGCCAGAGCTTACCAGCAGTGCATGACCCCAGCTTCCGTTGGTTCTGACCACCCGTGTGTACAACGCAGCTGCCGGACGGCCGGCTTCGACGGTCAGCTTTACAACACCGGAAAAAGTCGGGATTACGCCTTGCTCAGCTGGAAATCGCCGTCTTGCGCCGTAGGCGGTCTGCGGCCTGGGGAGTGTGGTTAGAGGAGACGAGATCTTGCGTGGAAGAACAGCGTTTGGTGAGGAAAGGTCGAACTGCAGCTGTGCGGTTTTGTTTTGAGCGGGAGAGTTTTTTCTGGTTACCGCAGCAGTCCGCCCTCGCCATGTGCTTCTAGCGATGTGCGATAACTTCAACGCAGTATCGAATTATCCATGTCTACAAGAAGAAGTCGATGAGTGTCAAATTGGCAGAATGCGATTAGACTGTGAATAGGACTGCTTTGACACGGTAGGTCTTGATGCACCACGCAAGGGGGTATTCGAAATGATGATTGCACTCCCTTTTCTTCCTCATGTCCTTCACCACACCCCGCGGAACAGATGGAGCTCCGCAACCGACGCTTCGAAGAGCGAAGTGCCCTGACCGAGGAGGCTTCCATCCTCAGGAAAACCAAGAAGCGTCGCTCCCGGTCCTTCAACGATTCGGGTAGTGGCGTACCAGGCAAGGCGAAGGCCGAGGCGGTGGCAACAGCAGCAGCGGATACGGAAGCGAAGCGACACGACGTATCCCGAAGCGGGGAGCTTCGCAAGCCCCGACCGCTTGACGTTGCCGCCGTCGTGTCGCCAGGGGTCGCCAAGAACCAGGGAGAAGAAACCGAGGAAGCGTTCAGAGCGGTGGGACTGACGACGGTTTGGAGGCCTGTCACCAAGGCCAGAGAGCGGAGCAGCTCTCCCGACAATTCCTTGCTGCTACCGGTGGGAGGGTTGTCCCCCTCTCCGCCCCACTTGTTCTGGAAGGCGGTGGTGGTAGCACCATCTCATACGAGAGGGAACGTGGGGGCGTGGCTCGAGGCCAAGTTCGGCGGCAGCGCAGCAGGTGGGGGCGCGGAGGGGATGTCGGCGTACCGAAGGGAGCTAGTGTCTCACGGGTTGTGCCCCGAGCTGGACAAGGGGGTGGTGTCAGGCGCCGAGGACGAAGAGGAAAGTTCGTGCGGGAGTTCGGGCACCTCGAGGCTCATGTTCCGGGAGCTAAGGTGGGTCGAGCAGACGGGGGAGGGGGGGGTTGGACCATCTGGTCCTGATTCGCCCTCGGCAGAAAAGTGGGAGATCGAGTTTTTTGTCACGGTTTTCAGGGGTGAAATCGTGTTTCTGATTGACTGCGATGGTGGCGTCCGAGTGCTCACGAGGTTTGGCGATGATGTGCGTTGGGTGTGTGTTCGTATGCTGCAATGCACTTGCTGCAGCAGCACGGTGTTTGTTTGCTCCTGATGCGCCCGATGCAGTTGGTGGGCCCTCTCCTGTATTCCGTTGGATGACTGCCCTAGTGCCAATGCCCAAGGTCTACGAATGCCAGCGCTTGTTTTCGGAAGGTCCTTTCGTCGTACGCCGGGTTAGGTAAACCGACCTCAGCGCTGACGCGGACCGCTTCCGGAAGATGACCAACGACTCCACCTCGCGTGCCGTCTTGTTGCCCCACCACATTTGATGGCCTCACACGGTCGGCCTTCGTTTTTTTCTTGCCGTTATTTCTTGGGCAGGGAGTTGCGGACGACCACTCCGGCTCGATCGGAGAAGAGCAGCGCGCCTCCCCAGTGGATTCACCTTTGCGTGCAGCGCGTTAGCATCCACGAGGGGTGCCGCCTTGAGCCGTCGTCGCAATTGTCGGAAAAGCTAAAGGCGGCGAGCGTGGTGATCTTCGCGGCAACACCGAGGGACCAAGAACGCTTCTTCTGGTCACCATTGCACCCAAAGGTGGCTCAAACAATCGGCCAATTTGTTGGGAAGCAGGAGACGGTGCCATAGGTTGAATGGTCAGCAGTTGGGCCAGTAAATTAGTTCCGGGTCGAAGAACGAGTACATAGGTCGCAGTAAAGATCAGAAATGCTGCAAATCGCATCTCGGAGGTTCGCCTCCCAAGGCATGTGGAGTATGAATTTCACCACACCTGACTTGATGCTATTCTTTTATATCGCGCTATGTCTTGCCCTCCCCAATGTCCCGCGATTTGCCACAGCCGGACTGGTCCCAGGCCAAAGCAGAGCTTCGCCTCGCGCTCGAGTCGGCGTCGCCGCGCGGTGGCGGTACAGCAAGCGTCGGGGTGCCAGTTCTGGTCGTTATCCCGGTGAAGGACTCGGTCTTGCAACGAGACGCCGGTTGCGCTAACCCGGCCGCTTTCGATCGCACACGCGAGAGAATTCTGGAGGACGCGTGGGAAGGGCTGGGGCTGCGAGAGGTGGCTCAGTACGGCTGCAGCTTCCGGGTGGCGCTAGTAGGACTGCACGAGTTCGAGAGCAGGTCGAAGGCGGCTGCAGCTAGGGGGGCGGGTGTGGTGTTTGCGGGCAGTCTGGAGGACGCTTGCTCGGAGGACGTCGCAGGGAAGCTGGCGGAACTTGCAGGTGAGGTTCGAGGATCGTTTGTAGTCCCTTGTGCGAATTCTGGTTTGTTGGGCATGACGTGCGACCTATTTAAACGGCTTTCTCTGAGGCGACATGGCATCCATGGACGTGGCCGATGTCCTGTCCTTTTGACACTGCTCAATCCCTTGACCGTTGCGGTTCTTTCAGAACGGGCCCCTAGGCATCCTTTGGTGGCCACCCGCTGCCTTCAAGAACTGCTCAACACTGCCGTGTCCCGGGCCACTACGGACGACCGCTACGCCGACGCCGTCGGCCTCCCTCTGCCTCCGTCCCGCTACGAAGACCCCCCACTGGGCTGTGTTGTCGAGGCAGCGAATCGCGCGACGGAGCACGTGTGCCACCTGCTCGTACGCAGGAGCAGCGCCTGGCCGATTGCAGAGTTTGCCGCGACGGCGACTGTCGTGCACGGGCGCCAACGGAGAGAGATGATGTATGTTCCAGGAGCGGCGCGGGCCGCTGGGGGAGAAATCGCCGGGTCGCCTCTTGACGCGCCTGACTGCGCCACCCACGTTGAGCCCAGCGACGCGGGTAGGTTGAAAACCGCCTTGGAAGCCTCGGGCGCCCTGCCTCTCGACTGGGAGACGGTACTGCCATCGTTCGGTATGCCGAGCCGCACGAACCCTGGCTTTGCCGGAGGGGCGGACGTCGTTTTGCGAGCCGCTTTTCTGCCCCCCATCCCTCCGAAGCTCGCGGAGGCGTTCAGTCCAAACGTCTTGGCGGGGCGGGAAGGCGCGCGTCCCCTGGGACCGGAGGTGGCGTGGAACCGGGTGGAGGAGCTAGAGACGTATCTCGGGAGAGGGTTGATGGCGCAGGAGTTGCGCTTTCGACTTGCGGAAGCATTGGCAGGCGGAGTCATGATGAAGGGTCCCCCCCCGCCGTGGCGTACGCTGGTGCGGGATGCGATCGCGAGGAGAGTGGTGCTGGCGAGATCCGGGGAGGGTGCGGGATTGCGCCCCCTTGTTGTTCACTTCATCGCATCTTTCGGCCAGGATCGCTTGGAGGGAGAGACGGGCCGTGGTGCGGTACCGAGGTTGCTGGAGGCTGAGATTTTCGGAGGGGTGAGTGATGTTGCTTGTGTACGTGACACCTGGTATTGGATTTTGCTGTCGAAAGTCCAGTTGCGCGAGAGTGTAAGAGTCACACACAGCTCATGTGGTTCATTGCTTGCGTGCAACATTAAGTTTTTGTAGTCTTTTTGCAAGATTATGTTTTCTGGTATGACAATAACTACTCCGTACTAGCTTGCCACTGCCAGAGTACTAGCTTGCCACTGCCAGAGCTGTCGTCTTGCCGTTAATGCAAAGAAGGCGGCCCCGGGGGAATCCGTCTTTTTGCGGAAATCCTTTACGGGGGAAGATTTTCTGTCCACAGACACATGTCGGTTGTGGCGTGGATCGTGAAACATTTGCGACGAAGATTGTTTTTCTGCTAGACATTGGCATTGACCCGCACACAAGTGGTGTCCAGGGTGTCATCGACTCGTATCGTTGATGGCCAGGCTAAACCATTGGTTGGCCTGTCTACATTGTCAAGAACGATGAAGATCGAACGCTGTTGCTTTTGAGAGCATCTTGTCGAGAAGTAACTGTCGGTATTTGGCGCAGTGTTGGTGTTGTTCTACGGTAGAAGCAGGAGAATAGGGCGGCTCAGTTTCATGCTTCCATCGTAACGGCGCCTTCACAGTCGTGCTCTGTTGCCCGTCTTCGACTCTTCCCTCAGCCATCGCTTGGGTCGAACGCGGTGGTGGCGAACGAAGAGCGGGTGTTGGCCCCTTCTCGCGACCCGACAGGCAACACGGAAATCGTCGGAGCGCGGGCCTCGGCCACGCTCAAGCGCATGGCGCCGCTCCTCGTAGATTCCAGACCGGACGGCGCCAAGCACCGTAGGACGAGCTCATGCTCGACTCCAAACGGGAGTGACAGGAATTCCTCTCGCCGTCGCTTCTTCGGCAGCAGCAGCGGTAGCCGGAGCACGACGCTCAAGTTCGATGACGGCGACGACGTTGACCGGCTGCTGAGCGAGGGATTTGAGGGTATCGCTCTCGAGACGGAGGAGATCAAGATATCGCGAGAACGCGCCGCTTCGTTCGCTGCCGCTGACCGGGACCTGGACACCGCGTTTCTGGCGTCAATCGGTGTTTCATTGGCTGGATCTGGTGGCGGTGGCAGAGGTGGTGGCGCACTCCCGCCATTTGATCTCAACCGGGTGACCGCGCTTCCTCGCGGCTTGACAAAACAAGAAAAGGCAAGAACGGACGCCGAAAAGCAAGCATACGAGGCTAGACAGCGCCAGGCCGCAGCGACTCTCTCAGCCGCCGATTACAAGTGTTGGGAGATTCGGGAAGAGCTGGGCGGGTACCGGAGGCAGGAAGAGAAGATACGGGCGCAGATTCTCGACGGAGATCCCTTGGTGCCGCTGTACGACGAATCAGGCGGTGGCGTAGATCGGGCAGGATTGGGGGCTTCGCCTTTTTAGTTGTGTGGTACCGTTCACCTTGATGTTATTGAGACAAGCGATTCGATGGGCACCGAGTATGGCGAGCCTGTTTCTGTGCCCTCTGACAGAGATAGTGGTTGGTGTTCAGGATAATTTGGTGTAAAGAGGCTTGTTGCGGGCAGTTTCGAGCTAGTGGTGTTTGATGTTGCATACGGAACGTCGTGGTGGCTGGGAATTAAGTGATGCAACCAAGTGGCACCCACAGCATTTAGCGCTATCACCCCCACATCCGCGCGCAAACGCGAATGCAGTAGTTTTGCTCTTTGCGCCGAAAGTTTGTGAGTGTAATGTAATGCTGCACACTCGACCTGTTGGTATCCTCCCTTGTGTAATGGTGCCCATAGCATCTACGCTGGGGATTCATGCCAACAGAACGCTGCGTCTACGGCACGATTGGTAGCGGCACCCCAGGCCCTCCTCGCTCCTGTTTCGACACGACCCACAACGCACCACGCAAATATGATAGTTGGCTCAACGGGCCATAAGTTCGCGAAGTCCAATACAAGAGCTAACACTCCCACCAACACATAGCGTGCGCCAGTGACTCAATTCTTCACCCCAGACGGTCCTCGTTGTGGGACACCGATCGCCCGAAAGGTCCCCGTGCGGGTGAAGCAACTCCGGCCCAAGTCGCCACCGTCCCTGACAGTCCCGGCCCGGCAAGCAGGCTTTGACGAGTTCTCAATACTTTTTCTTCGTGCAACTGTTGCAGCTCTTGTCGCACGCTCTGCGGCAAAGTTGTGCGTAGCCGGAATTTCTCGGCCGCAGCCCCGGCACCTTCAAACGAGGCCGGAGGCCTGTCGCGGAAGAGCTGAGGGGAGCGACGGAGCCGGTGGTATTCAGGGACCTCGGCGTGGGACCTCTCGTGGGTTTTGAGCGTAGATGCTTTGGCAAATGCAGCTCCACAGTCCGGCCGTGCTCGGCAAATGAAGCGCCGTGACGATGATGGCGACGTCTTCGCGGGCGCGGAAGAGGATACGCTACCCTCGCTTCTTCCAGATTTTTTCGTAGGTGTCCGCTGGTTCGGCGGTGGTTGTTCCCGCTGAGCGTTAGGGTTTCGTTGGCTGCTGGATTCTTGCTCGGCAAGTATATCGATTTGGGCCCTCTCAAGCACGGTGCCCTCGACGGGAGGGGAGGGGAGCGAACACCCGGGTGCCGCTGTTGCCGCCTCCGGCACCACTTCCTTTCTTGTGTCACCGGTCCCGCCCTTTACGGAAGGATTCTCCGAGGCCGCCGGTCGGTCCCAGATCCCGTGGGGGATGTCATCCTCATCCTTAGGCGATGGTTGGCCGTTGGCTTCCGTGTCTTGTCGAGGATTGAGACAGGCTTGCACCCGGTCCAGACGCGGGGGGCGACCGAACGGATCTAATGACGATCTCTGGTACCTGGGATCAAACTCAAACAAATGCTGACGTTTTGGCGTCCTCCCCTTCTTTCTGTCGCGACACCTGAAACTACCGTCGCGGTCGTTGGGCTTTGCATTCGCGAACGCGTCGCCGCTGCACGACGCCGGCGTTCGCGGTGCATCTAGACCAGGAGGTCTGCCTTTTTGCTTCCCACGGTGAGCACTGAAGTGTTCAGATGCGCATGTTCTCGCCGTCAGAAGGCCTAGCATTCTCTCGATTTCTTCGATAAAATGCGGTGGTAACCCCCACGCTCTCACAGGGACACGCGCGAGCACTCTCACGTTCAAAACACCATCTGCCTCCAGACGAACCTTGAACGGATCCGCCAGTGTGGCTGCGGCCTCAAGCCGACGCTCGAGCAACGTCCGGCAGGGGTCCACGGGGGCAGACCCGTATGAACGGCCCGTCGAAGCGGTTTTGGGCGTTTGAGTAAAGGATGACGAGGGTGGATCCGCTCGGGTTGCGTCGAGCTGACGAACAAATTCACGAAGCGCCTCGCGTCCCATCGGCACCTTCGAGAAGTATGACACCAAACAACACAAGGGAAGCTGGAGAATTCGAGCAGAAATTGTTTGCAGAGGCTCCATGGTGCAGACTATTGCGCCGGCTCTTCGGAGGTGGTGCGACAAAGTAGACGGTACCGCGTCGACCATAGTATCAACATATATATTTCAGACAAACGAGAAATACCGACACTATTTATTTGCTGACGTTGCCTTTGAGTGGTAAAATTCTCATTTTTCCCACACGAGCAACTTGAGGCGTTCCATGTACGGCGAGTACCACAGTCTCACATGTTCACTTGCGAGCGCTGCCCGAGCTAAATCTTGCTCCAGTCCTCGGGGCTCAAACTTCCCGGCAAGTGCGATGGGCCTCGCGAGGTTGTTTTTTTTCCCTCCGAAACCCTTGTCGAAGCAGGAGAAATATGGGGGGTAAAGGGGGGCTGCTTGTCGAATACTTGCTGCATTTTTTCGGGTCCTTTCAACATATCGGGGTCGCTTCCGGTATTTGCATGGTACTCTCTGGCACTTAACCTCTCACTCTCATCCTCTCTTCACCTCTCGTTCTCTTGAAACACGACCTGGGGCTGGCATTTCTCGCGTGAACCTTCATTCCATTCGAATGGTCGTGTTGATACCATGATTCCCAGAGAATGCTATTGCATGAAAACTAAAGACATGTATTGTTCATGTTGTTTTTTAGTCACTTCAAATGCTATGTATTTTGTTATTTCATACTATTCACGCATACAGTCTTGGCATGGAGACGGAAGCATGCTCACACCTGCGTTCTTCAACATGTCATGCGGGAGCTACAATCTAGACTGCAGTACCTTTGCCACGAGATCTCTCTCCCTGGCAACCGCCAGCTCAGCCCTGGTGGCAGGAGACGGGTGTTCGACGATGAAGAAGGCGGCCCGGCGCAGCAAAATGCCGATCGAGTCATCCACACTTCCCCACGATCCCGAGTCATTGATCATGTGCTGAGTCAATTTGCAAAGGCAGGGGATATCACAGAGCAAGGTTTGGGGAGGTTGCTATTGGGCAAGCACTTACCCTGAAGAACAGGTTGCCAATAACGCATTCTCAAAAAGGGCAGCACGTGGGCCGCACGCAACCTACGCACCCTTGCCGCGGCAGTTGAATTATCTTTGGTGTCGGAGGCGCCGGCAATGGCGGAGGACTCAGTGAGGTCCTCTTTGCATCCGGGACATTTTTTCGAGGCATGTGGCGGCACACACACCTACCTGGTACAGCTCAGTCGCACTCTGTGTCATTCCATCGAAAAACGTGCCGTATTCCTCCTGCATGATGCTTTCCACCCGCTTCGCAAAACAACTACCACCGGCCGCTCCAGAGAGAGGATCTGCCGCCGTTGGGGAAGAACGATAAAGGCCACCAGGCCTGCTTGGGTGTTCCTCCTGCCCCATAGCGCCGTCCCGTTTGCCTTCAGAGCACCAATTGTCGTCGCCGCCGCCTCTGGTGACCATGTCTCGCTCGTTGTCGACGTGGCGGTGGTCTTCGTCACAACAGTGATCAAGCGGGTGGTGTCTCCGGTAGAGCCCATCGAACGTGTAGTTGTTCACGGGCACAAACGCCTGTTTGGAGGGGGTGGATGCGCGGTGGTCTCGTTTTGTGTTCCGGGTTTTAAGAGGCAGAGAGAACGGGGTCCAAGGAAGGAGATGGACGTTGCGGACCACTAAAAGGTACGTGGTTCAAACGGCTAGGCGAGGATGCACCGATGCCGAATCTTCGTTGTCCCGGCGAGCGTTTCCAAACAATGACAAAAACGTTGCTGGTGACGGGTTATGCGCGCCACTTGCGCGACCACACATTGCGATGTAGGTAGACACCTGCTTAAGCTATGCTGCCCTGAAGTGCTCGTCGAATGACCTTGGCAGGCGGTGGGGTGAATACCTTACCTGAGAGTGTCATTCGCACCTCACCTTGGCGCTGTCGTCCCAGCGTTGCTTTATTACGCTGGGTGGAGGCCTTATCCATTCCTCTGGTCGTGATGTATACCTGCTTGGATCCCAGCGACCATTCCCCTGTTCCATGCCCGCGGCTCTACTTGGCAACTCCAGCCCCTGCATACTAATTCGGAGCAGTCCCTTCTTCTTTGCCTCCCCCGACCTCCCCACACCCCGTGTTCCAGGCCGTCCAATGCTCCGGCTTGTAACCCTGCCTGAACCTCTACTCCCGTCCTTACGAACGCTCTCGTCAGAAACGCAGTCGTCCAGCCCCTCCCGTCGTCTACTACGCGGAGACCTTTGTGTTGAGATTGGCGCCGCCCTTGACCTTGCAAGACACCGGCGGGAGAACGGCGACAGGGGTGAAAAGAGATCGTCGCCGCTACCGTTGCCGCAACCGCCGACGCCTCGCTTCGGCTTAATCTCGCTCGCGATGGAAACTGCGGCGAGAGTTTCGCTAGCCCCCGAGCCGGCCTGGCTGAACAGATGCTCCAGCTTAGACAAAGGCAGGAGTTGCTCGAGCACGGTGTAGCCCCGCGCGCGAAGTGCCGAGGCGACCGGTTGCGACGCCTCCGTGCAGAGCTGCTCGTGGCGGATTTTTGCCAAAGATGGAGGCAATTCGAGGTACCTGGGTAACATATATTGGTTGTGGAATGATTTTTTTATGTACAAGGGTATGCGGTGTTACCTGGAGAGGAGGGCCGCTTCAAATGTAAGAGAGAAAGGGTTCAGGAAGTTTTTCACGACAGTCGGACTTGCCCATAAGGTTGCACACGATGTCATCTAATATCATGCCCTCCGTGTTTTCCCGTTCCCCGTTCCCCGCCAAAAGAAAATCATATCCAGGGTACGTCGTACCATTGCACGGGTTCTAGATTTCACCTTCGATAAGCTTCTTCTGGGGTCGTGCCTTTTGGCATCAATCCGTGAGGGACATGCCCTCTCAAGAAAGCCGCGGCGCACAGCCTTTCCACAGTCTCCGCTAGGCCTGACGGCATATCCTGACGCACCAATGACCCGGGAAAACGAGAGCCAGCGTCTCCGGTCAGCCCGCGTTTTTCCCGTTCGGCATCCCACACACTCTCCCACCCAGAGGTAGATACGCCGCCCCCCCCTTCCCATCGCTGTGAACCAGCGGAGTCCAGCCCTACGTTTTCCGCGCCATCCCCGGCATGTCTGCTGGTCTGTCGGGTAAGTGTTTGGTGGCGCTCTACAAAGCCAAAATCTTCATCACCACTAGCGCCTCCACCATCACTTCCTCGGCACCCAATGCCACCCGCGCCGTCATATCCTCCTGCAGCGGTTCGCCGCTCACAGGAATGTGCTCCGGAGCGTTTGCCTTCGAAAGATGAGAAGCGACTGGGAGAGTTGATGGCACCAGCAGCTGTTGTTATTGTCGCTGCCGCTGTTGCAGGCGAAATTGATGACATCTTCTCGTCCAAGCTATTGCATTGGACGGCCGGCATAAACACACCGCCGCCATCCTGCCGGGCTCCCACCTCTTCGTTCGAAGAAGGAAGCAAAGTGTTCACGCGCCTTCGTTTTTGCCTCTGGGTGCCATCTATTGACACCACGTTTTGTGTGTGACCTTTCTCGACGGATACAAGCCTTTCGCTCCGGAGCTTGAGGTGCATTGGCAAGGCGGCGCGCAAGTAGGCGCTCGGAAGGGCTTTGGCGTGCGCCGGAATTTCGTATCTGACAGCGCGGGGTGGGCGAAAGAGGACACGACGTGAGGGCTTGAGTTGATGCATGTACCTCACTTTCCCCTGGTTATTCTAGCCAATCTTTGACGGGTATTGGCGGGGAAAAGTGAATCAGAACCAATGGGGTGGTCATATGGTCGTGGGTTGTAGCGATCCGCTGGTTTTGTCGAACTTCGTGTTTAGCCCACTTGTTGCGGCCCTACAATGTATCGGTATCTGTTCCAACTCCTTCACAATATCCTCGACAGGACGATATGCAATGGTCTTGCATCCGTTTCATTTCCTGCTTCGTGAACCGCAGCAAGCCCCCCCTCATGTTGATGCAAGCAAGGGGTGCAAGTATGGTGACCGCGGTATGTGTAGCACAAATGAACCACATAGCACAGAGCACCATACCTCTCCATTAAGCGCATAAGCTTCTCGTCGTGAATTTCACTGGCTGCAGCTCTTTTGTCGCCAGAGGCGGGGTACGGGTGCGCCCGCCGCGCGTCACTGCGCTTCCTTCGTCCCGCGCTATACTCGGTGGCCGCCCCGACGAAACGAGTCCACGCGCCACCGATATCTGCAGCTCGCCGTTCCAGAACCTTTTTCCCGGCGCGTGGGAGGGGCGAGGAGGATGTTGGGCTGTCGTTGGTGTCTCTCCGATATCTTCTGGGGCGGCGCATGTGCGGATCTCGCGCGGTGTGTACGAGTGTGGTCGCGTCTCTTTGTTCGCGTCTCTTTGTTAGGTCACACGGCGCCCACGCCGTGGGTACTCTTGTCGGGGTTCGCAGTGGGCACAAATCCAATCGGCATCAGCAGCAGCAATTTTTCTCGGCCGGTTCTCGGACGAAAAAGACGCTTGGCATACCCCATACCTATTGTCCACTCCTTTCAAAGCAATCGTGCGGTATCCGTACCTTCTCGACAAACGTGACCGCCATCTCATCCTCCCTGGCCTGCATCTCTGCGATAATCCTGTCGTATTTTCGGTAGTCCCTGTCAATCTTGAGTTCCCGACGGTGGTAGTAGGCGGGGGAGGGGACGAACTTATCATCGGCAGACAAAGTCTTGTTCCCATCAACACGTCTCAGACCATGTTAAAAACTACAGCTGTAGCAACCGTGTTGGACTCCCGTTGTGTGATTGGTTTGGTGTGCTTGAGTGCGATGTGCGTGCTCTGAGGCACGCCCGGCAACCCTCCTGATGAAAGTGGGACGTACCGCGTCCGTCATGGGCTTTTCCAACCCAGTCTCCAATCTTCCTTCGGAGTCATATATTTCGAAGTTTTCTAGAGGGGGAAAATGAAATAGCACGAAGTACTGGTGGCAACGTTGAGTGCATAGCTAGCGCACTCACCTGCCCAAATACGGTCGAAATGCTCCGGCTGTCGTCGGAGCTCGCTAGCATGTCCGTGAGTTTGCTAACCCTCGACGTGAGTCCGACCTTGACCTTCTGTAAATGGACGGCGCGCCTTGCCAGCCAGACGCGCGCTTGTCTACCGTTTTGACGACAACGCAAGACAGATGAAACGATGTGAGAAAAGGTTGTCGTAGGTTACGCGTGTCAAGCATGGAGGCGGATCAAGGTGGCGTTTCCGACGGAAATACGTAAGATTAGCAACTAGGAGCGAGAGTGATGTGGCCGTCACGGATAACGTGCTCAGTTGTAGAATCTTTAGCGATGGAAAGTATGTTGATCGGCCGCGAAACTCCATACGATGAATATGTGTACCTTTGCACCACCAGGGACGCCCATCCCTCTAGGTCGGCGTACTGTGCACACGTTTTCTCCTTCAGGACCCTTTTCACCGCACCACGAGAACGGTGCCCCCGAAAAACACGCTGGATCTCCACGGCCTGGAATATAACCCATTCGTCGCAGACAAGAAAATATCGAAGTTCGTAGGGCTTGATCGAAAGATGGACGTTACTTCTCCCGAAAAAGTAGTAATCGGGGCCTTGAAAAGCGAGTCACGGGCTGCATCGAATCAGCGCTTGGGTGTTCCGCATAGGGTTCACGCGATGAGGACGAAACTTCGCCTTTCTCAGACGAGGCCGGGTAAATATTGCTCGAATGAAAACTTCTCAGTCCCGTCAAGGTAGAGCGCCACTCGTCGTCCCAGGCACTACCAAGCGTTTAGCTTTAACCGTTTGTAGAAGACGTTTTATGACTAGAGTAGCACTGCACATAGTTTCACGATAATAGTTAATCACATCTACTCCCGCTTACTTGTCGATTGAAGAGATTTGCCCACTTTTTCGCGACACGCCGTCGAAGCATAACGCCCCGGATTCGCGCCTGGAGTGGTACCAAGCTGCCCCAAGAACGCCCGTGTGCGTCGGCACAGAACGGGGGGTTAATACGCAACGTCGGCCGCATCAGTTATTGATTGTATGCCATTGAACGACACCATGAAAAATCGTCAGCTAGGGGTAGGCCCCGAAAGTGGGCTTCGCCGTTCGGAAGAATTTGATGCCTGTACTGCAGGGATTGGGAAGAAGAATGGCTAACGAATGCCTGCCAAATTTGCTACACGTGCCTGTCCGGTGAGGTTGACAGGTGGACACGTGGTTACAACAAGGTACACGAGTAGGTTGCGCAATGCTTGCTCTTCGCACTACGACCTTTTGTCGACCGGTCCCTGGCGCTACTACTCGCAAAAATAGACACCTGCCGAACGCGATACACTCCAAACATGCCCTCGGGTTGTTGTAATTCCTCACCTGGAAGACGCCAAAGAAACAAGAGCGCCATGAGCCCGTCTACGTGCGATCGAACCGCGAAACACCCGCTGAATTTCCACTGCGGCGCAAAGAAAAGCCTGACACACGGCGAATGCATGTGAGGGACAAGCGAGGGACAAGCCGTCTCTGAGACAGTAACTCAGGGGGTACCTGATCGCGCATTCGGGTGGCTTAGTTGCAATTATTTTTTGAAAAAAGCTAGTCCGCGCTAAAACGTTCGAACGTACTCGTAGAGAGGAATGGTATTACGTCACTTGAGCCTCGTAGCTCCTTGCTTAATCTAAGGCCAAATACAACACACATAGCCCGCGGTATGGCACACGATTTCTGCTTTTCAATTTCCCTTCGTTTTAGGTTCAAAGTTTTATATGCATAGGTTCAAAGTATTACATCTCAACCTCAGCGTATGCGAGAATGTTCCCACGAATGATTCCTCGAGATCGATGTTCTCTACCGAGCTACGATTGGAAACGATTTCGTGCCACAAGGCGAGGATTTTTCATGCCCGCACCCTCACAAGTGTTGTCCATCTGGTCCCTACGGATCTACAACACTTCCGCAGTTAGGCAAGACGTCTTGAATTCTCACATAGGAAAACATTTCCCAGTGTACGTCGGGCAGCCGGCACCGTGCGAGGGCCCCGCGGAGGAACGGCTGCAACCGAGATGCGGCGAGGGAGTAGACGTACTGCACGATTGCAGCCAGCTCACCGCGGTGGCCGAAAATTTTGCGGGTGCTCTCTTCTAGCATAACTCGGAGCACCGGCTCCACTGCCTAGGATAGCGAGCGGAATACCAAGACGCGAGGGGAAAGGGTGGGGAAGCTGGACTGGCTCTCTCTTCCGATTTCAGCATGCTGGTCCTCAGACAGGAAAATTCTTAGGAACAACCGTAGCGTGTTTGGAATCAGCGGGGGGTTCCATGCTTTTGGAGATCGGTTCTGATGCACCGGTCCAACGGCGGGCTTAAGCAACGGTCAGTGTTCTGGCGGGATTCGGCCAAAATAAGACGATGTAAGTGAATGCATGGTCTGTCGTCACACGATGTCTCGGTAGTTGTTAAAGCACAGACCATTGGTTTAGCTCTACACTCTTGGATTGGATGTCGAAGCGTAGGCAATCAACAGGAAGGGCACTTTCAGTCTTACACTGTTGTGTTTGACCTCACGAGGCTGACAAACAAACGCTCGCTGAATCAAAGCCGTTCCACGAAACCCTCTTAGACCACCTACAATGCTCCAAGAAAATTATTCTGTAGATAGACTCAGTGTATGCATGTGTGTTCGGATGCTGCTGCGGCAGTGACCTTTCTGCACCAGAGACCAAGACGTAGCAACCTATCGCTACGTCGGGTTATTCTCATCATGTTGTAAAACAGTAATATTTGACGCTTGCGTTTTTTCAGAGGCGACATACATACCTCCACCCTAACGCGCTGTTCGACCCCCTCGTGGACCAGCCGTGAGTGCATCCACTCGTCGCCGTGCGCCACAATACGTCGAAAACCTTGCACGTCTTCATCAAAGTGCGCCCCTTCCGTTAGATCGTTCACGAACCTTTTCACCTTTCAACACGTGTACGATAACGGGTTCACGGAAGAAAGAGCTTGCCTGTTCAACAACGTACGTTTCAAGGTACTGATGGGCCTGTTGGCTTGTCATCGTGGGCAACAGGAAGATAAATCAACTTGTGCGTGGTCTCATTCATGTAGTCAGGCGCGGTATGGGTTTGTTTGTGATGTGGGTATCATGCACCAAGCAAGTTCCGCGTGAAGAGCGTACTCACCTCTGCTGGCTCGAGGGTGCCGTCTTGGATGATGTGAAATACGAAGGCCTGACCTTCACTGCTTTCCAAGAACCCTGCGAAAAAAAGACGATGCGCCTCTAAACGCGCCGCTTGTCTCGCGGGCTGAAGATCTTCAGCACTGACATCTTCATCGGACAAACCCTGCTCACATTTTCCACGACCAGCGGCGCCTAGACATGATGAGGATGAAATAACGCAATATCGCAGATCAAGAACATACGGAGGCATAGGGGCCTGAAACAGCGGATATCCTGTAAGTTTGAGTCCACGTGCAACCCTATTTCTTGGTGGTACCAGCCCGTCTCACCTTTTCTACAACAGACCAAACGGGCTCTAGAAGTGCCCGATCGAAGAACGCCGGTAGCGGGCAATCTCTTTGCCACTCCTCGCAAAACTGAGCACACTCGTTGATTTCCAAGTTTCCAATCTTCCCGCTCCCTACCGGCCGGCACAGGCTTTCCAGTGCCAGATGGAGATTTGCAACGGATATGGGTGAGTCTTTTGCCGTTTCTCCTTCTCCCTCGTTCCCCGTCTTGGCATTGCTGGCGTCAATAAGCTGCCCTTCAGGTGGCGTATTTTCTTCTCCTATAGTCTGGTTCTTCGCGGACAATATGTTCACAGTAGACGATTCGTTGCTTGTACTCCCGGCACCCCTTTCGGCGGGGGGAGATCGCTGGGAGCGGGGCGGCGTGGTCGCTACCGTACCAACCTTGATCTGCAGATGCTCTCCCCACACGCGGCGTCCCGAAGCGCTTGCGAGTACAGCGTCCAATGGGCTGGCATACGGTGGTGTCCCGGGGCAAAAGCATATGAAGCAAACGCAAATACGTAGTGTGGTCGACGTCATGCTGCTCCTAGAGCAAATATAGCGCGTGTGTAAGCGAGCCCGACATTCCGCCAGCAAAAACGGCGTTTGACTACCTTAGACACAGACGCCGAGTCCTCACCTATATGCCGTGTTACGCACGTGCAAACGAGATATCGGTTACTCTCGCAACAGTGCACGTTTATCATGGAAACCGATTTTCTTACCTCGGTATGTTCTTGGCGGTGGACCATTTACTCCAAGCAATGGAGGCGGCTTCCGTTCGTCGCGCGCGTGCTCCAATCTTGTCGGCGGCCACACCAAGCTCAATTTTGATGTATTCTTGACGAGCCTCCTCTGCCTGTAGTTTCTCGAGAATGCCCCGCCGCTGCAGAATACCGCCCGAGAAATACAATAGAAGGAACTCAGGGGTGGGCTGGGTTGCACGCGTGTTCCTGGTACTTATTCTCGAAATCGGAACCAAAACGACAGATAACGATTGTGGTGATCTACAAAGGTAGACCTCAGATCGCCCTTCTGTACAATTCCACAACGACGCCAGTGCTACCCAACGTGGTGCACTACGCAATGATACTGTTCCGCCGACACCTTTGTTGACTCAACCTTCTCAGCGTGTAACTTGTCTTGCGCAAACCTGCACTTTCATTCCCCTTCCGTAGTCCATCATGACCATGCAGCCAGGGTCCATCGGTACCCGCTGCGGTCGCTTTCTCTTCTTTGCGAAGAGGACATGGGACCGTTCGCAAGCAACCCGGTAGGCTGCCTCATCCGTTCGGTACAGTGTTTCGGCAACCTTTGAGGATTTGGAGGCCAATTCCACAAAGTCTATGGTAAATTCCACGGACTCCTCTTTCGATGACGAAGGTCGCGGTGGAGTAGCCGTGACCGAGACCTGTGTGGAGATCTCCTGCGCAGGGCGGACAACGGCCAAGGTGACCAACAGCGTGACATGTATGAGTTGAGTTTCAGAGTGCTCCAACTATAGATGGCCCAGCACCGTCCATACATCATCCCGACATTCTTCTTCAAACGACCAACGGAACAAGGGAAGATGATGGCATGGCCTTTGTTTTAATTGAGGGTAGCTGTGGCGCAAAGGGCGACAGCACGGCCTTCGCCAACCATTGACCTCTACAGTCAACAGAGCTCACGTACAATACCATCTACCACGTGGTTTAACGTATGTAGGTAGCCTGTGTCCTTGAAGTGTTTTGCACGTGTGATTACCAAGACTTCACTATGTAGTCTAGTGTAATTTGTTGTTCACCATGAGCAATGAACCCCACCATCGATCGTAGTCTCCAGGGAACACGAATGACGCAGAAACGAGACATGAAGTTCTGCTGCTCAGTGCTCCTATCAGAACAAACAATCAAATGCACTTGAGAACTTGTCATATGAAGCACTAACAATCAATAACTTGAGGGTTTTAATCTTAAATTCTCGGACCCTACCACACAGAAACCCCTACCGTAGACGACAGAATATTCTACAGTCTACTGTATACTTCAGTAAGTCATAACGTGCTTGTTTGCTTCCTCTTGATGAGAAGCCGTAGGGTTGCCAAAAACAAGAGGTGATGCGTTCTGTACTGTAGCTACAGTATAATACTACTATTTCCAGTAACACGTCGTTACGTGTCCCGTGCGGGCCAATGAAGGAGACAACATGTAGACTATTGCACATTTGATACTACTTCGTACCACATAGTCTACTCCTATATAAACTCTGTGCTATTTTAGACTACTCCACCGCCGCAGTGCGGCAGAGACAATCTTCGAGGGTTGTCTCGGATATGCCATCGTTCTTGGATGATGTGTATGTTTGTATGTTTGTAAACAAGAGGCTCATGCGTATTGTCCTTCACATCTCCTATACGCACGTCGTTTGTTGACGCCGTTTGTTGCAAGCCTCCCTCATTGACTGGGTCGAATGATGCGTTGGCAAGGCGTCCGTCGCCTCCTGGCTGGGTTTGGACCCTGCTTCCTCTCAGCCCTTCTCCAGGCATGCTCTGGCGAGCATCCACGGCATCAGCAGCATCCGAGGGTATCATTGCATACGCACAAAAGAAGCAGTGAAGTATCACTACACCACGCGTCCGAGTCCTTCGTGAGTCCTGGCATTGGCCCGGAGGCCCAGATATGCCGCCAGAAACGAACCGTCACCGATCCCGCCGCGCGGCGAGTTTAAACCTTGTAGGAGCGTTTGTTTGTGGATTTTCTGTCACGTTCACACTCTTCGGCGAGGGAGCGTGAGGCCCAAACATGACGGGCAAAGCCTTCGAAAGCGAAGAACTACGTGTGTTTCACAAGGCTTGCAGGGAAGGGAAGACGCTCGAAATCGCGAACGCAAAGTTCATCTCTCCAGATTTGTTGAACACGCGGAGTGTTGTTACCGGGCGAACGGTGAGTTTTGGGGTACGAACAGAGTGGCCATGTTTTGTCGGTGCAGGGGCAACAAATAGCAAGGAGCTACCGAAAGGGCACGCTGCCGTTATCACGTTGTACGCATAGAAAAAAACGATGCTACAGCGACTACGGGCCCGAACTATTGTCAGATACGTAAATTAGTAAATGCGGGTCGAGGCTCGTTTTCATACTAAAAATAGAAGTATTTCGCCACCATCGAGCACAGGTGTTTTAGAAGTACCATGCATATCATACTTACATAGTACAGGATCCATGGCGGACCTGTGTTTCTCTACCGTCATTATTTTTCGTGGAACTTGAGCCTGTACCTGGTATGTCTTTTCTCAACAGCAGAAAAATTCTTGCCTGCCGTAGGCCGCACAAACTGACGTTTGTTTATTGTCAACCTTAGATAGACCACCGAGGCGTGGTTGATTCGAATCTCTTGGCTCGATTTTCTGGGGTTTCCAGAGAGAGAGAGAGAGAGAGAGAGAGAGAGAGAGAGAGAGAGAGAGAGAGAGAGATACCTACAGGTCTCATAGATGACCTCGTTCTGTGACTTCGCCGCCCCTTGAATAAAATAAATAATGGAATAAAAGGAGTAGTTTATTTTGTTTTCTTTCGAATTGCTTCATTATTTCTTCGGTTTCTAGGCTACGTGTTGGGGAGAGAGACGCACGAAACGCTCATCGTCTCTCCGGCCGCGTTAGCTGCGAAGGCCGGCGTCAACTGTTACAAATCCATCTCTCTCCCCATAAATACTAGCCGGGGGACTACGACTGCAACCGCAGGAGTCCCAAAACTGACCAAGTCCTCAAATGGTACACACCATTCTACAACACCCGACTAGATACCGAATACTCCCGAACTTATGCCCCCACCTTCGAAAGAAAAGGGATGGGAGGGCGGGATTTCCTAAACTGCCGCCGCTACTGCGTTAGGCGGCTGCTGCTGTCCTTCCGTTGCTTCACGCGCTGTAGCTCTCACACGTTACCCGACTTTGCTACAGCCCCTGCGTGGACTCGATCACGGAATGACATCCCCACCTATAGACAACAATAATAAATCCAAACACCGTGACCCTGGGTTTCCGATAGAAAATGAAGCCAAATTCTAATTCGACTGTTACAAAATAAACACCAGTTTATTCTATCTGCTCTTCGAACAAACCTTCCTTTTATTTTGTTTTCTTTCGAATTGCTTCATTATTTCTTCGGTTTCTAGGCTACGTGTTGGGGAGAGAGACGCACGAAACGCTCATCGTCTCTCCGGCCGCGTTAGCTGCGAAGGCCGGCGTCAACTGTTACAAATCCATCTCTCTCCCCATAAATACTAGCCGGGGGACTACGACTGCAACCGCAGGAGTCCCAAAACTGACCAAGTCCTCAAATGGTACACACCATTCTACAACACCCACATCGAGGTCAGTTTCTGGACGACTACCGAATAACTCAACTATGCGTTCCCCATACGGTCCCCTCCCCCGGCTGTCTCAATACAATCCTGCTGCCGTCTGTAAGTTCCGTGACACTCGCCGCGAATCCTCTACATTGTTTGGCGCATACGGCTTGTAGGCATTCGACCTCCACTTCCCTTCTCTCTGAATCACTCGTTCTGCGATGTCTCCGCCCGATGCAAGAGCCGTCGCGTCTCCAATTCGCAACGAGTGCAACGCGTACTCCTGGGGGTTACGCCCCGACTTCGCTACCACTTCTCTTACTGCGCGGAGGGCAGCACTATACTTCACTACTCTCACTGCTCTTCCACTACGGTACGGAGCCAACGGAGCGGAGTCAGGCAACGTCGCATGACACGACAATAGCTCCACCACAAGAGCCACCGCGCCGCCGCGTGCTCTCACACCTGACTGCGGTCCGGTGACTTCGTCTCGCGTACGAACCCGTATGTTGCCTTTCTGCTCTTGATCGGCCTTGTGCCCTCTAAACCTCATTTCGACACGGTCTGCTCTACGACAGTGACTAAAGTCTAGTTGCGTCCCGTCGGCAAACAATGATTTGTCCACCCTCGTAAGACGGTGTGCCTCATGCACCCTGCCCGCGTCATTCGCAAACACCTCATCAGACCGTGTGATGAAGAGATAGGACAGGCACAGACACAGCCACATCACTCTGCCCCCTTCCCCCCAGTTCTGCCTTGCGCTTTCCCCGTCCAGCGGCATACGCCATAACACAGGCAGGCGCACACGGCGTACCGTCCCCATAGCCACGTGGTTCCTCGCCATCCCCCTTAGCGCACATTTCAACATCGGAGACGACAAGTCTAGCTCGACCGAAGCTTCCAGCCTACAAGTATGAAAATGTTGCACAGCCGTGAGTTTTCCGGATATTGTACTCGCTAGGTTACCCTCAGACTCGAAACACCAGGCTACGAAGTCTATCAACTCCCACACATGAAGGCCCCTGGCACGTTGCCCTAGAAACTTGGGCTTCCCCGTCAGCCTCCGAAACGTGCACCAAGAGTTGAAGCCTGGCGTGCAAAGTCCTTCTAGACAACTGAGTGCTCGACGAGCTGGATGCCAAGACGTCGGTAACAGAGTCCTGTCCTGCCTGTCCCAGGTCCTGAACCTGCTGATTGACCTGGGCCAACCTCGTGTAGACCGGCGTGCTGCCGTTCGATTTGGCCGCATGTGCGCTGCCAACCGAGGTAGGCCCCCCCCGCCACGCGGGAGAGCCCGCACCTCTATTTGTCTTTTCCGTGGGTGAAGAAATCAGCGGCTGTGGGCCTCGCGCCGCCCTCGCCAGCGGCGCGCGCCTCTCCTCCGCACCCCCTGCCCCGTTGCCGTGGCCAACGTTGCGACCACGGTCTTCGACCCGGAAGTTTGAGAGCGTGTCGAGCGATGCAGCCACTTTCTCTGACACCAGAACGCCTTTGCGAGGCAAGGATTGCCACTTCGGCTCCGACAGTTTTGCAACTGCCGGAGGCCGTCCGAGGATGAGCCATGCTTTTAACCGGCGGAGGTCCCCCTGCATCCGCGCCCTATCCTTTGCCGCAGCCTTAGCAGCCTCGGCGCTGGGTACAGCGGGGGCCCGAGATGCCGGTGGTGGGGCGGTTGTGCCCACCAGTTGCACCTCCCCCTAAAGGCCAGGTCCTGCTGCTTGGGCGGCGATCAGGTCGTCGATCGATGCTTGAAGCTACTGGCGATCGCCGCCAGCCTCGTCCCGCCCCCGTTGCAGCTCCTCCCTCAGGCCGTCCACCAGCCCGCGGAGAGGAGCGAGCTCAGTCTCGTCAGCGGGGGGGGGTCGCCGCGGGTGCCTGTCCCTGTCCCTCGCGACGAGGATACCGCTCGACGCCTCGCGGGAGTACGTGACCCGCTCCGCGTCGAGGGGCGAGCCGTCGAGATCGCCACCGATCGCGCGGTAGACCTCGTGCGTGGTGTCGAGGGTGTCGCCGCCCGACCTCGCCCTGCTTGCCCGGCCGCAGCCCTGGCGCTCCGCGTGGAGGCCCGTGTCGGCATCTGGTCGCGGTTGGAGTCGTATAAGCAGCGAACCGGCGGCAGGCGGCGGGCGAACGTCAGGGCGGCGTTGCGGGAACACTTGTTTTCCTCTTCATCGTGAGCGTGGTCGATCGCGCGCCTGGATCTGCAGTTAGAGTGCTCTACAAGTTCCTATCTTCGGCGGAAATATCTGACGAGGCTCTGCGTCGGGCCCAGAACGACGCGTTGTTATATCGCGAGCTTGCGTTGGTTCGTTCCCGACGCCTGTAGATTGAGTGGAGTGATTGTTGCTGCTTACGCTACGGTCAATGGGGGTCCCATGTCTCGACAACCCCGAATATTCCTCGGCACGTGTTTTGGAGGTGTTGAGTAGAGGCGGGTATTAAAGGCCACCCGAGTGTTAGCGACCACCTGGCTTAAAAATTCATATCTTGCCAACAATATCGGGGAATGCCTTTTTTTTTTTGTCATGGACCATGCCGATCGTTTAAGCGCAAGTTTGCTCCAGCTGGATAAAAACTGAGCCCTCTATAGCGTTCGGCGCCAAGGTGGCGTACGATATCCCAGCCTTTCTCGATTTATTTATTTTCCAGCCGCTAAGTGCGTGTTAACGAAGTGCCGAAATCAAAATCGAAAATCAAAATCGAGATCTGATTGGTCGAATATCTGCTACCTCCTGATGACGCCCTTTGATTTTTAGAAGTTCCTCTGTCTGGGAAGAAGTCCCAAGGGACTTTTTCTATCAAGATCAACATCAAAGAGGCAAGGAGTTCAAGGAGTTTGCCGCGAGGCCGCTGCAAAGCAAGTGCACGACACGGCCTGCTGCACACTGCTCATAGAGGGGCTATCGGCACCCTACCACCGAGACCATGGCCATTATTTGTAGCCAGAAGGCTCTGCTCGCCGGCACGCCATAAACGGGCCGGCTCGTTGGGTGCTCGAGGAGAAATGCCGATCGTGACAAGCGGTGAACGGACTGACGATCAGAACAGGGCTGCGCGGCTTTTCCGGGCTGTTCCGTGCGGGAGAGGGCAGTTGCAACCTTTTTTCTCCACACTCACGATACCCCATGGCATCTAACCTTGTACGAGACAGATGGTGGGTAAAGCTACCTCCCGTCGCGTGGCATTGTTAATGCTGTTGCTTCCTCCTTCGTATTTTTTTCTATAAACAGTCAAACGAAAACCAGGGGATTCTTCGTTTTTGTCCCCGGGTAAGCATTTTTTTTTTTAATTCTAAACGCTCGCTATTAGTACCATCATCATTGTTTGTGCCAAAGGAGAAGTTCTGGGAAGCAGTAGAACGAGCGCAATCACTAGTATTCAAGGTAGCCGTTAATACCCTCCGGGCCGTGTTTTCCCTCAATATTCCATCTTCAACTTGGGCAAACGGCTACCGCTGTACCTTGTCACTTATAACGATTTTTCTTCTTTTTTTTTTTTTTTGTTACGGGATAGATGGTAATGTTAGCTATCGTTCGATATTTAAATATCATCGTAACTCGTTGTATTGCCACAGAGCGAACTCTTGGCACCAGGGGTAGCTTAAGTGGCCTTTAACCCTTACGTGAGTACAGGCCGATTCAGCTCCGTCCTCACCGCCGATCACTTTGCGTGCCGAAAGATCGCCGTTGTGCCTCGGCTAAGAGCAAACAACTACATAGATAGAGACCAGCAGGGAGACACAGGCAGCCCACCCCAAAAGCACGCTTATCAGCAAGGCGCACAGGACTCACATAGCACAGCACTATTCACCCATGCCTCATCTCTATGACGTGAGGCAGATATCCTTGCCAGATCCAATCTACTGCCTACCGATACTGCTGTAGTCTTCAGACTCAAACGCACAATACCATCGGAGGGTACATACAGCCCCTGAACATCTGCTCAACCCGGTGCCGCATCCGCGGGGGAGAGCAGAGAAAACGCGCACCGGAGCCGATGCTAACGTACGGCCTCGGTGCTTGATGTTGTTGTGGTTGCGGTGCGTGTGGTTCCCAGTATTGGGAGTGAAGGGTGGTTCGTCTGCTGTGTGCAAAAGTTCGCTCAAAGACGAGGGTTTTCGGGACTACAGCTCCAAGACAAGGGTTTTCGGGACTACAGCTCCGATCACAGCTCCGATCACAGCTCTCTATTTGTAGTACAGAGTAGTAAAATTTATCACGATTTTTATGCATTTTTTGCGATAGCGGGTGATGCTCTCGATTCTCTGGTGAGCGGGCCGTTTTTTTTTCTCCGTCGATCTGGCGCTTCTGTGAGGCGGTCTTCCGTCCGCGTCTTCGCATCTAGCGCCGCTAGCATATATATGCGCTTGCCCTATGCTCTGTCCAAGGATGAGGTGGAAAAGGTGTGCCAACAGATATTGCTTGCACAGGTACATCCTGTGTGCGGACGGTTGCTGTCGGAGACAGGCATGCACACCTGCTCAGGAACTACTGCTGCTGTACAGTCTAATTCTTTCCGCAAAACTGCTACTGCTGTACAGCAGTAGTACTACTGTACTCCTGTTCGTCACCCTTTTACATATACCGCGTCCCCATCCCTGTGAGCCCCACACATGGACCCACTGCTGCACCATCCTTGCCACCGTGATTTATGGGTGTACACGCATGCTTGGAAGATCTTTGACGGCAGAGAGCCAGTTGTGGGAAAATGAACACAAAAAATCAAATTAACCCAGTCACGCAAGGGTTAGTATCCGTCTCTACTATTTATCCAATACGGTAATACCAGACGCCTACCGCACGCGTGCTTCACTCATTGGCGCGTCCCGTGCTGACGCCCAGGCGACTTCACAATATGGAGAGTGCGCAGATGACATACTTTGGACGTGTTTTTTTTTTTTTTTCCTTCATAGCACTAACGGTGGATTTTTATTTTTTTAAACCTTGGATTCGGGGAACCCCAGTTCGCAGCGACACGGGTGCTTCCGCTCATTGGCGCGTCCCGTGCTGATACGTGTTTGTTGTTTTTATCGATGCGTTGGATACGGTGAACTCCACTTGCCAACAGCGCGGGTGCTTCCACTCATTGGCGCGTCCGTTGCTGAAACTGACAACACATATGCAGCCTGGGTGCTTCCACTCATTGGCGCGTCCCGTGCTGATACGTGTACGGCTTTTGTTTTTCCGGTGAGATCGATTAACTCTACTCGCCAACAGCACGAGTGCTTCCACTCATTGGCGCGTCCCGTGCTGAGGCTGACATCACATATGCAGCACGGGTGCTTCCACTCATTGGCGCGTCCCGTACTGATACATTATTTGTGGTCTTTTTCCTTCCGATGCGTTGAATTCGGTGAACTCTACTCGCCAACAGCGCGGGTGCTTCCACTCGTTGGCGCGTCCCGTGCTAAGGCTGACAGCACACATGCAACACAATGCGGTTAACTCTACTCGCCAACAGCGCGGGTGCTTCCACTCGTTGGCGCGTCCCGTGCTGAGGCTGACAGCACACATGCAACACGTTGCGGTTAACTCTACCCGCCAACAGCACGGGTGCTTCCACTCATTGGCGCGTCCCGTGCTGAAACGTGTACGGCTTTTGTTTTGTTTTTCGGTGAGATCGATTAACTCTACTCGCCAACAGCACGAGTGCTTCCACTCATTGGCGCGTCCCGTGCTGAGGCTGACATCACCTATGCAGCACGGGTGCTTCCACTCATTGGCGCGTCCCGTACTGATACATTATTTGCGGTCCTTTTCCTTCCGATGCGTTGAATTTGGTGAACTCTACTCGCCAACAGCGCGGGTGCTTCCACTCGTTGGCGCGTCCCGTGCTAAGGCTGACAGCACACATGCAACACAATGCGGTTAACTCTACTCGCCAACAGCGCGGGTGCTTCCACTCGTTGGCGCGTCCCGTGCTGAGGCTGACAGCACACATGCAACACGTTGCGGTTAACTCTACCCGCCAACAGCACGGGTGCTTCCACTCATTGGCGCGTCCCGTGCTGAAACGTGTACGGCTTTTGTTTTGTTTTTCGGTGAGATCGATTAACTCTACTCGCCAACAGCACGAGTGCTTCCACTCATTGGCGCGTCCCGTGCTGAGGCTGACATCACATATGCAGCACGGGTGCTTCCACTCATTGGCGCGTCCCGTACTGATACATTATTTGTGGTCCTTTTCCTTCCGATGCGTTGAATTTGGTGAACTCTACTCGCCAACAGCGCGGGTGCTTCCACTCGTTGGCGCGTCCCGTGCTAAGGCTTACAGCACACATGCAACACAATGCGGTTAACTCTACTCGTCAACAGCGCAGGTATTTCCACTCGTTGGCGCGTCCCGTGCTGATACGTTTTCGACTTTCGTTTTTTTTTTTTTTTATTATTATTATTTTTTTTATTGCGTTGAGATCGGTTAACTTCCACTCGCCAACAACACGGTTTCTGCTTCTGTTCATCCGTTCCCGTGAATGCTGTTGTATGCACTTTCCAATTACGCATGCGGCCGCTTTGTATTCCGTGGGACTTGTCAATGCCATCAGTGGAGACGATAGCTTACGTGAGCATATTATCGTCGATGCATTCGGCTACATTTACCCGTCTGTGCGCGGCACAGACCAGGTACGGGCAAGTAGTCCCGAGTGAGCCGCGGGAAACAGAGAACAAGGCACCGGCACCATGTGCATACTCTTGACAGCACACACCACGTGCCCCACTGCCGCGGGTCGATCGGTTATGTCCGATGCCGCAAGGTTTCCCCACCCCGTGCAGTACGATGGCTGCTATCGTGGCACGTACAGCAGCGCGTTTTCTCCGTTGAAATATTTTTTCAGCGATAGTACATCTCGGTTGGGATGAACCACATCCCATGTGTGGGAGGGTACCTATCTGAACGGCGTGGCGAGAGAGACTGCGGTACGCCGCTTATCTTACTGCACCCTCCCCCCCCCCGTGCTATGCACGCAGCGGTGAGGTCACAAGAGTAGCGGGACGCGGGAAGGAACACGGCAGACACGACGGATGTTGAACACGGACCCGATTACACACCTTATATGGAGGGTCCCGAGCGCGCGCTGGTCGCTTCCCCAATGCTTGCGCCGCGTCCCGTCCCGTCCATTTTCTAAACTGCCGCCGCTACTGCGTTAGGCGGCTGCTGCTGTCCTTCCGTTGCTTCACGCGCTGTAGCTCTCACACGTTACCCGACTTTGCTACAGCCCCTGCGTGGACTCGATCACGGAATGACATCCCCACCTATAGACAACAATAATAAATCCAAACACCGTGACCCTGGGTTTCCGATAGAAAATGAAGCCAAATTCTAATTCGACTGTTACAAAATAAACACCAGTTTATTCTATCTGCTCTTCGAACAAACCTTCCTAAATATGTTGTGTCGGGCACGTAGTGTACCCCGACGAAATCCTTGATTCATCGTCTTGTGTCTCCATGTGCGGTACACGCCTGCATAGGCGGTTCATGAAGCTTGCGCGAACGGACACCGGGATGCTCTTGAGCAGCTCTTGAAGCGAGGGGCAGACACACAAAAGACAACCTTCCTTGGGGGGGACACACCTCTTCATTTGGCCGTGAACTCCGGCAATAGATCTGCTGTATTCTTGCTCCTCCGGCACGGATGCGACCCCAATGTGCCCAACAAGTACTCTGCGACTAGTTTCCACTACGCTGGCAGCAAACCCACAATCGCCAAGCTCCTTCTACGGTAAGTTTTCGAGACACTAGTGTTTACCCGGTGCAGATCATACAGATTGTTATTTAGCGTTGCCTATGGGTACAAACACTGGTTGAGTTCGACTCTCCGAGTATCAATCTGCCGCGGTGTCATGGAATCCTGCACGGCATCGCAAGCATGCAAGGCGCCAACGTTCGAATCGACGCAGAGCGATTGGGGGTTGAGATTAGTAAAGAGAACACGCATTCAGCCCTGACTTGGGGTGTAGTCGGATGCTGAAGACCGCCTGGTCGGTTGGAGGTAGGCCGTACCGGGCATGGTCTACAATAGTGTATCTGGAGCAAGTCAGATGAAACCAGCTCCTGCTCGTAAATGGTACGGTCTACCACGTCAGTAGATAAGCTTGTTATCAGATGAACTTGTCACAAGTTGTCGCCACTGCCTCACAAGCTAAAGCGTTGGAAAGAGGAACAATACAGGGAAAAACCCACCCTGGTCACCCACCTAACTCTGTAGGGATATGCGCCGCCCGGGACGTGGTTTCCTGTGTTGGATTCTCCCTCGGGGTTGAAAATTCCAGGATATGTCGTTTAGCTTTCAGCACGGCGAAATCCCCCCCGCCCACGCCACGGGGCAGGTTACCATATGGAAATGGTTATGCGCTACGCGGTTGGTCCGAAAAATGGAAATCGCCCCACGCCGGTCAGAGGAAGTGACCAACATATCCACCAGCGTCATTCCCTAACCGCTCCTACCCTCTGGAAAGGTACGGCGGGAAAGTCTCCCTACGAGATAACTCTAGGAAAACTCCTTGGGACCGTGTGCACGAGGAGTGTCCAGACAATCGAGAGCTGAACAAGCTGATGAAGGAGGCCTTCGACCGCGAGGAAGAGGCGCGTGCTAGGGTAAGAAATTATATTCGACGCAACCATCTCCTGGGTTGTGGGCTTCGGCTAGCGGCCGTTCATCGTATCCAGAGAGAACCCCCCATAACCCCAACCTCGAGGATAAACGTCCAAAGCGTTCCGTGCCAAGTTATTCAATACATACTTGTTGCTGCTGCACGTGGCCCCTCGAGGTGTTTCGCACGAGGCGAATCTCCGGCATCTAACCTGCCTAGCGTAAAGATGCTGCCAAACCAGTAATTTGTGTGGACTGTTACCCCGTGACATTCATCCTGTCTGTCGTTGGGTTCTCTCCCTAAAATGCTCGTTGTTGACGCTATCGAAAAGGCGGAGCTCGCACGGGTGAAAGAGGAGGAAGATCGTGCCAATGCCAAGAGGCGGGAAGCCAACGAGGCGAGGGAGAGGGGGAAGATCGAGAAGACAGCATCAGCGTATAGGCAATGGCGGGGGGGGGGCTAGTCGATGGTTCCTTTGGGTGCTATGCTCGAACAAGCCGAAAATGAGTTACGGTAGAGCTGGTGCGTCGCTTGGTCGTAGAGCTCTTCACCGCCCTTGTTGGTAGTCTCCGTAGGAGAAGCCAGTCAAATGACCGCAGTTATGCCTGCCAACTCATCACGGGCTCTTCGCCGCTTGTCGAGCGTCGGATTCGACGTTCAAAACTACTGTCGGTGCGCCGGACAGTCAACTCTGTTACTCGTTCGAGCTCCCCCTTTCTAGATGACGCCGTACTTCGAGGCCAAGCACTGTCTACAACCCTTGCACAAGTACGACATACCTTTTCCCCCTTGTTGCAGCCCCCTGCACTCCCATTCCCAAAACTACTCGTCAAGACAGGTCAGCACCGGTTGGACGCCTAATAAATCGATACTTTTCTCTCCCGGTATTCCTTCGTACCACAAACATCCAATGTACGTTCTATTGCGCAGCCACAAACTCGTAAGATCGCGCGCGCGGACGTCGAATAACCCCCTCACCCCGCCTCTCATCTATGCTTGTGTGCTTTGTGTTTGCAGAACTGGACACCGCTTCACAGTTCTGAAGAGGTACCTTTCCTCCCTTATTTAGGGTACCTTGTCCCCCGCGTAGAAAATAAATGACAACAAAATACTAAGTCAACTACCAACACAACGATCTAGGTCTTCCCTGATCGTTCAACTTGACGTGCGAGTTGCTGTTGTGTTGACCTTTCACATCGTTCTGACCTCTATTCTCTACCTCTTGTTTAACACTCTTCGGAAACAAAGAAACGAGCGTACAAGCTAACCCCATCTAAGGTATCGGTCGATGCGACGAACCAGGCCCACCATCCGCGAACTTCCATTTGTCAATAGACAGATTTCAATAGGACGGGGTTACCACCGCTACAAACAAAGGAGCACCTATCCTAGCACCCACAACAAGCAGGGAAGTCGGGTTTTCCCGCTGAACAGGTCATCTACATCCCGTATTCTCCCGTGCGGAAAGGATGTGAATCCAAGCATCCAACCACATCTAAAACAAAAACTGATTTTCAGCGCACTTCATGTGACCAGCAAGTGCAACCTGTCGTTGAATTTTTTTCCATTCACCCCAACTCCGCCGGGGAGATCTTTGTCAGGTGTGCCACCAACCAGACAAACACCCCCCCTTTCCCATTCGGGGTGAGGGGTGGTCGTAATGATGGTAGTTCTACTCAGACTAGCATAGCACCTGAGAGGGTCGGGAAATAGAAACAAAACAAATAAACATATCAAGACGAGCGATCTAGTCGAACTCGTTCTTCACGGGCATGCAAGTCCAAGCAAGGCAGAGACAGATCAAGTTAACATACAAAGAGTGGGAAAACAAGCAACCACCGAAAAACAAACCCAGAGCGACCCGTTCCTGGCTACAAAAATCTGCGCTTCCCTACGTCACCCGCTGACCCTCTCTTCAGGTTCGTCAGCAACTCGGTTGTTGCCTCCCGTAGCTTGCAAGCCTCTTTTCCCTTGTGCCGCGACGTCATGCAACTCCCGTCTCCAAATCAAACCCCGTGTGCCGCCCCGCTGTCTGCCTTTCCTGAGCACGGCAGCCGTCTAGATGAGCTGGCACCTCCAACCGTCGGCCAACTGGCGAGTGTAGAGCGTTGTGGAGCCGCCATTGCTTTCAAATTCCCCCCCAAAAGATCTAGCCTGAAATTTGCTAAATAGAGTAGCAGCCACCATTTCCAATCTATCGCATTGGCGATGTGTTCTTGTGACGAATCGACTCGGAGATGGGGGTTAGTCCGATGCTTTGGTTTTCCGAGCCCGGCGAGCCGACGACGGCTTCGACACACCATTATACGTGTCGTAGTCAGCGGGGGACCAGAGCTTTCCACCCGGTGATTTCGGGGTCGTTATTCCAAGCTCCTGAAGTATTGGCAAGAGAGAGAGAGAGAGAGCGAGAGAGAGGATGGGAGAGAGAGAGAGAGACAGAGAGACAGAGAGAGAAAGAGAGAGAGAGAGAGAGAGAGACAGGGAGAGAGAGACGAGGATCGACGAAGAAATAATTGTCTCGAACGGGTGGTCTTTCTGTGAGATTCTGGGTACTTTGTAAAAACAAAGCGAGAGAGAGACGATGATCGACGGAGAAATATGAGTGAGGGATTTACCAATGGTTTTTGCACAAGGCAGATGCATTCCGTAGTTTTCGTTCTGATGTATCGCTGTTTTTCGCTAGTCGAGCATCTATCTGAACAACATGATACCTACTCCAATTTCGTGTATCATTGTCCCGACGGAAACAACAGTGTGTTTTGCTTTCCGTTGGAATGGGAGTCATATAGTTTGAGACACTGGGGCTCGCGCACACCACGCGAGGCTTCATGGCTCGCTTCGACACCAGTCCGCTCTTGCACAACGCATGGTATACACTCGAGTAAACAGTAGCACGTCAGATATATTATGCATTCGATCGAGTGCAAGCACGCACCGACGCTTACGACGAGGCCAAGATCGACACTAACACGGCAGCCTCGAGCCAGACTCACCTTTGCGATCACGTTTCGAGTCACCACGATGTCTCTGTAGGCCGGGTTGTCCTCGAGGTGGTAAGTGTGCGCGGGGTAAATGCTGCGCAATACCTCCCACGTGAGCATCACCTCCGGCCCTTGCGAGCCATTGTTCTTGCGCGACTTCGGAGAGTCCTTCGCCTTCTGTCTGGTCTGTGCAACAGATCGCACACGAGGACCAACATAACACAAGATTCGTGATTTGCTGATTGTCCTCTTTTGGTGGATGGGGCGGGTAGAGGGTGCTCAAGCGTGGCCGTAGTCTTGAAGACGACACACCCTCGCACCCCTACTGAGCACTTCAGGTTTCGCCAACGGGCAAACACAACGGCGATTATGAGCTGTCGCGAATTGTTGGCTGAGTCGCAAGAAAGGGTGAGATTCATCCATTAAGCCGCTTTGTGAAACAAATTTCTCGCATACGCATACTTTCCGTGGGAAACGGCTGGATGCTGAAGTCTTTCCATACAGCAGTGCTCGTGACTGTTGCGTAGTTCCTCACCTTCTGAAGGAATTTACACCCCCTGGCATCTTGTCGGATGACCCAGTTCATCTTTTGCTGGAAGAACGCTGGCACGGGCTCCCTCGGGGGATAACCTCTCTCGAACACCTCCGTATAGGCAGGGTTGGTCACCTTGATCTTCGGCCCGCTGACCTTCGCGGCGCCCCTGGCATGTGAGATTGACGGCGGCGACGAGAAGGTTAGCGTTAGGCTTGCGCACAAAGAAGACGTAACTCGTAACTCCAAGCGCACCTTCCTCTTCACGTGCATCTCGAGGGGAAACGTCGCTATCATTGTCTTCAAACAATCGTTGTTGGCCTGATGATGCCAATACCTTCGGAAAGCTGTAGGTACTTTGCGTGTACTTGATGCCTTTGGTACGCACAGGTGCTAAATGAACACCACCAATATCAGTCGTTAGGAACGAACCAGGTCTCTTCGTAGCATGTCGGTTTAAGTCCGTGGCTATTTGGGTTGGCCCTATTTTCCTCCCATCTTAAGATTTCTCTGAAGCACGTTTCCACCCTCTCAGAACAAGTTTGTTGTTTTCAGGAGTCTTCAAGACGGAAATGACGAAAGACGCAACATTGTTCTTAGTTATAGACCGGACTCTTTTAGAGAAGCATTGAATCATCAGTTCGTTCCATCATGTACGAACGACGGCTATTTCCAGCGAGAACCCCCCCCACACATTGACGATCCATTGACCCTTTTTGTTGTCTCGGTGGGCATCATGGTCACAGCAACTCTATGCACAATCCTATTCAGGATAATTCGTTTTCCCTACGAATCGTGCCGAAAAATTGTTGAGTGTCCACTGGGAGTGCGATTGTTTTTTGGTCAATGAACCACCCGGGGAAGTTCCGAAGAAGAGAGTGAGGATAAGGGGGGGGTACTCGAAATTTCCCAGGAGGAATGCTCGGCCGGCACGAACTGCCCATGAACATCGGCCATGCCTATACATAACCCCCAATGAACATGGGAGCATGTCTGCTAGCACATCACTGTAAGAAAGTGCGGAATGCGTCAATGGGTGTACCGTAATGCGTTGCGAAGAGTGTCAGCACACGAAAAACCGTGGGCGAATCTACAGACGGACAGGGTTTTTGTTTCTTACAAGCGATTCTGCTCGGCAGTGACTCGAACCAGAGGCATTTTAAGCACTCTCCACTCAATAATTGGCGGGGGGGGGGGCGTTTAATGTATTCTGGAGGACTGTGAAGCTCTTCCTACGGGGGCTCCGCGAGGACTAGTTCCAATTCTACCAGACCTCGTATGTACGAAGTTGTCCTGTATTCTGAGCTCGCTCGGGATCATTGTCCCAGTCCTGGCAACAACAGATTCAGGCACGCAAATCGTATGATGCCCTGTCTTGTTTTGTGCTCCCACTCCTGTTTACACAATATACTGCGATTGTGCGCGATGTTACCACGTATTTCGTGCATGGAATTGCCTAAATACACCCGTACCTGAAACACTTGCAAGTGATAGCAGACCACCAGAGTCGAAACAGCCGCCCCACCGTCGAGGTGAAGAGGGCGTAGAGGGCTAGGAGGGCGGGCATGATGATGTATGGTAGGCAGAGGAGCTTCACCGACTTCGTGGCCGACCGGGTGGCACCTTGAGCTCCGCCGTCCCCGCTCAGGTTGTCCTTGATTCGGAGAAGAAAACATATCGTTTAGATTTTCGTGGTGCAGTGGCGAGAATAAACAGATTAACGGTGCCGGGGAGGTGAGATATAGAGACATGGGCTAAACGGGGAGGGTTAAAGTTTAGGTGTATTTTTCAGGTACAACAAAAAGCGAAACCAGCTTGCCGGGACTTTCACCCTGGCACCTTCCGCACCTGCTATTCACATCTGAGCGGAGCGATGACGTCATCCGCGAGATGTTCTCGTGGTGTTGAATCGTCCGGTTGCCACGCGCCGAATCTCAGACGTAGCCGAGTTTCCAAAGTTTGCTTTTTTGGTTACCTTCCTTGGTCTCTGCCTCTCTGCTTTTCCCCTACATTCGTCAAATCATACCCGTTTATCTTTTCTCGTTCTACTTATTCTGTACGTTTCTCTCCCCCGTCACATCTCACATCGACGCTGGACGATAGCACGTCCGCCACATAGTCCGACTCGAAGAACGTCCCGGCAGAGAACACGTAGATCGCGAACATGCAGTGGCAAACAAGCATCATGGGCATCGCGTGCGCCGCAACCTTGACGATTCGACCATCATACTGGTATGATGCGTCGTGGCAAGCCGTAGGAGCGAACGAGGAACGCAGGAGCGGAGAAGGTGGATGATGAGCGCTTAATGCCTCGCCGTCGTCGAGTGACGGTCCCATACGGTCCACACGGCCAGGGTTGGGATAGGGCTGGACCGCGACATCTTGCTTTTGCTCTTGCAAAAACCAAACAAACTCATCTTTATCCATACATAGGAGGCCAGGATGAACAAAATAGCAATTAGTTCCTTGTGGTAGGAAACCTACTGCACCTGTGTCTACCACTTTTGCGTGAGAAAAATACAGTGATATCTCACCCGTAGGTAACGTTTGATTTCTTTGCATTTGATTTTCTGTACAGTAGCCCGGAAGGTGGAATGAGCCAGCCTGGAGATGGAAACCGAAGCGTGGAACCACGATGTGCAGCCTATCAGTCTCACAGCGTCTCGCAAGGGTACTTCCCGAACTCTCTATGCACACCACCTCTGGCGCACAATCACGCACCTAGGTGTCAAACGCGATACGCACGGGTGGGCCCTCTTCCTAAAATATCGACGCGTGTGTTGCCTGCTCTTATGCACAGTAGGCCGTGAAAGTAGAAGTAGTACCTCACCGTCGTCGTTTGAGGTTCACCTCGTTGTTCGAAATACTTGAGAAAACGTATGCGCTGTGATCGGACCTGCGGGGGCGTGCAGCAGGCCCGGAGCAGGTAGAACTTGTCCCCAAAGTAGGTGGCGACGAGATACACGGCAACCATCGGGAAGAGCACGGGAAGTGCCGGCGAGAAGGTGACCGCCACCGCTAACATCATCAGCGTGATCGGCAGGCGCGCCGACAAGTCGAAGTTTCGGCCTGGGTTACCAAAGGACAAACGCCATCGACGGTCGCGAACAAGCGAGGGTAAGGGATACGGCTTCTTCTTTGTGAGGGAACGCACATGAATGTCTGTCCTTTGAACACAACCGATGGATGGGTTGTGTTTCCGAACGTGACGTTTGCTCACCGCCAAGAAAAAATTGGAGATCTGAATACCTCTTCCACCTCACAACCCGGGCGGAAAGAGCGTGACGGCACACATGTTTCCAATTCGGCTGGTGAAACCCTCATAAAACTCTGCGCTCCGTTGCTCGCTCGCAACCTTGCTTCAAGTAGCTGATGTAGAGTGGGTGTTTATTTTTGCTAACCTGTTCACTCATCCCACCATCATAGCTGCTCTACAAGGTCGGGTCTATTGTGGCTTCCACTCTGTGTGGCCACCCCCTGCACACGAGCTCGTGAAACCCACTTCGCCATCGCACCCTCATTTAACGGAGTTTTCCAACTGAGCTGCTACTGCTGCTGCTACTGCTGCTGCTGCTGTTGTTGTCGCTGCCAGGTGGGCCTTCACGTTTGAACGACCCGAGGGATCCAGCGAGAATCCCCCCGAAAGGAAAAACGGCAGCACCGCTTCGATGTAGGCCCTGGAACACGGTAGTTGTTTACCCGATCTACCTAGGCGGTGCTTCTACGACATATAACATTCGCACCGACAAATCTACCTCGCGCCTCACCCTTCCAGTCTCTGTTGAGCTGTCTCTGTGTGATCACCGACGAGGCTGCCGCTGGTCTTCTCCGCCAGGGACCAAGGGCGAAGTGCTCCACCAGGTCCGGGAGGCGGGGCGCGAAGACGTTGATGGCGATCGTCGTGATAAGAGCCTGGCCCGTGGTCGTGTACCACTCGACGCCCTCGGCCGATTCGGCCGCCAGTTTTGCCGCAGTCATGGCGTTTTCGGACCCGAACAGCTGGCAGCGTTTGTTTTTGACGTGGTCGTGGTTGTGGTTGTTATTGTTGTTGTTGTTGTTGTTGTTGTTGTTGTTTGAGGCAAGAAACGCGAGGGTCGGAATAACATGGACTACATATGTAGAGAGGACAAGGGTGCGGGACGGGGGGAGAGGGGCTTTGCCGATCAGGTTGAAGGCGGTGCTCCGTGTGTAGCATGGGAATCATGTTGGCCGATCGTTATCGGTGTCTGGGTGGTATTGTTTTCGCCAGACCGTACTGCCACCAAAAACACAAGTAGCGCCAAGGTGCTATCGTCGCGAGATCCAGCCCACTGTATGATTTTGTTCCGTACGTTGACATACGCGTGGGTCAACCGGTACAAGACAGGGAACACCCAACGATACCAATCCATTACGTTATGAGAACCTGCGCAGCGTGCCGATACTGCACAGCAATACCCCAACGACATTCTTGCTAGGGGTAATGGGTTTCGAAAATGTTGTACGATGCGGCTCCACGTCGCGTCCGTGTTATTGGCGTACACTCACCGTAAAGGAATTGGGCAGGTTGACCAGAAGCACGACGCACGCCGAATTGATGAAGAGGGCAAGCGAGATCTTCCAGGTGTTGCTGACCGCCTGCTCGGTGACGGACGGGTGCCTCTCGTAGGTGCCCATGCGTTTGAGCACCCACTGTCAGGAACGCGGCGGGGGGAGTAGCAAGAAATTGGCACACAAAAGGCGACACCAAATAAGCACACCGGTATCCCGTGAGCCTCGTGTTCGTATTTGTTTCATCCTCTGCGGCAACCGCACCGTTACCGCTTTTGGTTTATTCTTCGAATCGTGTTTTTCGTTTCCTTCGTTTCTGAGATTGAGACGCACCAGAGACAAACGACACTGGTCAAGGCAACGACTCTCACAATCCCTCTCTGCGAGTACTCTTGACTGCCTCTACCGTCCCAAAAAACTGTGTCTCTTACTCTCTAAAAGTACAAACACAGGTGAAACCAATTCCCAGAATTCTCGGAATGGTATCCTAGCGTTTCTCTTATCCCAATATACCAGCGAGTTGCAGGGCTTCCCCCATTCTTCCAGTTCGAAAGAAACGGCCGAGAGGGCGGAATCAAGACGCGAGTCGCCGGTCATCCTCCCCTGTTCGTACCTTGAGCCCAAAGTTGATGACCACGACGTTCACCGAAGCGACTAGAGTGAGAATCTTGCCGATGGTGTACTTGGTGCCGTACTCCCAGCACCCACCGCCGACCTTGCGAACAAAATCAATAGCCCCAGTGCCGTGCTCTTCTATCTCTTGCCTGGGTTAGTTGGGTGAGGGGGTAGTTTGTGTAAGTGATGTCGTCTTCGTACTGAAACCACGCTACCGTCGGTGGTCGTGCATAACCCTTTGTCATAACTAGGCGATCCGGACCGAGACGTCATGCATGTGATCAAAGGCCGAACATCAACAAGGATGTAAGACTATTCTTAAACGTAAACAAAACCTCTTCCCAAACGCACAATGGGAATTACTAGAATGTGCAAATATGAACGTATGCACACGTTTTTTGGAACTGAGGTGCGCGCGTTTGTTGCCACGAATGTTTGTGGATTGAAGAAACTCGGAACGGATATCGGGTACATAGGGCGCAAAGGCGCCGAGACACATGCCGAAAGCGTTTTTAAGCACAGACATCTGTACTTTCCAAAACCTCATGCTCTTGTCCATCTTTTATGAAGCTACCTATACTCGTGTATGACTTGCCTGCAGAGACAAGAAGCGATCTGCCACGGAGAGATGCCAGTGCCGCTCTCGCAGTCCATGTTCCGCCAGTCCGTCGGGTCGACGCAAGGATCCACGCAGGTGTTTTCTTGTCCGTTGGTCTGGTTTAGCGGCCGTAGGAACATTTTGGTGTGAACGGACCGAGCGTCACGTCAACACCTAAACTGACCCATGCCATCGATATTGGAAGTTGTATTACATAGCCGCACGCTGGGCATACGAAGCGCGCACAGCTTACGACATCAGGTACGCGACAGAATGAAAGAATAATCCGCGAATCACGGAAGGGTTGTTGCACTGTATCCGGGAGAAACGAAACCCCTACCGAACCTGCCATTCTCCAGCTGTTGACTTTTCTACGAGTAAAAGTGCCCCGCCGCTATAAAAATGTTTCTACCAGGTTTGCAGCAGGTAATGTCTTCAAAACCGATGCACAGGAAGGCTACCTGTAATTTCCCCGAAGCTCTAAGTGTTTCCGTCTCTTGTCAGCCACAATCGGTCGAAGGCTGCATTCGTGAGAAATGGGCGACACAGACAGACCATTCGCCTGTGAAGCCGCGCCCGATGATGGACGCTCTTCCCTGCTCCACCTGGTGTAGTACACCGACCCACCTGGTACGGCGAACCCTCCAACGTTACCCAGATATCGTCGCTGGCGCAGATACCTTCCGGCGCGAAACCTCCGGCGTACGGCGTCGCTGGAGGAAGGCCGTGCTCGGCCGGGATGGTCACGAGGCACCGTTGCTCGCTCGACGCGACTGGTTTGTCGTGCAAACGCCCGTATCGGGGAGCGGGAAGGGGCGGGAGGGTGTGTGTGTGGCAGAGGTACGGTGTAAAGAGCATGGTCTTCAGGCCCAACAAGGTGTAAAGGCGAAAAACGTTTTAGGACGACGCTTTGGGCCGAACAAATTCGTCGTGAACCTGAGTGCACTGGTCACGCGGGTTAGGGATGAGACTGTCGATCGAAATGGAAAAAGATTGTTCGTAGCCACAACCGTAGAAAAAGTGACCTACAAGATCGCAGATACTGAAGCACTGCAAGAAGTTCGGCACCAACAAGAGCTGACTATTTACTTTCATTATCCTTTCGGAATGTACCACGGTCTACGCAAGCGTCCATGTTCTAAGGACACCAAGCCGAACCAAGGTGCCCTATGGGAAATAAATCGCCACTTCGCGGTTAGCACTTCACCAAGTAGCTGATAGGCGTTGGCGGCTGATGCAGAAAAGGGTGAAAAGTTCAACCGGCCGCTCAAAAGAACATGACTGGACGATATCCCACCCTCAAATATCTCATTCACTACTTTTCTCGGGCATACATCACTCAGATGCGTGTATGTCTGTGTTTATCTTGTGTATGTGTATATTTGCCTTTAAATCGCGATATCCGCGCTGACCGCAGCCGACAAATCTAAAGACGACAATTTTATTATTGGGGGGGGCGGAATATCGGTGAGGGGGAGACGTCGGCCTTTTCGCACAACCATGGATTACTACTGCAAGGAATACTGGGCAACAAACGTGGACCCTGGAGCAGCGCTACGATTCAATGAGGTTGGAACTACGGAAGCCCATCCACGCCCCCCTCCCCTTCGCAATCAGTACATTACTCTGGGGATGCTCTCACTCGCAGCGTTAAACTCCTTCTCAGCGATGTTGCTGGCGTACAAGAGCGCGAAGCTGGCGGTCAAGAGAACGATGGTGACCCAGAGCGTTAGAGTCTTGCGGTGCGCTCGTTCTTTTTGGGTCAGCTCCAAGTTCTCCCATAGAATGTTGGCAGCCTCTGGTGCCTTCAAATAGCAGCCCAGTCCGATGACGAGTTGGTTATGGGGGTGAAGGGTCGGGGTGGAGTTCAGCGTGCCTTAGTCTGTAACATTTTTTCTCGATGTTGAAGCTTGGGGCGAGACAAAGGGAATTCACAGCTAGTTCATACTGGTACTGTACAACGGTCGCACGTTTTCTGCCCACCCCTATACCGTCCCCCCCCCACCGAATGAGCACTGTCGGCACGACAACAAAGAAGTCTTACCCGCTGGACCGTTATCCTGTGCTTTTCTCGGAATCGCAGTTGGCGTGGTTGCATCCATAGAGGATACCGCGCATAGTCTGCCAGGCAGCGCACGACGGACGTCTCGTGGTTGAAGACCACGAACGCCGCCGAGGTTTTCCAGCTTATTTGCTCAAACCTCTCCGCTTTAGATTGAAGCTTGGTGCAGAAGCGATGGATGCGGAGAGGTAAGGGGGTCAGGTGAGGATACAACCAACGGACGAGAGGTGCCAGTAAATTCCCGGTAAGTGTTCGATGTTGATATCTTCTGGAGCACTACGAAGCGTCGGACAATATAAGCTGCTGCGGTCGTGACGCTCCCCTCACGAAGGAATGAATGATAGGAAGCTAGGCAACTGAGAGTCGAATCGGTGGGTTATTTTCAGCACGACGGAACCAAGGCAGACGGGAATGGTATGCCATATATTGTGTTTGCTCTTGAAACACTCGCTAACACCTATTCGCGACTACCAAATGCGCCTTTGGACTACTCCGCTGCAGAGGTTCATCGTCGCAGTCACTGCATGAGCGGTTAGACAAAGTACCTCTTTTGCACCCCTCGCGAGCCCGTCGCGGAGTTCGGCCAACTTATTTTCGGCGGCACGGAGACTCCTCTTCCTGAGTCTCGTCTTTGGTAGCGCTCGGATCTTCTTGACCTTGGCCCTCGCTTCTAGGATATCCTCGCTCATTGATGTCATTTTCCTAGCCTGGGGTATCCACAAGAATGGACGATCGTCGGATGAGGTCAACAGCCTAGACCGCTGGCCTGCCACATCTTGACAAGCTTCGAGTCGAAACTGCCCCTCGTGTTAATATCTCATGTTGTTGTGGTTGTTGACTTCACATTGAAAACTGTTCCGATCTCTCTATCCCGTACCTTCATCTGTCCATTCTAACACATGATGCTGTCGATCCCTGTGGTCAGAGGCTAACCCTAAACTGGCTTTCTAACATAAAATATTCTCGAAGGGTCCACAAGTCAGTAGAAACTAACCGCAGATAGTCTAGAACCCTCCACTTTTATGTAGTGATTTGACTTGACGTCCGTTGGTGAGCACTGCGTCATGGAATAAAGGGAGGGTGAAGAGGGGAGCAGTCTTCCCGCTCTCCTCGTAGACGCGAGCACACACGTGTACAGATCAGAGGCGCTCTTTATTAGCGACCTTGCATCCTGATCGAGAACACCGCTCCCTGGATTCTCGAACCCCCTTACATCGCTCAACCTACGCCACAAAGAAAGGTAAATGCCTCGTGCCTGCCGAATAAAGTCCCCCTCCGGGTGCGCCAAGGAGCACTCCGCCAGCCAGGAACCTCGGCAGACGTGATCGAACCTAATTGGCAGGAGGAAACAACCCATCGACACAGAAAACATGTTGGCACTTAATCACGACGACCTTTTCATGTTGTTGGTCCCAGGCTTCATCAATACTTTTGCTTCCACCAAGGCGGCGTCTCCGAGTAGTGCACGAAACAACCGCCGCAAGCACTACGATTCTTGTAGGTTCTCAGGTAAATCGACGGAGAGCTGGGCGTACAAAGGTGGACCACGCGCCGCTCTCTTCGCATAACTAACCCCGTTCCCCATGCATTGCCTCTTCCCAGCCCCTGCTTCTCGTGGGACTACTCGTGCGGGCCAACCTTGAGTGTGCTGTGGACTTGACGGGCTCGAGGCTAGCGCCGATTGACACGCCGCCGCAGTCGACTACGTCTTCGGGCATGTCTGCACTCTTCTTGCCGAGAGCGCAGCACCCCCACCCGGGAAACGTCCACCCCGGCTTGTCCAGACGAAAGAGCTCGGAAAAGTGTCGAATCACCTCCTGCATGGAGGGATCAAGGAGAAAAACGACCACCCCGAGAGCGAGTTAAGGTGTAGGATGCCCACCCCCGAGAACAAGCGCAACAGCGGTCTACATGCCTGCGTTTGTAGACGTAGGGCAGGAGGGGGAGCTCGAGGTTCGACAACGCCTGAACTGGGCGGTACTGGTCGGCGGAAAGCAAAAATAGGACGCAATGAGCAGAACTCGTGCAGGTTGTGCACTTGATTTACCGTCTCCGTGGTTGGGCCCTCCACCCTGCCGACACCCTGCTATCTTTGCACTCGTGCTACAGGAGCTTGATGTTGACTACGAATAGTTTCTGAACACAGACACACCATCCTGAACCTCAGATTCTTCTTGTGCTTCCTTTTACTGGGCGGGGGTCGCTCTTTGACTCAATGGGTTTGAGGTATCCTTACTTCGTCGTTAGCGTCCACCGGGATTCCGGTGACCTCGACGGCATAGTCCGCCGGTGTGACATTTTCCTTGTCCGCCTTTTCCTCGAACTCAATCATCTCGTGCTTGAACCTCCAGTAGAGGGCCATCAACCAAATGCAACAAAGAACGTCACAACACTGCGCCCGAACATCAAAACAGGGGTGGTAGAAAAACGAAGGTCGTTAGACAGATGGGTGGTGGGGAGTGCTTCCACTTCAGCCCCACTAATGTCGGTTTGGACTTCAGCAAAAGTGCTCTTGCCTGCCCCTTTTCATCACATGGTATGTAGTCATCATCAAACGTTGTCGTCTCAATCTGAACGAGCTCGATATGCAAGAACTATTCATACCTACCATTGCGCTTCAACACAGCGCCAAGCAAGCACGTCTACGACGAAGATTCGCTCTTAACATTATGGAAACACCCACCGATGGTTGGCCGAACCAGTTGAAGTGGGGTAGAACCGAGCCCCTTCTCATATATATTAGCAATTTTTATACGTGTGTCTACATGCATCTTTCGGAAAGTAGGCGAAGTTGATCCACCCACCATGATTACAAAGGAACCGTTCTTGGCTGTGAGGAGCGTTTCCGGATTGTCGGACATTTTGAAGAAGTGATCATCGCATGTCGCGGTTTGAGATATAAGCGTCGTTACCGTCTCGTCACCACCAGCCAGGCAAGGGTGGAACCCCATATCCGATACGTCCGTCAAATTCGTTAGCCTGTTCAAGTGTAGATTGGCATGATAACGTACATGGAATTGAGTGTTGGTACGTAGCTCGCCGGTAAGCTGGACGGTACTGTTGTGTAAAGGGCTGTTTTGTTCGCGCTTCCAAGCTGTATCGGCAGGGCTAGACACTGTTCTCCCCTCCACCCCCCCCTCTCGCTGTGAAAGTCGCCGTCACACTGACGGCCAAGAAGAGACAACTCGAAAAAATAGTTGCGGGTCCTTGGAGTACAAATCGTTTGTAGACGGAAACCCCGGCAAAGTCCAATGTATTAGACGGACACTTTGTTCACACAACGCGTGCGGCGAGGAGCTCGAGGAAGCCTCTTCTCATTCCATCATCTGATATACCCTTTTTGTGTGTGACCCCCGCAACCCTTGTACTACAGTATCGCAACCACTCTCGTCAAGGCAACAACTGGCAAGCACAAAAACATTCGCACCGGTGATTCCCGGCTGCAAATGTCAACAGCCTCAAAGGATCCATTTCAGCCCGAGTCAGACTATCCCCGAAGAAGCATATCAATAGGTGCGGTAGAGTCAGCAGCGTGCATATGACAGCGAACAGCGTCATTCGACGAACGTAGACGAAGTACAGGCCCACCCCTGACGAATGCACGCAAAGGTTGAGGAGAGATGAGGACGAACAAATGAACAGGATGACACAGACTCGGATTACTGCTTTGTAGATGCAAAACAGCGCGAAAGCTACGACAACAATGTTGAAAAAGCGGCCAATCAATAGCTCGTTGTGGAACCATGCACAGGTCACCCCGCCCCAAATGTGAAACACTTCAAAACACGCCACGTGAATCTCCACACTCAGCACTACCCCCCGTGGCTTTGCTCGTATCTCCATGGCGTTAAAGTTAGCCACATATCTTATGATTTTGGCGGACCTATCCACGTTGTGGACTGCAGCTTCGATGGACGTTCGGAACCGCTGCCTTAGTATCGACTACCCAACCAACAGGTCTAAGCACTCGCAACAGTACATTGCAGAGCCGTGTCATGTCGTTGTGTGTACCTCGTTGGCATGGGTGACGTGTCCAACACGCATGTTTCCCCCCCAACAACAAAAACGGGCAACAAACAAAGGCGCCCATAGTACCTTCTAGCAATGCGATGGATAGCAACGGTAGGCTATCAAAGTATTCTGAACTACTGCTGAATTGAGAAAATGCGAATTCTGCTTGTACCTTCGCCCATCTGAAACAGCGGTGTGTCGTTTCTGCTCCACACTGGTGCCAATCCGTTGCCGTACATGGTTGACGCGCGATGCTTTGAAGCAAGTTCTGAAACAGAAGCGAACGATTTAGCCGAAGAAGTTAGACAAAGTGCAATAGGAGTGAGGTTGCTTACACTTGACAGTAACTCTTTAGGTTTAACCGATGTTGAACGTAGCGAGGCTAGGTTCCTCACAAGAACAAGGCTAGTTTGCTCAACCCCACCAACCTTAACCCTAACCCCAACCCTAACCCTAACCCTCACCGAGGGCCAACGCACGGCCTAGCGGCCGCGAGCAGGGCGAGCACGCGGCCGGAATCCGGAACGGGGAGAGGGCGCTGGAGAGGAATCGGCCGTTAGAACTAACGCCAAACAACCGGACCAATCAGAAAGCACTACAGTAGTCCTAAAGATCTACTATCAATGTGTAAACACTACTAGGAGTACAACATTAGGCCAGTACCAGCGCAGACGGATCAACACGCTTTGATTTTTGTGGTGTCCCTTGATGCTGTCAGCGAACACAATATCTTGACACGAGAAGTACCATTGAAGAGAGACCGACTTGCTCATGGAGAATTGTTTTGAAGGACGCAGTCAACTCTCTTTCGAGGTGCTAGCCGATTTTTTTCTGTGCGACTACAGTATTGCTACAGTATTTTTCCTTGGGGACATTTCACGCAGTCAAATTCCGTATGGCATCGACAGGGTACTTTATCAAAGTTACAAAACAAATCAACCATTATATGAACTGCTATGCGTGCCCCCTCTCACCTTGTGACGGTTTCTTCCATGCAGTCTCGCGAAATTTCGCACCAAGTCCTTCGTCGTACACATCATGGAGCCCGTCTTCGTCACCTCCCGCCACTAAATCCCGTTTCCCGTTAGATCTCTGGAGAGGGGAGTAAGGCGATACTCTTTGCTGTTGTGAATACTGATGAGGATGCTGTTGTAGTTGCTGTCATTTGGAAATGGCGTCGCTCTGATCTCTTCCAATTGCTACGTACAAGATGACCTCCATGTCCTGTTAGCCTGGTTTTCAGCGCTATCAACATGTCGATTTTCTGTGCGGAGAGTCGTCCTGATGTCTGGACGACGTGGGTAGCTCATTTTCACCGTATTGACGAACGGGGACAGGATGGTTTGATACACCACAGCAAACAAGCGAGGCACATTCGGGGCAACAAAAAATCGTATTGTATGCATATGGTAGTCTACTTCTACAGAGACAGTCGATGCCCATATACTGCAAGGGGATTGTTGTTGTTGTTGTTGTTGTTGTTGTTGTTGTTGTTGTCGTCTTCACATTAAAAGCCGTTCCCATCTCTCTCTCCACCCAGTACCTTCATATTTCCGTTCTGATCCAACACTTGACGCGGTTGATTCCCGTGGTCACAGGCTAACTTACCCTAAAAAGGTACCCTCAAACAAACTGGCCCCGAGGGGTCCGCAAGTCAATAGGGGATGTCGAATAGGGAAGTCGGCCTGAGGGCGTGAAAGAGAGTACACACGCAATGTAGGTTTTGTACACCATGAGCTCATCGCATTAACTAATCCCTGGGCTTTCTTCCTATGTAAATCTATGCATAGGACCTGCAACGTAGTCTAGATTAACAAATAATCCATGCTAGTATGCAGCATGGTGTGTGAGTTTGTTTGTACACGCGGTATTTTTTTAGCAGACACACGAACGAATATTTCTTCGCCAATAGCGGAGCCTGTTAGTCTACACACTGTCTGTAGTCTCCACGCCTTAGTCGAAGGTACATTGTACATATTCCACCCGTCGGGCAGACCTTCTTGTAAACACCTAAATCATCCCAAACATCTGACACGTCGAAAACCTTCAAAACATGACCAAACCCGTACACACAGGGAGGCCACTGAGTGCATGCAGTATTGCATCGCACATGACGCGTACAGAGTGTATGAGTCGAGTGCGCGGGTATCTGTCTCTCTTTATTCCGGGGGGGTGGCCGTTCTCGACACCTGACGAGAGAGCGACCATCTCTCACTGACCGAGGGTGGGGCATTATCCCTGCCGACGGATGGGGTCAAGACACTTTGCCTTGATACAGTGTACAGCCGCGGACTCGGTAAACCCACCTGGACCGTAAGGAGTCGACGAGTAGGTTCTTCTTCGATATCGGTACCGAACTCCCCCCTTTCGGCTCTCGGAAACTGCGAAGGTTTAACATTGCTAGACATGTTGTGGAACTCTCGAAGATCCTGAGCTTGCACTGTAGTCCATGCGCGGACGTGGAGCACACACAACAGTGGAGTGCACCTGCTGCTTGATGAAGCTGGTTTCATGCACTCGGCGAAGCCGAACCGTCAGGTGTTGTGCCGCCAACCAACCGGCAGATGTTGCGCCGACGAGGAAAAAACAGGGAGTCCTGCGTCATAGCTCGACTGTCGACAGAGCTGTCAAGCAGGTCCGGCGTCCTGGTGCTATCCTTCTGACCGGCGTCGCTGGAATATTTTGTGGAAAGGCCTTGCGCTCGTCACCATGTCCAATACCTGGTAGGCGTCACTGAATTTTCACAGAAAATACTGCTGTACGTCAGACAAATAGTCTACCCTTGGTGGATCCCTCTTGGCGCATTGTGACAAGACCCATCGTGTTACAGCTTCTATCTGGCATTCTGGCGACGTGTGGGGCCGCGGTGTTAGGGTGTTCTTCAACGACGCCGTCGCGGCTACAGTTTTTGCTGGGTGTGGGTCGGGTACCAAGTGCCCATGGGCGAACCGAGAATAAGTCTATTCAAATGCAGGGACCCCGAGGACGTCATGTCGCTTGCGCGATGTCTCCGAAGGTGCAAGTCAACTCCCGCCCTGAGTTACACGGCGGCATCACTACTCAGCAAGGTGTGTGTTCCTGCTATGCTCTGACGTCCAAGGTTTCAAAATATATGCTGAGTCTAACGCATGACCATAGGGGTCCGTGCCAGGCGGCACAGTTGGCACACAAGAGCTTTCTTTGCTTGTAGTCTACACTAACTGCTGCGCCCACGACCGCAAAATGTACATGTAGCCGTCTTTCGGTCACTGCTGTAAAGCAGACATCACGGTGTTACAATAGTTTGACAATTTCCATTTTTTATTCAAACGCCTTGTCGATGCAGTACGGAGAAACGTGCATCTCGGTAGGATGGGGAAGCATCGCAGCAGCACCACATCCTCGTTTGCCTGTGAAATATATTATCTTGTTGCTTGTAGATACCACCGTGCGACTCATGAGGAGACGTCTCACCGTTAATTGAAGATCATATTTCTTGTTATGGGCCCCCCACTCATCCCATCAGAAGAAGGAAATGAGCTTGCCGGAATTCATAAGACGCTCATGACTGCCACCTCTTTACACATCGTGGAAAGTATAGGTAGGGGATATACTCCTACAGAATTTTTCTAAAGCCGGCCAAAAGGATCGCCAACTTGGTGTTATTGTTACTTTTTCTATTTGGTAAGCTCGTAAGAGCTTTTGACTCTAGGTTGTAGGCCCGGATCTCTCCGGAATGAAAAGCATCGCAACGGTGCTGTGACAAGCGCGCCAAGTCGTGAGTGAAATAGGTATACAGAACAAACAAGGAGGGAATGCAATATATGCTGAACCCATGCAGTCTGAACGCAAGTAACACAGGAGGAAATAAATAGAAAGAGAGGATGGCACCACAGGAGGAAATGCAGAAAGAGAGAACGCATCGTGCGATTACGTCCACCCCGACTGGTACGTCAAACATACACCGAATGATATTTGACTGCGCCGAGAATAAATGGCGCACTGGTACACGTACTTGTGTTTGTGTTCAACTGGCAGACGCTTACTGCCCGGGCCACTCGACTAGAGTCGACAGCAAGCAAAGCTCGCCTAACGGCAGAAAAGGAAGCCTATCGGAGAGCGACTGTCGAGAAGCGTCGAAGGGCGCTGGGTCCGAAAAACCCATCCGATTTCATGAGCCAGACCCTTCGAGACCGAGAAAAGGCACGGGAGAACAACAGGCTTCGGGCAGAAAGACGGCGTCCGGGAACGCCAGTGCTAGCAGAGTCAGCGGCGGTGTGCCGGAGAGGAACACGGCGCGCTAAACAGGGGCCGCTATCGGAGATTTCGCTTCAATTTCGGTTCGGAGAAAGTGCTCACGACAATCGTTCCACTCATTCATCGCTGGGCGGTTCGCTGGCTCACGGCAGCGGCGCTGGACCACCACAGCGCACGGTATAAATTGAATTGATGTGCAAGATTTCAAGGAGTCAATATTGCGTCCCTGAAACGCTCAGAACATGGGAATTTTCATTGCTGTGCTGACTGTGAGGAGTAGCGGAATGATCTTTGTCTCCAAGATGAGGCCGCATCAATTTAAGGCCTTTTCAAGAATGACTGATCGAGCCGTGGACAATTAAAGTTCTCCCTGAAAAATTCCGCACCACGTATGTAAATAACCAATGATGCACTCGGAATCAATGCTATATCCCCAGGAGCAAACCTCGACCCCCCACCCAAGGTCCACCCCGATGCCCGATTGCGTGGGCCTCGAAGATGACGACGACATCCATGTTCTTCTCCAAAGAGCGTACTCGAGCTCTTCGAGTATCCGCTCAGAAAGCAGCGGATTCTCTGGGAAACCGAAGCCGACGTCTGGCCAGTCGTACGGCCGATCACATTGTACGGCGGAATCACCACTTCTCCAAGGCAAGCCATCCGCGGCGGCTTGCAAGGGGTCTGTGCGAAGGCCTCATACGGCTGGGGCAACCGCAACGGCGAGGTCGTTCGACGGAAGGAAGTTCAGCCCAGCAGACGTGGCTCAGATGAGAAGGGAGATCTTGATCCGTTCGCACGGCGAGAAGAGACATCTTCACCTATATCCGGCAGAGCCTTTCGAGACAACGGCGATGGGCCGGAAGGCGCGCTGTCGCACCCCGGGGAGGAAGGCCGAGGTAAGAGCACTTTGGCTAAAGACGATAAGCCACGGTACATTTTTCCTGCTAGTGTTAATGTATAGCAGCTGGAGCAAAATCAGTCCTGGCGAACCGTCTGCTTCAAAACTTCCTACCGCCGAGAAAAAGTAAGAAGTGCATCACTGTCGTTGGAGCTCACTCTCATTCGATCTTGCCATTTTGTCTTCTCCCATACATCGATCACGTGAATATACCGATCTCTGGCGAAAAATACTCAGCTCATGCCTTGGATGCCAGCGAAGACGACGGACAGCCTTGATAGGCTCCAACGATCCAGGATGCTGATGAACCAGCGGCCAGTAGTCGCAAAGTTGCATGCATGGACGTGATATGAGCGGAGAGAGTTAGCCGAGATGAGAGGAAACATCACGGTCCGCAACGTGCACTTTGCACGTGACGTATTGACGGACGGATGGTATGGAGCATGTGTTTTCACCGAATGTTGAACCAGGCGAGATATGAGACGAAGATGAGACTTTAGCGACGTACCCAGCGTGGACTCTCCCCCAGTAGACGGCTTGGGGGGGTGCCAAATGTGGCCAGCATGCCAATCAATATCAGAACTCTCCACGCAAGACGTGGGGTTTGATTCTAATTGAAAGAAGAACTTCGATATTGAATTCGTTCATAGAAATCAGTTTTGCTCCTGGGCGCCATGGAGGCTCTTGCTGGAAAGGGGAAATCAGTTGTACTACGTTGGGTGTACATAGACAGGAATATATGTCAGTACGGAAGTACGTCATACGGCAGTGGCTGTATAGGCGAACATATGCGTTGAATGGCGTCGACCGCAGTACATGGAAGGGAGCCTTTCTGATTCGTTGGGGCTAACGCTCAAACTGGTGCACGCGAAGAAAATCCATAAACCGGCCAGCCTACACTAGCATTGTCCTGTGAGAGGTTGCAAGTTTCCAAATAATCGTATGCACTGGAGTCCAGATCACCCAACGTCATGTCAAATGACAGGATACTCCATACAACGTACAAGAGGGGTGTTCGTAGAGACATCGCACCCCCTCGGACAAGGAGTGTATTCAAAACTCTACTAGCCAATAGCGAAGAGAAAGCCAGTGTCGAAACGACTAGACTAAATTTCGAAAAATCAAAAAGAGTTTTTGTTTGAGATGTGATCGTTTTTGGCAACCTCTTGCTTGTAGGAAAATGATCTTTGAACCGATGCAACATCCCCGATGGATAACGTACAAGCATGCTACCCGCCTCCTAATTTATTCCAGGCGGCTTACATCGCAGGTTCCAATGATTTACGTGACGACCTTGCACAAAACTAAACATCGCACACCACCACCCGCTCGAGTTTGCGAGTTTGCGCACCACGTGACGAGAATGAAACTTCGCCGTCGCGGCGCAAGCAGGTGTGGACAATCATCTGGTGCTGCCGTATCTTACACTGATATGATATGTGCCTTTTGGGTTTCTGATACTCTTACGTCCACGTCACATCCGAAACATCTCCACAGGTGTGATTGGTTCAGCTCGCAAAAGGTAGCACTCCTGCTCGAATTTCCGGAGTCGTCAAGTTCTGGCATATTCATCCGAAACCGACTTCTTCGAAGATACCTCGGAAAATAACATTTCTTCGAGATTTGGTAGGCGAGAGCGCACCCTCCAAAGATATTTTCCCCCTACAAACCCATCTCCTGCCGAGGCCCCCGGAGGAATGGTGGCCTAACGGCAGAGTTCTCAACCGTTCCAACCATACAGTTCTCTCTGGTACAGATATCTACGCGTCCGACAACGCATGCCATCCCCTGCTGACCTAACTCCCGCCTAGCCTGTCTTCTATCTCGAAGCAGTCCGGCCTTTCAAATGGGTCTTCCGCCAGCATGCTTCCCACGAGAGTACAATCCAGCAAACCTGCCCCTTCCTCTGGGTGCGGTGTTTTTTCTTCGCCGGACTTTACCCTTTCCACGAGCCCACCTTCCCCCGTTAAACAAACCTCGCTAAGACCCCTGGAGAGAATGTAGTGGCGCCAAAACTCGAGCATCAATACTCCAAGCGCGTACACATCCGAATGCGAGTCCACGACATCTCCCCGGCGACGTTCGGGGCTGGCAAAATGGTGATGCTCTGGTGCGCCTTTGCGACAGCCAGGGGGTGTGACCTGACTCAGGTTCCCCACGCAACAACGTCCATCTGCAGCTACCTGTGGTCATGGACGAAAACGTGGAGAGTTGAAGTGAAATTAAACTGTTAGGAATCACCAGCGGACAGAGGGGTGGAAGCCGCAGCAGCTGTGTCAAGAACAAGTACACGTTCACGATGTAACCTTCGGGTGGCTGTCGCTCTTCAGAGTTTGTGCATCACCACCCACTAAAACGCTATTACTAGGTGTCATTGCGTTGGAACACGCCAGGCGGCAGACCTGAAAACTTTTCAATTTGTCGTGGAGACGACTGGGGAGAAGGTCGTCACCCGAGACGACCTGCGGTAGGGCAGCCAGTGCTATTAATAATTGCTTTTAATATACCTGTCAGCTTGAACTCATCACCCCGAACCACCGTTCTTGGCAAAAACAAGTCTGTGTCAATCTCGAAGAATCGTCGCAACCCAACTAAGAGCGACGTTGTGTTTTTGGACATGCACGTGCGAACAACGCTGTCCTAACGATCTTTCGACAAGTGTGCTGAACCCCCCCCCCGACACAATCCATCTTGAGCACAACCGGCTCGCAACACTCCGCACGCGTACTTCGGGCAGGTGGAACGCCTCCCCCCTCCCTTAAGGGCGCACGCTGCACGTGCACGAACTCACCCACAGGCTGCAAGGATGGATGTTATTGTGCACGAGCCCCTTCGTATGGAGGTGCTCCACACCGCGCAGTACCCCCTTGAACATCGACATCAGATGTCGCCAAACGAGCGCCCAATCATGAGGGGCTGTCACAGCCCTTGTTGTCGTTGCGCCGTCTTGCCCTTCTGGCGCAGCGGTTTGCGGTTCGAACTCCGTGTCAAACCAAACCGACAAGGGCAGCCAGTCTGGCAGAAGAAGATACGACGTCAAGCAAAGTGTGCGCTCCCGCTGCCTGCGGACGATTTCCCTGCCGCTACGTTCGGTCCTTCTGGTTTGGCTGTCACAACAGCCGCAGCAGTAACCACCTGAAGCCGCAGCGGCAGAGTTGAGGGATATCGGCCGTGGCTGAGCCGTTGGCAATGGCGATGAGGTGCAACCAGTGCAAGAAGTAGTCTCGTCGGTAGATGGTTTTGGTTCGGCGGTTCCTTTCCAGCCAGTCGTGCCGTCCCCTCCCCACCGAAGCTGTTCCAACCCTCCATGCTGCGGGGGCGCTGTACTTGCGTCGTCGATGCTCTTGTTGCTGTGAGACATTTCGCCCATTCCACCATCCTCGCAATCGATGTCGTCTAGTGTGAGCGGAACCCGCGAATGTAGTAGGAAGGCAGCAGCATGCTCCTCGTCTCCTGAATACCTGTCTCTCTTTGCGTAATACGGAGGAAAACCAGCTTCCGTTCGAAAGCAACCACAACAGGCCATCGAACCCTGCGCTGCTGATGCTGTTGTTGCTATGGCAGCGTCCCTTGAATGTGGTTGCCGCAGGGAGCATTCGTCCAGCACAGCAGTGGTAGCAGCATTCCCCAAGCATCGATGTTGACGCGTGCTGTGCGCAACGCGTTCTATGCCGATTGCGTCTTGCGCTGCCGACACCGAAGCGTAGTTGGCCCCCTCAACCTGGCTCTTCCTCATGCTTCTCGTATGAACATGAAACTGTTCCAAGCCTGCTCGCTCTTCCAGCCACCCTTGCTCTAGCGGGACCACATAGTCGTGAGATAGCGTGTCGAGGAGACGTGCCTCTCTTATCATGAGTTCCCTTAGCCTTCCCAGCTGCGGCACAGCTAACCTCTCGGACAAGACGAACCTGGCCAGTAACAAACATTGATGGCGAGGAAATCATGGAACACTGCTCGTGGTCATCAATCTACGCATCGCATACCTGCGACGTTTTTGCGACTGCGCAAGGTGTCGCTAAGCACCGCAACTCGTGCCTGTCAATCGTGAGTGTGAGGGACGTTGCAGCAGATAAGCCGTGCAGTATGTGCTGCCTCCTCTCCAAACCATCGGTAAGTGTTGCACCAATAGACTACCCTTGGAGAGTTGGTCGGTCAAATGTGGGAGACGCTCAAAAACCAAATGCGTGCCGATGTACGGATAGTAAATTACTGTTATTCGTCATTCCTAAGAGTAACCACACGAAGCGAGAGCGATTACACGCGACATGATGAACGCTTGAGGGCGCCTGCGAGCCATCTTATCCAGATAACACGACTATGCAGAGGTATCTAAAAGAGCGGCATCGCCATAACGACGGCTTTGAAGCCGTCTGGTCGAAAGTTTTCCGGAAACGCATCTCTTCACGTACATACATGAGTCTAAGGCTGAGTCTTACCGCGTGATTATTTCCGGATTGGATTTGGGGGGGGGGGTCCTTTTCTGAGCCAAAACAATAATTTAGGCGTCTTACGGGTAGGAAAATGGCAATTTCCAACAGCCCAAAATCCAATAGCGCAGTTTCCAACAGCGATTCCGGCCGGCCTGTTAGAAATTTGGCCCATTTTCCAACAGCGATCCTGTTGGAATATCGCTGTTAGAAATGAGGGGGGGTACCCCCTGGTCACACCCCGATCGTGCCAGAACGAGGAACTACACCGTCTGCTGGCCAAACAGAGGCCACTATCACGAGGTCCTGCACAAATCCTCTGCAGGTGTCAAAAATTCAGGGCGTTCTGCGTCGTGTTGGCCGCACACGAGCCGAAAACGTCAACCCTGCCACATTGCTCTGCTGACGTTCTTGCCTTTGGGCCGAAAAGAGCCGTTTTTGCGCCTGCTGCATGTGTGACCAGTTCAAAACGCATGCCAGAGAGAGGCCTTAAGCCGTCGACATCCACAAACTGTAGCCAATGGCGTGTGTTCATACTCATACCCTCTGCTCGCGTACCAGAACAGAGCGTGTTGTCCAGTTTTGATTGCACACGGCCTGTAAACGTGAACCAAAGTGTGTTGCGGTGTTGACTTTTTGGTATTTTTTCTTGTTCCGCTGCGTGTTTGCTCCGTGTGTCGCCCGCGACCAGTCAAAAACGCATGCCAGAGAGAGGCCTTTGGCCGACGACATCCACAAACAGCAGCCAGTGGCGGGTGATCATACACATACCCTCTGCTCGCGTCCCAGAAACAGAGCGTATTGTCCAGTTTTGATTGCACACGGCCTGTAATCGTGAATCGAGGTGCGGTTCGGTGTTGCCTTTTTTCCCTGCCGCTTGCTCCGAGTCGAGTGTGATTGATCAGTGTACAACGCATGCCATCAGAGAGAGGCCTTTGGCCGACGACATCCACAAACTGCAGCCACTGGCGTGCGATGATACACATGCCCTCTGCAGGCGACCCGTAAATAGGGCTCTCGGTGTCTTGTTGGTCGCACACGAGCCAAAACCGTGTACTGAAGCATGTTGTGACTCACAAGAACATGAATCAGCCTCTTTTTTCCCTTCAACAAAAAGTATACCTGGAGGAACCGTAAGACGATCGTTTGGATCTGGATGATTTTTTCGGTGCAGGCCACCCCCCCCCGACCGAGAGAAAAAAAATCTCCGAAGTAATGCCGTAAGACTCAGCCTAAGGCTATTTCTTACGGTTCTTTTTTGGAGCTGTCTTTTTCTTTTTTCCTTCTCAAAAAAGACAACTGGGCACAGAACCCCTTCTTGCGGTGTCGTTTTTCAGGGAAAAAAGGCCAACAAAAAAAGACAACCCGTTTTGGGCAGCCCATCCTGTCTTTTTCTGGGGCAGTTTTATATAAGTCGGGGCTGTCTTTTTCTGTGGTCTTTTTTTGGTCACAACCACATGACGCTACCTACATACTTGAATCTGTCGACGGTTGATCCCCGCAAACTCTAACGGTGTTCACACGAGCTGTGTCATGTGACTGGTGCAGAGTCAGTTGCAATAGCGGTAGCGTTGTTTTTTCATTTGGCTGGACCAAGTGGACAACGCGATGTGTGCGGCGCAAACAAGCAGCAAACGAGCCGAGGGAGTCTGGACGCAGCAGCGGGGGGTCTTGGTTGGGTGTGCTGTCAACTTTTGCGAACGTAACTTTTGGGCGCCCTATAGCCCCCTGATCTGTGTCAACCACCACACAAGACGGACCATACGCGCAGCTCATGGCGGATACCTTTGTCATCGCTGTTGCTGGAGTGGGTGGCGAAGGAGCATCGATGAACCAAAGTTGCGACACGGGCGAAAGAGCAAAAACAAATGCTTGAAGACGAGGCGGGTCATTTTTCCCGCTTGTTCACGACTCTTGCGCTCACAATTTTTGAGCGCCCTTCAGCCTCCTGGTCTGTATCAACCACCACACAAGGCGGACCATACACACAGCTCATGGCGGATACCTTTGTCATCGCTGGTGCTGGAGTGGGTGGTGAGGGAGCATCGACAAACTAAAGCTTCGACACAGGCCACAGAGCAAAAAAAAACTGGTTGCTGGCGCGGTTGGTATTTTTCCGGCGTGCTGTTGACCCTCGCCGCCTCAGTTTCCGTGCCTCCAATCGCCCTGTGGTCTCTAACAGCCACCACCCAAGACGGACCATACACACAGCGCATGGCGGATGCCGTTGTCATCGCTGTTGCTTCACTGTATGCGGGGATATCACCGAAACACCATCGCGGTGGAAGGTGTATGTATGTGTGACGAACGGCCGTTGCAGGGTCTCTTTTTTTCGGTCGATGACTCGGAATAGAAAAAAGGATGGACCAGCACCGCAAGAAGGGGGTAATCTTTTTCGTAGATCATTTTTTGGGTCGTCTCTCTTGGGGAAAAACATATCTAATGAAAAAGACACCGTAACAACTGGCCTAAGCATATGTTTTGTTTTGGGTAGATTTTTATTTTCCTGGTTTTGGCAGGACATATGCAGCCGTTTATATAAAATAGATTGGGTGTGCCCACGGATGCTTCCCCAGTTGATTGTTTTTTACATCCAGTGCGGGACCATCAGCAACAACAGTGTGCACACAGCAGCGTGAGTGGCAGGACATACATATGTAGCCAATTGCAGCCTTTGCCTCCAATTGAGGAGTTCCAATCCAAGCAAGAGAAGCTAAGCATACTACAGTACGCGCGGAGGAACGTAACAAGAAAAACACCGGACAGAATACCAAAAGGACAACAGAGCAGGGGGGGGACACGGCGGGCGAAACGTCGAAGACGGAAGGCACAACTACAGCCGAAGAGAGCAGGACGGAGATGGCTACACGGATAGAGAGATGTGTGCAGGACTGATGGCGATGATAGAGACGATAGCAGGAATACCAGCCGGACGTATCCCCATATATTTTTATTTGTTTTGGTTCAGTCGTGTCGCTAACCGCCCCCCTTGCAGTGCCCCCGAAGTGAAGTGATGTTGTGTCGTTAGGAAGTCAGTCGTCTGTTTGGTATTTGCCTTTTCGTTGTTATTCAGGTAGACAGGAGCGTCGGAGGGGACCTGTCTATCTTCCCTTTTGTTTCCGATGTCCTTGTGTTAAGATGTACCGCATATCCATTACGCTACAAGTCAGCGCTAGTGGACATGCTGTACATCTTAACAAAAGTACGACCGGGGTTCGAATCCCCCTGGGACCACTTGTGACGCCTTTTTTCCGGAAAAGTCTGGGATAGGCCTGAAAGACGGTGTACATTCCAGTCGTTCAAGTGTAGACACGTACTCCCGCCCTGTAAGTCGATGAACCGCATGGGGGCAGCGCTGGTCACAGACAGGGATTACAACCCTGGGGTTTACCGAGGTCCAAGCTCTAACAGGCTGAAGGACCCCGGTTGTACTTTTGTTAAGATGTACAGCATATCCACTATGCTACAAGTCTCGGGTAACTGGTGTGCATCTTAACACCTT